GCGAAGACGCACCATCGTCTGACTGGTAGGGCATGGTGCGTCTTCGCTTCGCTCGACTGCAACCTACGTTTGGGCCATCCTGTCGATCCTGCAATGGTTCAGAGTCTGAGGCGTCTCGCTGGTGCGTCTTCGCTGCGCTCGACAGCACCCTACTTCGGGCGTTGGGAGGAACTGATAGGTGGCGTCTTCCAACGGTGGTGGGAAGCTGGGATAATGGGGGTTTGTCCCTCCAGCTTGCTTCCCGCCTTCGGAGTTTCGCACCCGATGAGATTGCCTGCGTTCGTTGCTGCCTTCCTACTTGTTGTTTCGCTTGGCGTTGTTGCCCGGGCCGATGCGATTGATCGCATCACGCTCGAACGACTGCGGGCCACGCACGAGCAGTCCGAGGCCTATCAGAAGGCCGTAAAGCCGGTGGAGTTGGACAGTGGTTTCGGCGATGTAAGAGCGATCATCCATTCGCATTCGCACCTTTCGCACGACAGCGTGGCCACGATCGAGGAGATCATTGAGGGGGCCCACGCCGCCGGGGTGAAGGTGATTATGTTCTCCAATCACCCGGCCGATTCTTACGACTACTTCGTCGATACCGAGCAGGGGATGCACGATGGCGTGCTGCTAATCCCCGGAGCCGAGACGGGTGGCATGCTGGTTTATCCCACTCGTAGTATGAAGGGCCATTCATCGACCCCGCCGCAACCGTTTGTGGACTTGCTGCATGAAGACGGCGGGCTGACGTTTGTCTCGCACCTGGAAGAACGGCTCGACTGGGAACTCGACCGACTCACCGGCAACGAAATCTACAACACCCACGCCGACCTGATGGAAGAGCAGCGGTTTCTCACCATGTTCAAAAATCCTCTGGCCCTAGTGCGGTTACTGCCGGCATTGCAACGGTACCCACAAGAAACGTTCGCTGCGATTCAGGATTACCCCAGCGACTATATGAAGGCCTGGGATCGCTGGTGTCAGAAGGCCCCGCATACTGGTGTGGCGGCAAACGATTCGCACCACAACCAGGCCTACTATGGCATCGTCTCCGACGACGGGAACCTGATCGTCGAGGACGCACTGGGCAAGGAGATCGCCACGATCGATCCCGAGGAAGTCGCGCCCGTGAAATTCCTCGTGGGCAATCGCGAGCCGGGCAGCAAGGTGATGGAGATCGATCTCGACCCCTACGATCGCAGCTACGGTCATGTAAGCACGCACCTGCTGATGAACGATGTGACTCAAGAGGCGGTTTGGGATGCCTTGAAGGCCGGACGCGCTTACGTTGGTTTCGACTGGATGGCCGATCCCAGCGGGTTCGTGTACCTGGCCGAACAGGCTGGCGATGAGTCGAAGCGATGGCCGATGGGGAGCGAACTCACGCTGGTCGATGATCTCATGTTGAAGGCCGAAGCCCCACTGGAAGTGGATTGGAAACTGCTGAAGGACGGAGAGATGGTCAGCGATTCGAAGGGCAAGACGTTCGAGTACGATGTCGAAGGGCCGGGCGTCTATCGCGTCGAAGCCTGGCTGAAGTTCGTCGGCGAGCCGCGGCCGTGGATCTTTTCGAACCCCATCTATGTGCGGGCCGGGGAGTGAGGATCGGGTCGCAATCGCCTGGACAGAATGGTGATTTAAACGGAAATAGGCCATTCTGCGGACATAACGCTTGAATTTGGCTGCCGGATGGTGGACGATCGAGGTCGTCTTTCCATGCTTCCCCCAGGGGTTTCGCTAATGCGATGTGAATGAGTCGAAGTGATCTGCCGGCAGGTTCCGCTGCCCTGGCGTTTCATCTCGCAAAGCTCATTTGCCTTCTAATTGAAAGCGTTGCTCGCCGCGACCTTTCATTCTCATTGTCGCACTACCTACTTCGCTGCAGCTTGCCGCGATAGTCTTCATAGGGGTTACTTCGTTATGCTAATTGCAATCATTCGTCGATCACTGCCTAAGTGTGCAGCGTTCTTCGCGTTACTCGCAGCGATGGTCGCTTGCCAGCGCGGTGAGGCCGCCACGTTTCAGCTAATACCCGAAGAGAGCTTTCTTACGGTGGTGCCGAACGTGAACGGTGAGCTGTTCGCCACCGATCAAACGCCAGGTAGTTTGACCACCAATATCACAGGAACACTCGAGGCGTCGGTTACGCCGGGTTTCATAACGTTCGATGGTGGAAGCGTTCTCGACTTGGTCGAGCAGCCGGGGCCTTTTCTGCCGGGGAACACGCCTGCCGATCTCGCGGGAACGATCGAAGATGTGCTTCCCGGGCTGGATGGATACGCCACGGTGAGAGATGCCGTGTTCGACGTAACGAACGGACCTCAGTCAGTCTCCGGGCTGGGTGAATTTTCGACCGCCGGGATGCTAGTGTTCTTCAGCAGCGGTATGACAACCTACGAAGTGCCTGGGGTGATCGATGGCTCGTTCACCTACGGAGGGCAGTTCGACGTCTTCGTTCCAAAGACCGGCCTGGTCGAAGACCTTGGCGGCGGCGTATTCAAACTCACCGTTCCCTTCGAGGTCTCCGAGACTTTCGATACCGGTATCGAGGGGCTCACGCTCACGCAGAGCATCACCGGGCAAATTGTGGCGGTGGTTCCCGAGCCCGCAACGCTGGGCATGATGATCGTCGGCGGGATTGGTTTGGCTGTGATGGGCCGCCGTCGCTCGCTTGGAATGCGCTCGCGTTGAAATTCTGCGACCTCTTGATTCAGGAAGACTCAACCGTGGCTTTTCTGGCGAACCCTCTTCTTGCCAAAGCGGTACCATCCACAAGTACCGCGGCATCGCCTGCGGCGGTTAGCTTGCGGCAGATGAGCTCGATCGCCTTCAACTCGGGGTCGACCACGTACAGGCATGAAGGGTGGCCGAGGAAGTCGAATGTGGTTCGTTGTTCAATTGTTTGATCGAGCACCCGATCGAGAACGTGGAGATAATCATCGAGCGACCAGCGCCCGCTGCGGAAGGCAGTGATGTCGCTGGGCGGGCTCATAGGCACTTCGACCAACCCGCTGGGGTAAACCGTTGGTTGGGCCAACTTCTGAGCGGCCAAGATGCTTTGGATGACTTTCTCGGTCGGACGTTCACCTGGGGGTTGCAGGTCGTGCGGGGGATAGACGCTGCTTACCCAGAGGAAACCTAAATCGAGCAGCATCGCTTGGAGATCTTCGCGGGCTTGCAGCCCGTCGTTGAAGCCGCCAGGGGTGCGAAAGCCGACGGGATCCACACCGAGCCGTTCCCGCATGGCGACGCTCGTCAGACGGATGTTCTCGCGGATGGCTTCTTCAACGGTGCGGTCGGCGATAAGCCATGGTGAGCGGCGGAAGCGGTATTGAAGGGCGTCTTTGGTTTCGGCTCGAACGTTCACATGATCGTACGTGTGATTGCCCAGGGGATGTCCGGCCTGGGCGATGTCCCGTAGCCAATCGACGTCCGGTTGTTCGAGCACCCGACCGACGACGAAACAGTGCAGCGGGGCTCCGTGGTCGGCGACTAGTTCGGCCGCCTGCGTGGTATAGCGTTTGGTCGGTTCGTTGAGGTTGCCCTTCTCGTAATCCCAGTGCGTGTCTTCCCACTGGGGAAAGTTGCGGCTCATCTCCAGATCGAGCGTGATGGCAATGAGCGCCTTACCTTTGTGGGCGGGGTCCTCGGGACCGAGTGTGGACTTCGCTGCTTCATTCGGTTCTTCTCCCATGCAAGTCTGCCAGGGGAAGTACGGCGAGAGGGCCGCCCCGGCGGTGGCAGCGAGTGCTTGTCGACGTGAGAGTGGCTTGTTCATCGAACTACCTATTGTCGGTCACGCGAATCCATGAGCCTTGCGTGATTAAATGATTCAACGACGCGAACGACAGCGAGGCGTTGGTGGCATAGCGGGGGGTGTTGTTCGCCGGGAAGGTAGCCACGGTGGCGTCGCCGACCAGGAACACATTGAAGTCGGGGTCCAGATTTTCGTAGCCGGCCGTGGTCTTGCAGTAGCACATGTCGGTTGCGTACCCGGTAAGCAGCACGTGGCGAATGCCCTGGTCCCGCAGGAAGTCGCGTAGCGGCGGATAGCCTTCGGCGTCGTAGATCACCACATCACTCGGGTCCACATTGATCTGCTTCACCACCGGGATCGGCAAGTCCCAAAACCCCTGGCCGTTGAACTTGGCCGAAGCGTCGAGGCCGGGGAACTTGCCGAAGTATTCGGCCACCGTCGGCTCACCTTCGAACATCAACTGCGTCTCCAACGGGTTGCCGCGGTACTGGACGCTGGCGAGTTTCTCTTTCAGCTCGCGTCGCCCTTGCTGCCGCTGTTCTTCGCTGGGCGTTGAACGAATGGAACGGTAGAGCTGTTTGCGAACGGGGTCTTCACTGCCGGGCAGGCTGTACGCGACCAGCTTCACATGGGGCCTTAGTCTATTGAGCAACGGGTTCAGCACTTGCCGCACGTGCTCGTGATACATGCGGTTCTTTTCCGGCGTGCAGTTGAACGCCACACCGGAAGGCTCGGGCGAGTTCCACCCCTGGCCGTCGTCAATTCCCCACGGATGCACCACGATCACGGCCGTGGCATCACCATCGAGATGGTTGGCCATTTCAATGATGCCCCGCGCGTTGTAAGAGAATCGCCAGGCGAGCACTTCCAGGTTGGCCTGTTCATCGACCACCAGCGGCGGCGCGACGAAGCGATTCGTCTCGCGGACCGGTTCGCAGAACTCGGGGAAGTCGGCCAGGATTGGTCGCGGGTTCTCGATCGGCGTGAGGCGGTTTTCGTAGAGCCGCGTTTCTTGCCTCTCTTCAGCCCCGCAGGGCAGGGCGATTATGCACACGATGAGGAGATAAAAGCTGCAGGCTAGCCGCGGGCGCCACATGATCGAAACTCCTCTGCAGTGACAATTCGATTCGACCGACCTCATGGGCCGATCGTACCGTTGCCTCGGTAGAGAGTCCAATTCGTGGGGCAGAACTCGATTCCACCGGCCGGGGCTTGTACGATGGTGGCGGTTTACCCTTCTCTCTCGGTGTGGAAAGTGATGATGATGAAGTTGCGACTGTTGTGCTGTGTTGTGGGGGTGCTCGGTGTGCAAGTGGCCCACGGGCAACGGGTTCTCTCGGGGAACGAAAACAAACTCGACCTCGCTTCTGGCGAGCAGGTGGTCATCACGCCGGCTGAGCCCGACACGCTGTCGATCATCGATTTCTCCGAGTTCCCTCCGTTGGTGCAGCACTTGAAAGATCTGCCCAACACGGTAATCGGCCCGCCGTCGAATATCGCCGTGTCGCCCGACGGTTCTCTGGCGTTGATCGCAAACTCGCTGAAGCGCGACCCCCAGCAGTCAGACACGCTGGTGCCCGACAACGTCATCCGTGTGCTCGATCTCACCGCGTCGCCGCCGACTGTGATCGATGAAGTGACCGCGGGTCTCCAACCCTCCGGTATGTCGTTCACACCCGATGGCAAGCTGGCCCTGGTGGCCAACCGCGCGGCGGGCAGAGTTTCGGTGTTGCGAATCGAAGGCCAGAAGGTTGAACACCTGCGCGAGATCGAAGTGGGCGAGCCGGAAGATCAGGTATCGGATGTGGCGATCAGCCCCGATGGTCGCCTGGCGCTGACTAGCATCAACGCGGCAGGGCACCTACGACTGTTAACGATCGATGGTGAAGACGTCGTCGCCACCGAGCGGAAGATCTCCACGTATGGAACTCCCTACCGCTGCGTGATCACGCCCGATGGTGAGTTGGGGCTGACCGCGGGTGCCGGTGTGGGCGGAGCCCCCGACATCGATGCATTGACGGTCGTAGATCTCACGGCCGATCCCGTGCAGACGATCGGTTATGTTCCCATCGGTTCAGGGCCCGAGTCGATTGAGATCAGTCCCGATGGTCGCCTGGTGGCCGCGGTGTTGATGAACGGATCGAACCTGGCGGAAGACGATCCGAATCGTACGGAAGAGGGTATGCTCACGTTGTTGGCGCGGCGTGGGAAGTCGTTCGAGGTCGTTCAGCAACTTCCGGTCGGTCGCATTCCCGAAGGGGTCGCCTTCACGGCCGACGGGCGTTACCTGCTGGTGCAGTGTCATCCCGCGCGAGAGATCTGGATATTTCGCGTCTCAGGTGAGAGAATCATAGATACCTCGCATCACGTGGAAGTGCCCGGCATGCCTTCATCCCTTCGTGCGGTGAATATGCCTTAAAGCCCCCACGGCCGATGAAACGTTCATCAAGGATTCGGTGACCGACCGACGGGCAAGCTGCAATGGACACCGCAAAACATATTCTAGTGGTCGAAGACGAAGCCCACCTGGCAATCGGGATCAAATACAACCTCGAGGCTGAAGGCTATCGCGTGAGTGCCGTGGGCGATGGCCACGAGGCGCTGAAGATCGTCGAGGAAGGACCCGAAGACATCGACCTGGTGGTGCTCGACCTGATGCTGCCCGGGATGAGTGGCTATGCCGTATGCGAGTCGCTCCGCGAGCAGGGCAACATGGTGCCCGTGCTGATTCTTAGTGCCCGCACGTTGGCCGAAGATCGCATCCGTGGGTTCGATGTGGGGGCCGATCAGTATCTTCAGAAGCCGTTCGATTTGGACGAACTGTTGAGCCGAGCCCGAAGTTTGTTGGATCGGCATGCCCGTCGCGCGACGAAGCCCTCTGCGCGTCGCGAGCTGGATCACTACGAGTTCGGCAACGTCAAGATCGACTTCAAAACCCACGAGGTCACCGTCGACGATGAACCACTGCGGCTCACGTTCATGGAGTTGAAGTTGATCCGTTACTTCATCGAGAATGAAGGCATCGTGCTCAGTCGCGATCAACTGCTAGAAAACGTGTGGGGCATCTCCAGCAGTCCTACGACCCGTACGGTCGATAATTTCGTCATGCGGTTGCGGAAGTATTTCGAGCGCGACCCTTCCGAACCCCGGCACTTTCTCAGCGTCCGTGGGGCCGGCTACCGCTTCTTGGCGGAAGGCGAGGATTCTTAGCGCGGCCTTCCCAAATGCAATGTGGGCAATCCTGGCGGCTTTGGCGTTGTTTCGCCCAGACCACCCGAAGGTGGCGATGTTTAGCTTGCGAATGGTCCCCCTACGGCGGGCGGATGGGGGCGAGATAGTGTAGAACGCATCGGACCCCTGTTATATGATGGGGATATCCCGCCGAGAGCCTCGCGCGAGGGTCTCAAGCCTCTTTGCCAGTGAAGAATTTTCAGACACCTTCCAGCGGAATCACCCCATGTACGGCCGGCTCCGCAATAGCATCACCCTGCTTGGCTGCGCAGTAGCGCTGATCGCTGCCGGTGCGTTCGCACCCGCGGTGGCCGAGGAGGAAGTGTCTTTCGTCGATCAGCATCTGCGGCCGTTCCTGTCGAATTACTGCATAAGCTGCCACAGCGGGGAAGAGCCCGCTGGCGAGTTCACGCTTGATAATGCGGAGTTGCTGGAGCAGGGGCCCGAGCATCGGGAGCAGTGGGAAACCGTGGTCGAGTACCTGCGGGCCGACATGATGCCGCCCGAGGATGAGGCCCAGCCGGAAGCCGATGAGCTGAAATCAATCGTCGCTTCGATCGAGTCGAACTTCTTGGCGATCGATTGCGAGAACACCACCAGCCCCGGCCCCGCGATGGTTCGCCGTTTGAATCGGGCCGAGTACGCGAACACGATTCGCGATTTGTTGGGCATTGAGTTCGAAGGGGCGGACGACTTCCCTTCTGACGACGTCGGTTACGGCTTCGACAATATTGGCGATGTGCTTTCCATCTCGCCAATCTTGATGGAACGCTACCTGGCCGCAGCCGAAGAGATCGCCATCCAGGCCATCGTGGCCGACGATCCGCGCCGCTCGCGGATCGTGCGGTTCGAAGCGGAAGACTTACCGTTTGAGATCCCGGCCGGGGCCGCACTCGATAGCCTTCGCTATTTCTACAGTGGGGGTGAAGTTTACACCGAGATCGAGATTGGCTGCGCCGGTGAATACCGCTTGAAGGCCCGCGCGTTTGGTGAACAAGCCGGCGAAGAGCCGGTGAAGATGGCCTTCCGAGTGAACGGCGAGCAAGCCCATGTGGCCGAAGTGGAAGCCACCTCGATGAAGCCGGATGTGTACGACGCCGTGCTCGAGTTGCCCGAGGGCACCGTTCGCATCGCGGCAGCGTTCGTGAACGACTTCTACAACGAGAACGCCCCCGAGGGTGAGAGCCGCGATCGCAACATGGCGATCGACTACCTCGAGCTTGAAGGTCCGTTGAACGTGGAGCCCGCTCCACTGCCGGAGTCGCATCGGCGGATCATGATCTGCGAGCCGACGCCCGAGACACGGAACGATTGCGTTCGCGAAATCATTCGCAACTTTGCCGAGCAGGCCTACCGCCGCCCGCTGTCGGGAATCGAAGTCTCGCGGTTGTCGAATCTGGTCGACTATGCCGAGCAAGAAGGGGCCAGCTTCGAGCGGGGCATTCAACTGGTGGTGCAGGCCGTGTTGGCGTCGCCGCACTTCTTGTTCCGCACCGAACTGCCCGATGACGACCTGGAAGACGGTCGCGTGACGAACGACTATCAACTGGCCTCGCGATTGTCGTACTTCCTGTGGAGCAGCATGCCCGACGCCACGCTCCTTGAGCTGGCCGCAGAAGATTGCCTGCATGAACCGGAGGTGCTCGAAGCCCAGGTGCGTCGCATGTTGGCCGACCCCAAGTCGGTCGCCTTGGTCGATAACTTCGCTTCGCAATGGCTGCAGATTCGCAACCTGGAGTTGGTCGATCCCGACACGAAGCGTTTCCCCACATTCAATGACGAACTGCGCGTGGCCATGCGACGTGAGACCGACTTGTTCTTCGAGGCGGTTATCCGCGAAGACCGCAGTTTGCTGGAACTGATCGACGCCGACTTCACGTTTCTCAACGAGCAGCTCGCCAAGCATTACGGAATTGAGGGGGTCGAGGGCGATGAATTCCGTCGCGTCACGCTCGAAGATCGTGCTCGCGGGGGAGTGCTCACTCAGGGTAGCGTGCTCACGGTGACTTCGAACCCCACGCGGACTTCGCCCGTAAAGCGAGGCAAGTGGGTGATGGAACAATTACTGGCGGTATCGCCCCCTGCGGCTCCACCAGATGTGCCACAGCTAGAAGAAGCGGGCCGAAAGCTGGAAGGCACGTTGCGACAGAAAATGGAACAACATCGCAGCGATCCTTCGTGTGCCATCTGTCACACACAGATGGATCCGTTAGGCTTCGGGCTAGAAAACTTCGACGCCGTGGGTGCCTGGCGCGAGAAGGACGAAGGCCTGCCGATTGATGCCTCGGGCGAGCTGCCCAGCGGGGCTAGGTTCGCTGGACCGGCCGAATTGAAACAGATACTCCTGGGTCGCGCCGACGAATTCCGTCGCTGCGTGGCCGAAAAAATGTTGGTGTACGCGATTGGGCGCGGGCTTACCCACGTCGATCGTTGTACCATTGATGAGATCGTCGAGTCGCTAAAAGCGGGCGACGATCGATTTTCGGAACTCGTGCTTGCCATCGTTCGCAGCAATGCGTTCGACCCCCGGCAAACCGAAGGAGCTGAATGATGAGCCGTCCCGTCACGATCGACCGCCGTACCATGCTGCGAGGCTTGGGAACCGCAATCGCACTGCCGATGCTCGAGACGATGACACCGCTTCGGGCGATGGCCTCGGAGGCGGCCGTTGAAGCTCCGCGGCGGATGGCGTTTTTCTTCGTGCCCAATGGCGTGCACATGCCGCATTGGACGCCCGAGCAAGAAGGGGCCGACTTCGAGCTGCCACCGGTGCTCGAGTCGCTGGCCGACTTCAAGAACGACATGCTCATCCTTTCGGAACTCACCCAGGACAAAGCCCGTTCCAATGGCGATGGCCCTGGCGACCACGCCCGTTCGGCGTCGGTGTTCTTAACCGGTAGTCAGCCGCACAAGACCGACGGGTCGGACATCAAGGTGGGTGTTTCCGTCGATCAGATCGCGGCACAACAAATCGGATCGCATACGAAGTTCCCCTCGCTGGAATTAGGCTGCGATCGCGGGGCCCAGTCGGGCAGTTGCGACTCGGGCTATAGCTGTGCGTACTCTTCGAACATCTCGTGGCGCACGCCCAGCACCCCTATGGCCAAAGAGATCGATCCGCGGTTGGTCTTCGAGCGACTCTTCGGAGCTGGGCGAAAGACCGATGTGGCCGAGTCGCAGGACCGCCGGCAACGCCTGCAGAAAAGCGTGCTCGACTTCGTGCTGGACGACGCCAGCCGGTTGCGAAAGAAGTTGCCCACGGGCGATCAGCGGAAGATGGACGAATACCTGACGTCGGTCCGCGAAATCGAGATGCGAATCTCACGGGTCGAACTGGGGCTCGATGACGAGCAACCCAACATGTCGGCCCCCGTTGGCATTCCGAAAGACTTTGGGGCTCACATCCGGTTGATGCTCGACCTGATGGTGCTTTCGTTCCAGACTGATCTCACGCGGGTGTCCACGTTCATGTTTGCCAACGAAGGCAGCAACCGCAGCTACAAGTTCATCGATGTTCCCGAGGGGCACCACAACCTCTCGCACCATGGCAACGACGAAGAGAAGCAGGCCAAGATCAGCCGCATCAATCGTTTCCACATGGAACAGTTCGCCTACTTCCTGGGTCGCATGCAGTCGGTGAGCGAAGGCGACCGCACGATGCTCGATAATTCGATGCTGCTCTACGGTAGTGGGATTGGCGACGGCAACCGTCATAACCACGACGACTTGCCCATCATGATCGTCGGAAGTGGGGGTGGTCGACTCAGCACGGGTCGTCATATCCGTTACCGCAGGAACACCCCGCTGAACAATCTCTATCTCTCGATGCTCGACCGCATGGATGTCAGTATCGAATCGCTGGGCGACAGTACCGATCGCCTGGAAGGGCTCGAGGTCTGATTTCCAGGGCTTCGCGTTCCCTTCCCCGCAGCAGCTCGCGGGCACGCGCGGATAACCTATAGTTTCACCGCGGAGGTGCATAAGTTCCTCGCCGCGTTGATCTTCGGTGATCCTTCGCTGGCGGGTGCCCGCACGTGAATTCCAGACGCTGCTTTGGTTGAGATGCTGCTGTGTTCTTGCTGGTCCTGATTATCGCGGTGGTCAATCTCGCCTTGGGGATTGCGCTGGCGGTGTACTTTGATCCCACGCGTGGCACGGAACGAGAATTACACGTCCCGGTTGCGGCAGCGCCTGTGGTTGAGAACGAATCACCACCCGCGCAACCTCCGGCGAAAGAACCTGAGCCTGAACCGGAAGCCGCAGCCGAGCCAGTTGCCGAAGATGTCGTTGAAGAGGAACCGGTCGCGGAAGAATCTGAAACGCCGGTTGATGAGCCTGTCGAGCAGACGGTGGTCAGTGATATTCCCAGCGAAACGTTATCGCAACGGGAACTGTCGGCCTGCGAGGCTCCGCTCAACGAGTTCCAAGAACACATCGATGCCCAATTGGGGCTGCTGCGAGATATGGAGCAGCGTCTCAGAAAACAGGGTGAATCGTTGGAGATCGAGGATGTCTCGAAGCTCGCGAGCGACCTGGTTTCGTACCACGCCGAATTCGATGCACACGTGAACGAGTTGATGAATCAACTCGACGAACACCGCGACACCTGGGTCGAGGCGGCTCATACCGTCGAACAATTCCTCGAAGCGTTAAGAGAAACCAAGAGATCGGCTGAAGCCATCGATACCTCGCTTCGTGAGCTTAGCGACGAGGAAGATGCAGCCCTGGCTGGAGACGAACTTCGCAGGTTGCTTCATCGGGCCATCAATCTCGTGTTCGAGCATCGCGATCGGGTCGAGGCAGTTCGTTCAGAGATGATGTTTGACTTGGGGTTGTTGCCTCAACTCACGAGCGAAGACTTTGCCTCTGGACTGCCGGACATCTTGAATCGCCTGGGTATCGAAACCACGATTCGACGCTGGCGGCAGAAACAAACCAGTAGCACCCGGCCTTACAGCTTGGCCGTGATCGGGATCGACCGATTAGCGGACCTGAACGATTCGTTCGGCACCGAGACGGTCGACAAAATTCTGGGGCACGTCGCCGCGCAGACACTGGAAGCTATCCGCTCGGACGACGCCATGGGTTACTTCGACGGCTCGAAGTTCCTGTTGTTCTTCCCCGAGACGGGTCCTGCCAGTGCGACCAGCTATCTCGAACGGATGCGGCAGAACCTGGTGGTCACGATGTTCGAGCACGGAGATGCCGACATCTCGGTTACCACCAGTTGCGGCGTGGTCGAGGGCGATCCGGACGACGCGATCGACGCCCTGGCGATCAGTGCCGTCGACACAATGAAAGCCGCCCGGGCCGAGGGGGGCAACTGCACGATGGTACTCGAGCACGGCGAGCCGACGGCCGTCTCTCCGCCCGACTACGCGGTCGAATCGAAGACGATTTCTCTCTGATTGGGCTAGCGCCGGTTCTTCTCTCGCGTTGACAGGCGGAGGCAATCCGGTTTAATCACCCGTAGGAAGAGGCCTCAGGGATTGAGCCCATCTTGATCGCCAGCCAGCACATGGTGAATCACTTCCCGCGAATGACCTTCTTTTTTGTCGAACTCAATGATCGCGACCTGGTAACGGTCGTCGGTACGATCATTCGCACTGGAAGCCGCAGCCCCCGGAACAGTTAGATAGGAAAACCATGTACTTGTACTGCGTGCGACACGGGCAAAGCACCTTCAATGCCGAGAACCGTATTCAGGGTCAGCTCGACCCGCCGCTATCGGACTTGGGGCGTCGGCAGGCGGAAGTCATGGCCGAAAAGCTGGCGCAGTTCCCTATCGAGGCCATCTACGCCAGCCCCTTGGATCGGGCCCACTCGACCGCAGAACCGCTGGCCGAGGCGTTGGGGCTCGAGATTCAAACCGATGACCGGCTGAAGGAGATCAATGTCGGCATCTACCAAGGCTTGCTGTGGGCCGAAGTTCGCGAGCAGCATCCCGAGTTTGCCGAAAAGTGGACCACGCAAGATCCCGACTTCGTCATTCCCCAGGGCGAATCGCGGCGGCAGCTCATGCAGCGGGGGGCTGAAGTGCTCACCATGATTCACGAAGCCGGGCACAAGCATGTGGCCGTCGTTTCGCACGGCGCGATTCTAACCGCGGCCTTCAAGGCGTTGTTCGCCATCCCGGTCGAGCTGAACCCCTTCTCGCTGCACAACGCGTCGATCACCAAGATCCGCTGGGATGGTCAGTATCGCCTGCGGCTGTACAACCACGTGCAACACCTCATCGACGCCGGAGTGCCGCCCGAGGGGCTTTCGGCCCTCTAAGGGTGTGATCGATGCTCGAATCTGCGGCCGGACTTTATTCGTCAGTCAGCTCGAAGATCGCTTCGATTTCAACGCTGATATTTCCCGGCAGCGAGCCCATGCCTACAGCACTTCTGGCAGCCACACCGGCTTCAGGACCAAAGACGCCGGCCATCAGTTCGCTGTAACCGTTGATCACCGCCGGGTGTTGTTCAAAATCGGGGGTGCAGTTGACCATGCCCAGGCTCTTCACCAGCCGGGAGATGCGGTCGAGCGTACCGAAGTGGGCTTTCAGTGTCGCTAGAATTGCCAAGCCGGTTTGCCGGGCTGCTTCGTAGCCATGTTGATCGTCTACAGAGTCGCCAACACGGCCGGTCATCAAAGTGCCATCGGACTGCAATGGACCGTGCCCCGAAACGTAAGCCATGTTGCCGACCACTACGACTGGCTTATACACACCAGCGGGGGCGGGAGGGGCAGGCAATTCCAGACCAAGTTCAGCTATCCGTGCATCGGCGCTCATATTCGATGTGCTCCTGTAGAATCTTTGGTGAAGGCTTATGTTTCAATCGTGACGGGCCGTTTGGCCGCGGGAGTTACTCAACGACTTCTGCTTGAATGCGCAGGTTATCCCATTGGCCTGTGTCGTCAAAGGAGCCTAGACCGATTTGTCCGGTGGTGAACTCCGAGTTGGTGGCCGTCATCACTGGTGTATCCATGTCGTCGAAGTAAACCTCGATCAGCCCGTCGTCCACTTTGCGTACCAGCCGCACGTGATGCCACTGGTCGTCCCAGGGGGTGCCGGAAGAGGTCTTCGTCGAGATCTTCGTTCGCGGGGCATCGTTGACGATGAAGATCTGGTTGGCGTGATCGTCGGTCTTCTGCCCTAAGTGCACGTAGTAGAAGTGCGCCGGATCCTGGTAGCCGAAGAACAGGCACATGTCGCGGTGGCCATAGTCACGCGTGGTGGTATGCACGTCGACATCGAGCACGAAGTCGGTGACCACCAAGTCGGAAATCAGCGCGATGTTCGCCGGGCTGCGGTGCGGTGGTTTGTACTTGCTCTGCTTATGCAACGCCATCACGGGACCATCGTCGGTCTTGTCGATTCGCCAGGCGTTAGCGTCGGTCGGTTCCCACGCTTCGAGGCCTTCGTCGAACGTGTCTTCGTAGACCTTGGGCAGTTCATCGGCCAGGGTCTGCGAGCCCACGCTCCCCATAAGAATTAGGGCCAGGCAGCCTGTGCTAGCTAGAAACAGACGCGGATATCGATGGCGATTCATCGTGAACTCCTCAAGCGGGTGGATCGTTGGTGTTGGGCTTCGATGGGTGTGTGTGTGCGGAGCCAGGGCCGTAGACCTTCTGGGGGTCGAACACCCGTTGGCCGATGATCTTGGTTCCCTCGGGGGTCACTTCCCGAAAGAAGCAACTGCGGTAGCCTTCGTGGCAAGCAGCGCCGCCCACCTGTTCGACCTGCAACAAGATGGTGTCGGCGTCGCAGTCGACGAACACGTGGCGAACATGTTGGATGTTGCCGCTCTCTTCCCCTTTTCGCCACAGTCGGTTTCGGCTGCGGCTGAAGTACACGGCCCGTCCGGTCGCCAGCGTCTCGGCGTAACTCTCGGCGTTCATGTAGCCCAGCATCAGCACCTCGCCGGTCTCTGCATCTTGGGCGACTGCCGGCAAGATTCCGTTGCCACGCGAGAAGTCGGGTTGTACAGGCTCTGACGTCATGGGGTGGGAAGTGCGCCGCTCTGGGGCGGCGGTTGTGCTGGAGTGGGTGGTGCGAGCCTGATTTCAACCGGGGTGAAGTGACACATGGCCACGGGTTGGGCCCCAGGGGCTCGGCCAACTGACAAGATCAGCATAACCGGCCCGCGATGGCCTGGCCAGCAACTGCGGCCCGCGGGAAACGGCCACGACAGGTCCGCTCGCCAGGGCATCGGTTTTGTCCGTACGACGGGTACAACAGTCCGCCGAACAAAGCCGCTACAGTCGAGGCAAACTGGCGTCCGATGAAAACTCCGCACCTACAGGGCTTTTGTTCTCGAAGGAGATTTGTCTTGGCGCCATCGCTTGCCATTTGTCTTCCCGTCCATAACGCTCAGTCCGCGCTCGACCGCATGGTCCGCGACGCCCTGGAACTCTCCGTCGACCTTGTGCCCCGGGTCGAGGTGCTGGTTATCGACGATGGCTCGAACGATGCCACTAGCGAGATCGCTCACGAGCTTTCTCTGCAGTACCCCCAGGTGCGGCACTTTCGTCAACCAATTCGAATGGGTCGGCCCATGAACTTGCGGCTAGCCCTGAGCGAAGCCACGGCCGACGTGGTGTTGGTCCGCGACGAACGGTGCCGGCTCTCGCTAAGCGAGATGACCAAGATGTGGCGCAAGCTGGGCGACTACGATGTGGTGTTCGCTCTGGCCGACCAAGAGCCCGCCCGCGGCTGGTCGCGTTGGGTGCAGAAGCTGAAGCCGACGCTGGAACATGACGGTATCCAGCTCGAAGAAGAGGATGCTTGCATCGACCTGCAGTTGATTCGCCGTAGGGCGATTGAGACCGTGCGGTGGACCATCGGCAGTCGCAATGCCCAAGTCGCGGAACTCAACCGCAACGGCTACCGCTGGGTGGCCATCCACTCGCTGCGAGAAGAGCTGGGCACCATCCCGGCTGCTCCCACCGCCGTGAACGCCCTGACCGAGGCGATGACCGAGAAGCCGACTGCGAAAGGTTTGGAAGAGCGACCGTCACCGATTCGCAAGCCAAACTATCTTAAACATCTTCGCGATTTTGCCTTGGGCGAGTAACCCGAGTAGCGGGCGTCTGTCGTACGCACGACATCAAGTAGTGCAGAGCAACGCTCGGCGAACTCATTCGCTTCCAATCGTTTAGCGCCCGAAGTTTTGCGCGCAAACCAATCGTGTTGGACTGCATGTGAAAAGTGCATGAACAACTGAATTTCATGCAGTACTAAGTGTCCATCAAAGAAAACATTCTTTTTGAGTGTTCTGCTTCGCTTGTGACTACCACGTGTGGGCCTGAAGAAACCACACCCATTCCCAGCGACTTGTGACATTTGTCACAAAGTAGATGCTTCCTTAAATGCTGGGAACGAAGTGCCTGTGGTTGCCTGCCGCTGGCAATGCTCATAGCAGGCAGGTGCGTGCAGAAATGCGGTCGAGCAAAAGTTATCTACAGCGCGTGTATGTGTATTGATTCCCAAGCAATATCAGTGCCGCACGGGAAAACTTGGGGTTTCGGATTGCCACTGGGCAGGGGGCTCGCCTTGGTAAAGTAGCTTGTCCGCTCGGGGGCCCTTTGCGATCGGTCGAGCGGGGGCTTCGCTAGGCTCTTGCTGACGTGGATCACAACCACATTTCGCCGGCAATTCAATCGCCAGCAATTCGCTGTATAAGGTCACCAACTTCGAGAAGCGAGCCCTAATCGATACCCTCTAAAGTAGTAGAAAAATTGGGCCTTACGTCACTTAGTCGATCATCAATCTTCAGTTATGCGATCCTTGTCTACGGGTCCGGCTGTGGCTATTATGTGGTCAGTGCTCGCCGTGGGGGTCTCATCTTTTGGCGGGTGCAAAAGACTCTTCATAAACGTTGCTGCACTGATTCGCAGCAGACCAGCAAGTGATTGCCGGTAGGGACAAACGAGGCGCATGTTTAGGTGCACGTGGGATCGTGGCCAGCGGCGCTGAGCTTTCGTCCCAGCGGACAGTTACCGGCCTAAACTCGGGAGAATACCACGCTACGCAAGTCGCTGCCTACTTGGCACGTATGTGCAGGTTCGCGATCAATTAGGGTCGATTACTCATTGCGTGTGGTCTTTTACATTCTTCACAGATTTATCTAGGGCGCAGGAAGCCGGGTGGGGGCCCTCTTCGTTCTAGCTTGTCGATCCGCTCAATTCGCTCCTGTCTTCGTGTTCGTAGCGCACGAGAAGCCGTAAAGGCCAAGCACCTTTGCGACTCGATGGTTTTGGGGTCAGTTACGAATACTTCAGGCGCCGCAGTCTCCTACGGGGCCGTGGTCGGAAGGATAAGAGCCATGTCTACTTCACATTTGCGCAGCCAAGATATTCCGTTGGAGATTCCTACACAGCGTTCCCCCGATCAAACGGAAGGGCCTCCGCTGGCCGAACGACCGGTGCATCAAATTGCCAAGGTCCGTCGTCGCCAGGGCGTTTCGATACGAGGCGTAAGCCGACAGTTGAAGGTCAGCGTTCGTGAGCTAAAGCAACAAGAAGACGAACGGGCCGACATCTCGCTGACGCAGCTCTTCGCCTGGCAAAAGGCACTCGATGTACCGATTGCCGAACTGCTGGTCGATGGGGAAGAACCACTTTCTGCACCAGTGCTGCAACGTGCTCGCATGGTGCGGATGATGAAAACCGTGGCCGCCATTCTCGATCGGGCGAATAACCCGGCTGTGCGGCGGCTTGCACAGACACTATCCGATCAACTCGTGGAACTCATGCCCGAGTTGGCCGAAGTAAATGCCTGGCACGCTGTGGGACAGCGCCGCACCACCGATGACTATGGTCGCGTGGTCGAGCGACGGTTCCCCAGTTCTCTCTTCGGAGAGTAGCCTCGAAGCGATCCTGGAGGGCGGTTGGCGGCCATCTGCTGCTCACTCAGCTCGGGGCGAGGCAGATGTGCCGCCGCATTTAAACAACTTCATGTTCAACGGCCGGAATAGATACGAGGTGCGTGAGACCGGGGGCGCTGTCCAGAACTGCTGCTTCATTTGCTGCTCCTCACTGGGGGCAGCGCCCTCTTTTCAGCTCGGGACAGAAGGCAATTCGGCGCGGCCGACCGCGGGCAATCGGACACCGCACTGGTTCAACCGGTGCATTGAAATAAGACCTCGCTCAGTGCCCGTGGCGGTCGTTGCCGTCTTCTTCGACGAACTACGATGCGCGTAGTGCGGCGCCGAGTTGCTTGGCACAGGCCGCAACCACCTGGTCGCGAATCTCATCGGCACGCGGGCCGGTCAACGTGCCTTCGCTATCGCGAAGCGTGATCTTAAACAGCAGGCTCTTGCGATCTTTGCCGAGCCGCTTCTCGTCGCGATAGGTTTCCAGGTACTCCAGGCTTTCGAGTAATTCTCCGGAATGCTCGCGAACCAGCTCCGCAACATCGGCCCAGGCGACGCCTTCGTCCATCTCCAAGTTCATATCCCGCGTGATGGCGGGGAACTGGGGCAGGCTTTCGTACTGCGGGATGAGTTGGGCGTGTTCCAGCAGGGCATTCATGCGAAGCTCGGCCACCGTGGTCGGCCCTCGCAGTTGGAATTGCTTGCGACCCTCGTCGCTAACCTGGCCCAAGATGCCGAACACTTTGCCGTCGAGCTTCAACTCGCACGCCTGACCGGAAGCCAGCAGCGGTTGTTCGACGTCGGCCACTTCCAAAGCCAGCGCGGGATTGATGCGGGCCAAGAGGGCTTCGATTACCCCCTTCACGGCCAGCAGATCTTCGCCGCTGGTGAGACCGAGCATCATCGGCTCTTCCGGCAGATCTTTCTTGCGGGGCAGGTACACCCGAGCGACTTCGAACAGCTCGATGACTTCGTTGCCCACATTCTCGTTCGTCCGCCGGCACTCTAGCAGGCTGGGAATGAGGCTGCGGCGAAGTTGATTCGCGCGACGCAACACGGGTGTTTGTGTCGCCAGGGCCGGCAGGGTGCTCCAGGGGCTGAACGCTTCGGAAAGCGACTCGTCCACGGCACTCACTGTCAGGGCTTCGTCGAACCCGCAGGCAACCAGCACTTCGCGAACCCGCGTCAACACACGGTCGGCTTCGGTTCTGGCCGAACGGGTCATGGGCACGCTGACATCTTCGGGGATCTTGTCGTAGCCGTAGATGCGCCCGACTTCTTCGATGAGGTCGGCTTCCCGAGTGATATCTCGCCGCCAACTGGGAGGGACCACTTCAACGGCTTCACCCGAGGATGCTTCCACCGTGCAGCCGAGGGCCATCAGAATGCGAATTGCATCATCGGCCGGAATCTCGATGCCGAGAATCCGCTTGAGTTGTTTGTACCGCAGCTTGACCGGCTCGCGTTCAGTAGTGACTTGCCCGATGTCGATCACGCCTTCGGCCAGTTCTCCGCCGGCCACTTCCAGGATCAACTCGCAGCAGCGGCGGCTGGCCCAATCGACGGCCTCGGAATCGATCCCGCGTTCGAAGCGATAAGACGAATCGCTATGCAGATGCAGGCTGCGGGCCGTGTTGCGGATGGCAGTAGGATCAAACTCGGCCGCTTCGATCAGCAGGTCGGTCGTTTGATCGGTCACTTCGGTGCTGACACCACCCATCACCCCGCCGAGACCGACGGGACGCTTGGCGTCGGCGATGATGCACATGCCCGGCTGTAGTTCGTAGGTCTTGTGATCGATGGCTTCCAGCTTTTCGCCCTTGCGCGGCTCGCGGACGATGATTTCACCGCCTTCGAGTTTGGCCAGGTCGAAGGTGTGCAGCGGCTGACCGCATTCCATGAGTACGTAGTTCGAAACATCGACCACGTTGTTGATCGATTCGATCCCCACGGTGGCCAGTCGTCCGCGAAGCCAATCGGGGCTGGGGCCGACCTTCACACCTTTGATCACTCGTGCCGTGTAACGGAGGCACATCTCAGGGCACTCGATGCTTACCTTGGCCACATCGTCGATTTTCGTTTTGCTCGAAGGCACGCTGGCCGGCGGGATGTTGAGTTCCTTATCCCACAGCACGGCAACTTCCCGGGCGATGCCCAGGTGGCCCAGGCAATCGGGCCGGTTGCTGGTCACTTCGAGGTCGATCGCAATGTCGCCGGCGACGTCGTCGGTGCCTTCGTGGTTCAGGCCGGCCATCATCAGCTTCTGCTCGAGCTCGACCAGCGGCATATCGAGATCGACGTATTGTTTCAGCCAGTTCCAGGAAACAATCATGAGACCCCGAGACGATCGGGCAAGGCGATCGTCGACCCTCTGCGAGCAAGTTTAGAACTGATGTAAGAACCGGACGTCGTTGCGATAAAACTCACGGATGTCCGTTACGTTGTGTCGTCGGGCACAAATCCGTTCCACGCCCAGACCGAAGGCGAATCCGCTGTACTCTTCGGGATCGTATCCCACCGAACTCAGCACATGCGGGTCGACCATTCCGGCGCCGCCCATTTCCATCCAGCCATCGCCCCAGGTCATGTCGACTTCGACACTCGGTTCGGTGAAGGGGAAGAACGAAGGGCGGAAGCGGATGTGTACGTCGCCGCCGAAGTAACTGCCGGCGAACAACCGCAGCATGCTCTTCAGGTCGGCCATCGTCACGTTGCGATCGACGAGCAGTCCTTCGATCTGCTGGAACATAGGGTAGTGCGTGGCATCGGGCGTGTCGGGGCGATAAACCCGACCGAGCGAGATGATTCGCACCGGCGGCTTCGACTTCTCCATCACGCGGATTTGGACCGTGCTGGTCTGGGTTCTCAGCAGCATCGGCCCTGCGGTGGCTTCGGCCGTGGCCAGGTAGAAGTTTTCCAGCGGATCGCGGGCGGGATGTGTCGAAGGGATGTTAAGGGCTTCGAAGTTGTGCCACTCATCTTCGATCTCGGGACCTTCGACCGCGGTGAACCCCAGCCGGCCCATGATCTCTTTGAGATCTTCCACCGTTTGCGTCAGCGGATGGAGATGCCCGATGCGGCGCGGGGTGCCTGGCAGCGAGGTATCGAGCTTTGGCCCACGAACCTTGCCGGCCCCCTGGCTTGAGATGCGTTGCAGAGCATCTTCCAGGGCCTGCTCGAGCGAGGTCTTCACCTCGTTGAAGCGCTTTCCGGCGGCGGGCTTGTCGGCCTTATCGACTTTGCCCAGCCCTTTTTGGATGTCTTTGAGCAGACCTTGCTTCGCACCCAGGTACTTCACGCGGCAAGCTTCAAGCGCTTCTTCGTCTTCGACCGTCGAGAGCTGCGAGACCGCTTGGTCGGAGATCTCATCGAGTTGGGCGAGGAAGTCGGCGAGCGCCACGATGAACAAACCTTATTCCGCTACAAGAGTTCGTTAGCCGTGCCGACTGACAGGGCCGGGGCTTCAACAGATGCTTGCGAGCAGATTGCCTGGTTAGGCAGCCAGCGCTTCTTTGACGACGGCCACGACCGCGGCGAAACCTTCGGGGTCGTGAATCGCCATCTCGGAGAGGCTCTTGCGATCCAACTCGATGTTGGCCTTGGTCAGCCCGTGGATGAATTCGCTGTATCGCATCTCGTGCTGACGAACCGCAGCGTTGATGCGGGTGATCCACAGGCGACGGAAATCACGCTTGCGTGCGCGACGATCGCGGAAGGCGTACTGGCCCGAGCGGACCAGCGTTTCTTTGGCCGTACGCAGCAGGTTGTTACGACCGCCGCGGTAGCCTTTGGTTTTGCGAAACAGACGACGCTTGGCCTTGTTGCGGGCCGAACCCTTAGTAGTTCTCATTGCTCTCGTTTCCCTTCTCGCGTAATCAAGGCCCGCCTGCTAAGAGGCGCGTTGTCTTGCCCGTTCCGCGGTATGTCTGTCGTGGCAACGTACTTCAAAGACGTTGCTCTTTGATTCTCGGGGTGAATTTCGCCCGGAGACTGCGACGGGTTGCGGTCAACCTGAGTCAACCGTGAACTGCACTGCTGGTCACGCCAGCGATGGCTTCCCCGTCTGTGCAACGAAGGGGCGTTCCCCTAGTAGCTGTTGCCGCAGAGTGCTTCGGCAATCCGCTTTTCCACCACCTCGGCAGCCACAGTGGTGCCACGGAGGTTTCGGCGGCGCTTCTTCGACATCCGCACTTGGCGGTGGCTCGTACCGGCGCTTCGGTGTTTCACCTTGCCTTTGGCCGTTAGGCGAAACCGCTTCTTCGTTCCCTTGTGGGTTTTTTGCTTGGGCATGTCTCGCCACTCCACCTCAGATTGCAATCGTCGTCACTCTTTAGCAAGTCCGTCAGTATACTGCTTATTCGTCTGCTGAAAAGCCCGCCTGGACGCCTATTTCGAGATCCGGAGCGGTTTCCGCCCACAACGGGTACCTCAGCACGTACCGGCAGCGTCCACATCCCATGCTGGCTGCGGCTCTGGTCCCGGGGATTTCAGCGAAACTCGGCGTCTACTTCGGCGACAAGATGCAGACGATTCGCCGACCTTGCTTGGAAGGGGGCGTCTCGACCTTCGAGATATCCGAAAGCTGCTCGATGATGCCATCGACCACTCGTCGGCCTTCGTCGACGTGCGCCAGTTCGCGTCCGCGGAAGATGACCGAGATGATCACCTTATCTTTGTGCTCAAGAAACTGCTTCGCGCGATTCACCTTCACGTCGATGTCATGCTGGCCGATTTTCGGCCTGACGCGAATTTCCTTAATCTTGCTGTGATGCGCGTGACCGCGTTGCGATCGCTTCTTCTGCTGATACTTGAACTTGCCGTAATCCATGATTCGGCAAACGGGGGGGTCGCCATTGGGGGCGACTTCCACCAAATCCAAGTCCGATTCTCGTGCCTTTTCTATGGCATCGTCTGTGGGCATGACCCCCAATTGGCTGCCATCGGCAGCGATGACCCGAACCGGCGATGTCCGGATCTGGTCGTTGACTCTCTGCGAACGTTCGATCTTGAGCTCTCCTCGGGACCGCAAAACGACAAAAGCGACTTCGGACCGAAAAACTCGGTCCCATAATCAAAGTCTAGCATCGCGTAGTATCGGCGAACGAAACCCCTAAAGTCAATAAGATCGGAACCCTAAAACGGGTTGCGAGCGGGGAATTACTGCGAGAGCAGCCCAGAACGCCGTCTGCCCCAGTCGCCGGCAGGGCCGGGGACGAACCCCGACGGTGAGATTCAATAAATTCGGGCTCTTGCGGGGCATCGGCACCTCGATAGATTGACCGGAAGTACCTCCCCAGTGGCCCGCCCCTGACGCCTGGACGGGCCCTTTATTCCCTCCGCACCAGCCAATCGCAAGAAGCCACTCCCATGCAAGGCCATCAAGACATCCGCATCGGCACCATCGTCCAGGTTCAGGAGAAAACCGGCGAATACATCCGGCAAATCCTCCCGCACGGGTTCGAATGCTTCGAGCTCACCTTCGGGCATCACATCGACCCCGCGGTCGATCTCGACCGTCTGGCTGGCGAACTTCGCGAAACCCTGGAGGCCGACGGCAGCGGGGCGATCATCAGTTCAGTGGGTGTGTACGGAAACCCCTTAATCGACGAGCGAACGGCCGCCGATTTGGGTCGGGCGATCGACTCCGCCGAGAAGTTCGGCTGCTCGCTGGTTTGTGGCTTTGCCGGGCGAATCGTCGATGTACCGATTCCCGAATCGCTCGAAGCCTATCGCCGGGTTTTCGAACCGCTGGCCCGCAAGGCCGAAGACCGCGGAGTGCGGATCGCCTTCGAGAACTGCAATATGGAGGGCACTTGGGAGCATGGCGACTGGAATATCGCTCATTCGCCCGCGGCCTGGGAGATGATGTTCGAGACAGTCCCCAGCCCGGCGATTGGCTTGGAATGGGAACCTTGCCACCAGATGGTAAGCCTAATCGATCCCTTACCCCAGTTGCGGCAGTGGATCGACCACGTGTTTCACGTTCACGGCAAAGACGCCACCGTGATGTGGGACGTGATTCGCACGCGGGGGATCCGCAGCGGCGAGACCTACGTCCAGCACCGTACGCCCGGGTTCGGCGACACAAACTGGAACGATGTGATCAGCATCCTTCGCGAGCACGGATACCAGGGCACCATCGATATCGAGGGCTGGCACGATCCGGTCTACCGAGACGAACTGGAGATGACCGGCCAGGTCAGGGCCCTCAGGTATCTGCAAGAGTGTCGAGGTGGCCCGTTCGTCGAAAATCCTAGTGTCTAGATTACAAATAGGTGAGTCCATCGCTTAGGGCTCATCGAATTGGCTGCCGGCGTTGACCGCCCTTCAGGGAGTGGGGGCGAGTGCGTTCTGGGGAGGTTCTCAATACAAACGGCTTGAGTGTCTGGGCTTGGGGAAACAGGCCCGACCTTGCGGCCTGAGAGGTCGGGGCAAAGAGGGCTCGCTAAGCGAGGTTTTGTATTGGGTGATAGCACTTGGGACGGAGTCACCCCGCCAAAGGGCGGTAGTAGACCGGGTTTCCGATGCTTAGAATTAAGAGTCTCGGACCCCACTCTAGCCGGGTGTCTGCACGCCATACCAACCTTCACCCCCCTCGTGAACGACTCATCGATGGAAAGTCCAACGAAAAAACTGTATCAGCAGCGGGCCGTGCTCAAGGCACAGCAAGGCGATCCGGAGGCTCCAGCCAGCGGAACGCTATACGCTCGCCGTCACCGATTAGAAGCTGAATTGCGTCAAGTTCGCGTGCAAGAAGCCGCGGCGCTCGATCCGGTTCTAGGCCAACGGCAACAAGCGAACCTTAGCGGCAGTATTCTCATGCAGAAACGCTCGGCGATGATGATCGAGCGAGATCTCAAATCGGTCCAACGCGAAATCGACGTACTGCAAGAACAGATCGACGATGTCGATTCTCAGATCAAGCAAACCGAACGTAAGAATCGTCGCCGCAAACGTTAGGCTCTCAAGCCACTTCTGCAGTTGAATCAACAACGACAGGCTGCCGTCGTTGCTCTCCCCCCGCGCGTTTTGAAGCCGGGGGATTTCTTTGAACGAGATGCAATCGCACGGTACCATACCCGACGATTCGTCCTTCAGCGTTTCTCTGGCGAATAGGCCGCCGCGCGGCATCTTCGTTCAACTGCGGGAGTCGCCTCTCATGCGTTGTTTCTTCAACGTCATCGCAAGCAGCTTTGTTATTGGACTCGTGTCTCTCGGCTGGGGCTATTCTGCCGGAGCCACTGAACCCGCAGGGGTTGAGGCGGTTACGCCGGATAATGTTGTCCGTCCCGAGCCGAACTCGGCGGAGGAACCGCGGATCGAATCGTTCTCACCCGAGAAGGCCGCACACTTTTTGGATTCGGCGGCGCTCGATTGGCAGAACTCGCGGAAGTGCATGGCCTGCCACACAGGTTATCTCTACTTGATGGCCCGACCCAGCTTGGGAGCTTCAAACCCAGCTTACGAAGCGGTGCGTCAGTATGCCGAAGACCTGGTCGAGAAGCGGTGGCTCGAGAAGGGGCCTCGTTGGGATGCCGAAGTGGTGATGACCGCCGGCGTGTTGGCCTACGGCGATCGCCTCAACGGCGGTTCCTTACAGCCCACCACGCGGAAAGCGTTGGACTGGATGTGGACCGTGCAGCGCGACGATGGCGGATTCGACTGGATAAAGTGCAATTGGCCACCCTACGAATCGGACGACGACTTCGGTGCGGCGATGGTGGCGCTCAGCACATTGGTGGCACCCGATGATTACTCCAAGACGGAAGCCGCGCAGGCAGGGCTTGCCCGATTGCGTGAATACCTCTCCGCCAATCCACCACCGACGTTGCATCACCGGGGCTGGCTCCTCTGGGCCGACTCGTATCAGCCCGGGGTGTTGATGACCGACGAGCAGCGGGCTGACGTGGTCGAAGAGCTTCTCTCGCTCGAGCAGCCCGAAGGCGGATGGGCGTTGGCTTCATTGGGCAACTGGGAACGTCACGACGGCGAGCCGCAAGATCGCTCGGCCGCCGACGGTTATGGCACGGCATGGTCGATCTACATTTTACGTCGAGCCGGAGTGGAGCCCGACCATTACGCGATTCGCCGCGGGCTGGCTTGGCTCAAAGAGAACCAACGCGAAAGCGGCCGCTGGTGGACCCGCTCGCTGTACAAAGACAACCACCATTTCCTCACCCACGCCAGCACCGCCTGGGCGATTATGGCGCTCGATTCGTGCGACGCGTTGACCCCAACGCAAACCGCGGCGAAGTAAGACGACAATTCAATACGATTGCTTGGCCTATCGAACCTGTTCGCCGCTTCCTAGAATGGGGCGACTTGCACTGCTGCGGAGTGATTCGCGGCCTATCGAGCACAACACCTTCCGTACATCACAAGCCTTCGCGAGGTGACGCCTTGCGCACGATATTGTCTGAGGATGAGGTTCGCCAGGGAGTCGAGCGACTGGCGGCGGAGCTTCGCGAGCACTACGGCGATCAGCCCGTCACGATTGTGGCCGTGTTGACCGGCGCGGTGGTGCTGCTGGCCGATCTTATCCGACGGCTCGACATGCCGCTACGAATTGGCTTCGTCCGAGCCAGCAGCTATCGGGGAGAATCGACTGAGCCGGGGCATCTCGTGGTCGACATCGACATGCTGCCCGACGTGGGCGGTAAGCAAGTGCTCCTGCTCGACGACATTTTCGATACCGGTCGCACCTTGCTCAATTTGCTGAACGAAATCGACGCACTCAAGCCGGCCGCGGTTCGCTCGGCGGTGCTGCTGCGGAAGAAAGGGCGACAAGAAGTGGAGATCGAGCCCGACCATGTGGCGTTCGAAATTCCCGACGAGTTCGTCGTCGGTTACGGGCTCGACTACAACAACCTGTACCGCAATCTGCCGCACCTGGCTGTGTTAGAACCGGCCGACTTGGCGAGAAACCTGGCCGAGGAACCCACCGCGTGAGCGTCCGGCGCGTGGTACTCATCAGCCGCCGATTCTGGCCATTGCTCGGAGGAGCCGAGTCGGTGATGGCCAACCTGGGTGAAGAGCTCGTTCGCCAAGGAATCGAAGTCACCCTACTTACGGCACGGTTCGATCGCCGCTGGCCGACCGAGGTTACCCATCGCGGGATGAAAGTCGTGCGGCTGTTTCAACCGCAAACGCGCTGGTGGGGCACCTGGTGCTACATGAGGGCGGTGGCCCGTTGGCTCCAGGAGAATCGCGAGCGGTTCGACCTGGTCTACGTGTCCATGTTCAAACACGATGCCTACGCCGCCGTGGGTGTGGGAAAAAAGCTTGGCTTTCCCGTGGCGATTCGTGCTGAAGGGGCTGGCCTCACCGGGGACATGCACTGGCAACTCGGTGCCGTAGGAGGACGCCGCATCAAGCGACGCTGCTTCGAAGCTGCGGCGTTCATCGCCCCCAGCTTGATGATCCACCGCGAGATCGTCGCCGCCGGGTATCCGCGAGGGAGAATTCACTACTTACCCAACGGGGTGGCTCTTCCGGCGGAAGAAGAAACCTCGCAGTATCCCGTCCCGCAAACCACGCGCGATGCAGCACGTCATTCCCTGGAACAGGCACTTCCGCAACTCGCGATTCCCGACGGTGCGCCGCTTGCGCTTTACACCGGCCGCTTGCATCATGCCAAAGGGCTCGACGATTTGGTGCGGGCTTGGGCCATCGTTGTCGAGCAGTATCCCAATGCCCGATTGTGGATTGCTGGCGAGGGCGAGTATTCCACCGAACTCGAAGCGCAGATCCGAGAGTGCGGCTTAGAAGATACGGTGGTGCTTGCCGGGGCATTCGATACGGTCGACGAACTGCTCACGGCGGCCGACGTCTTCGTCTTGCCATCGCACGAAGAAGGGATGTCCCTCTCGTTGCTCGAAGCCATGGCCGTGGCTCTGCCGGTGGTGGCGAGCGATATCGCGGGCAACCGAAACTTAGTGGACCACGAAAAGCACGGGCTGTTGGTTCCACCGGGAGAAGCGGAGCCCCTGGCCGAAGCGATTGCCCGACTGTTCGCCGATCGAGACCTGGGCGCACATCTCGGCCGCGAGGCAAGAGGCCGGGTTGCCGCCGAGTTTTCGCTGGAGATCATGGGGCAACGTCACCTCGATCTGTTCAACGACTTGTTAAGCGAGACTTCATCGGCTTAGTGTGGATAATAGACCTCCTCGGAGGCGACCTGGCCCACTCGATCACTCAAACGGCTAACCGGCAAAACCTTGAAGAAACGGCTGCTCCATATCATTCCGACGCTCGATCAGGCGGGGGCCGAAAAACAGCTCTCGCTGTTGGCTCGCGGCCTCGACCGAGGGGAATTCGACACGCAGGTTTGCGTGCTCACGCGAACAGGTCCCTTGGCCGCCGAGTTGGAAGCCGCTGAAGTGCCGCTGTGGCCGATCGAGAAACGGTGGAAGCTCGATCCTTTGGCCCTGCGTCGATTGGTGCGGCTCATTCGCCGTTTGCAGCCCGACCTTGTGCATACGTGGCTATTCGCGGGGAACAGCTACGGTCGGGCCGCGGCACTTCGAGCGGGGGTTCCCCATCTGGTGGCCACCGAACGTTGCGTCGACACGTGGAAGGTGGGGCACGAGTTTGCGATCGACCGCCAGTTGGCTCGCTACACGGATAAGATCGTGGTCAACAGCAGCGGCGTCCGAGATTTCTATGTGGCCCATCAACTGCCGGCCGAAAAATTCGTTGTCATCCACAACGGTATCGGTCCGGCGAAACCTCCCACGCGCACGCGGGAGGATCTGCTGGCGGAACTTGCCCTCCCACCCGACGCCAAACTCATGGGGGCCGTCGGCAGGTTGTGGCCGCAAAAGCGAATCAAAGATTTGATTTGGGTGACCGATTTGCTGAAAGTGATTCGCCCTGACATCCATCTCCTCATCGTCGGCGACGGACCGCAACGCGATCGGCTCGAACGTTACAGTCACGTGATCGATATCGAAGATCGGGTGCACTTCCTCGGTCATCGTTCCGACGTGCCCGAGTTGATGCCGCATTTCGATGTGCTGCTGCTGGCCAGCGGATACGAGGGGCTTCCCAACTCGGTGATGGAAGCCATGGCCGTGGGCACCCCGGTGGTGGCGACCGATATCCCGGGCAATCGCGACCTGGTGGTTGATGGCGAGACCGGCTTTCTTGTGCCGTTGGGCGATCGTGGTGAGTTTGCCAAGCGAGTGCAGCATCTTCTGGATGATGCGGAGCTGGCACAACGCCTTGGCGAGGCAGGCAAGCAGCGAATCACTGAACACTTCAGCATCGATAAGATGGTGGGGGCCCACGCCGCACTTTATCACGAGTTGTTGGGATAGTGCTTCACCCTTTCATCCAATCTCCGGCTCTCGCGACCCCTCAACGATAGGCCTACAGCATGTGCGGAATCGCGGGGGCAATTTGGACATCGCAGGGCCAGCCTGTGCCCGGCGACGTGCTCCGCCGCATGACCGACGTGCTGCGTCATCGTGGGCCCGACGACGAAGGGTATTACAGTTCTGAAGTTCGCCGCACCCCTCAGAACAGAGAGGTGCCCGGCGTTGCCTTAGGACACCGGCGGCTTTCAATCATCGATTTGAGCTGTGGTCATCAGCCGCTGGCGAATGAAGACGAATCGGTGTGGGTCGTCTTCAACGGCGAGATCTACAACTTCCGCGAACTGCGACAACGGCTTGAAGGCGCAGGTCACCAGTTTCGCACCGACAGCGACACCGAGGTGATCGTCCACCTGTATGAGGACGAGGGGCCCGAGTGTTTCTCCCACTTCAATGGCATGTTCGCCATCGCCCTGTGGGACGCCAATCGTCGTCAACTGGTGCTGGGGCGCGACCGGCTGGGGCAGAAACCGTTGGTCTATCGTCTCGAAAACGGGCGGCTGTTGTTTTCCAGCCAGATCAAAAGCCTGTTGGAAGTGCCCGGGGTGCCGCGCGATCTGGATGCGGCTTCGCTTGATGCGTATCTCACCTACCAATACGTGCCGCACCCGCGGACGATCTTTCAGGGGATCAACAAACTCCCGCCGGGGCATCTGGCTGTATATCGCGAAGGCCGCTTGGAAGTGAAGCCGTACTGGCGGCCGGATTTCAATCGCGAAGTGCAGATTCCTCAAACCGAAGCGGGTGAGCAACTCGAAGAGTTGCTCGAATCGTCGGTTCGTTATCGGCTGCAGAGCGATGTGCCCTTGGGGGCGTTTCTCTCCGGCGGGATCGATTCCTCGATTGTTGTGAGCCAGATGCAGCTGCTCACCGACCGGCCGGTGCAGACCTTTGCCATTGGGTTTCCGGTGCCAGAGTACGACGAGACCCGCTACGCCCGCGAGGTGGCCGAGCATCTGGGCACTGATCACCACGAGTTACAGGTAGAGCCCAGCGCGCTGGATCTGTTGCCGAAGCTTGTCTGGCATTACGACGAGCCGTTCGGAGACAGCTCGGCGATTCCCACGTACATCGTTTCGAAACTTACGCGAGAGTATGTCACGGTTGCCTTAAGTGGCGATGGTGGTGACGAACTGTTTGCCGGCTATGATCGCTATCGTGCAGTGCGGCTGGGGGCCTGGTTCGATCGATTGCCCCAACCCATGCGGGCTGCACTCACGGCCGACCTCTGGCAGCGCATCCCCGGCAGTACCCGACAGAAGTCGGTTTCACGTCGAGCCAAGCGATTGCTGCAGGGGCTATCGTTCCCGCCGGGGCGGCGCTACCTGGAATGGATCGCGATATTCAACGAAGCCCGTCGCGCTGAGTTGTACAGCGATGAATTCTTGAGCCACCTACCCAACCACGATCCGTATGCGTTTCTCGATGCGGCCTTCGCCCGATCTTCACGCCGCGATCGGGTGACCTCGACCGCGTTGACCGACCTGGTGACTTACCTTCCGTGCGACTTAATGACCAAGGTCGATGTGGCTTCGATGGCGCATGGTTTGGAATGCCGCCAACCGTTTCTCGATTATCGGTTGGTTGAGTTTGCGGCCTCGCTACCACTGCAGTTGAAGCTGCGGGGGCGGAAGTCAAAGCGATTGTTATTGGATACTTTCGGCCACCGGCTGCCAGCTTCGGTGCTGCAGCGGCGCAAGATGGGTTTCGGCGTCCCGTTAGATCGCTGGTTCAAGCAGGATCTCAGCTCCTACATCCGCGAGATCTTGCTCGACAGCCGCGCGACCGGGCGAGGATACTTCCAGGAAGCCACCGTGGCCCGGCTAATCGATGAGCATCAGCAGGGCGTGTTCGATCACAGCTACAGGCTGTGGGCCCTGCTGTTTCTGGAGCTTTGGCTGCGAGAATGGATCGACTGAGAGCAAGTGCCGTCCGTCCGCGACCATTTGACGCAGCGCGCCAATTCGCGTTGTCACCCTTTCGGGCTGTGCCCCTCGGGCGGTTTCCGAAGGTTCGCTAAGCGTTGCTTTCGGCAAAGGTGGTTCATCTGCAATCACGCCTAATTCCCCTAGCATTGTGGTCGATACTCATGCCTGTGGCGACAGGTGTCGCGCTATCCAAACCCCGCCTGTGCGGTATGGAAGGCGTTCACAGCCGCACAGTTTTCGAGATTCGCTGCACACTGAGCCCGCGCGCTGGCCTACGGAGCTTGCCGATTGGGTTGACTGAGTACCTTGACGGGCCGCGTAACGTTAAACTGTGAGGGTCGTCGGGATCACTTCTAGTTTTATAGCTCTGGCTACGCAAAGGACGCAGGCATGCGGAATGTGATCGCCGTTGTATTGGCTGGTGGTAAGGGATCGAGACTCGAACCACTTACCCGGGACCGTGCGAAACCGGCCGTGCCGTTCGGTGGCGCTTATCGCATTCTCGACTTCGCGCTGTCGAATTGCATCAACAGCGGAATGCGGAAGATCCTCATCTTCACGCAATACAAGGCGATGAGCCTCGACCGGCACATCAACCTCGGCTGGCGAGCATACCTGTGCCGGGAGTTGGGCGAGTTCATTGACGTCGTCCCCCCGCAGCAGCGTATCGACGAGCATTGGTACCAAGGCACCGCCGACGCGGTTTATCAAAACATCTACACGCTCGAGAACGAGCGACCCGACCTGGTGGCCATTCTTGCCGGCGATCACATCTACAAGATGGACTATGGCAAGCTGGTTGATTTCCACCGCGACAATCATGCCGACTTGACGATCGCCGCACTTCGGGTCGATACCCAGTCGGCCAAACAGTTCGGCGTGATGGAAACCGAAGTCGACGGGCGGATTGTGGGCTTTGAAGAGAAGCCGGCCAACCCCAAGACCATCCCCGGCGATAGTCAACATGCGTTGGCCTCGATGGGGATCTACATTTTCACGGCCCGCTTTTTGTTCGAGCAGTTGTGTCTCGATGCTACCAAGCGTGATAGCTCGCACGACTTCGGGAAAGACATCATCCCTTCGGTGATCAAGTCACACCGAGTGTTTGCTTATCCGTTCCGCGACGAGAACCGCAAGGCCGACGCATACTGGCGTGATGTCGGTACGCTCGACGCTTACTTCGAAGCAAACATGGATCTCGTTTCCGTCGATCCGCAGCTCAACATGTACGACGACGTGTGGCCGGTGCGTACCTATCAACCGAACCTCCCGCCGCCGAAGTTCGTGTTTGCCGAAGATCGCGAAGGCGGCCGACGCGGCATGGCGCTTGATAGCATTGTGTGCCACGGTTCGATTATTTCCGGCGGCGAAGTTTGCCGTTCGGTAATCGGGCCACGAGTGCGGGTGAATAGCTTCGCTAGCGTCGAAGATTCAATTCTGTTCGAAGGTGTGAACGTCGGCCGGCACGCGAAGATTCGCCGCGCGATCATCGACAAGCAAGTGGTGATTCCGCCGAGTGCCGAGATTGGGTACGACCTCGACTTCGATCGCGCTCGGGGATTCACCGTGAGCGATAACGGTGTAGTCGTCATTGCCAAAGGCGACGGCGTGGAAGAATTCCTCGAAGCCGAACCCGCCCGGGGTTAAGCGGCTAAGGTCATCCTAAAACTTGCGCGCAACTCTCGAGGCGGTTCTCGCTGCCTTGCACTTCGTTTCCGTATGCGCGCAAAAAAGCCCCCGGAATAGGTAGTGTCCCAGGGGGGCAAAGGACACCTTATCCAGATTCCGGGAGCGATTGGATCCGTCGTGTCACGGAGAGAAGCAGTTCGCGACAACGTGCAGCGAGTCGCACGCTAGGACTGCGAAGTCAACCACCGGCGTCCCTGCCTGTGTGGCTGAGGCTTCGTGGTCCGCAGAAAGGCATCCATGCCAATCCAGATGCGGGCCCGTCCAAATGGACTCGTTCGGTACGTTGTTGCGGCTGTTCGTTCCGCTCACGAGGCGGGGAGAATATGAGAATCGCCTGTGGGGGTCAAGGGCGGTTTCTGACGAGTTTTTTCTGCGTTTTTTCCGCGTTCTACGCATGGTTTAGAAAACAATTTCAACGCTGTCGCGAATTCGAGACACCGGATTATTTCGTTCTCAAAACCAAAATGCACGATTGCACCATCTCCAGGAGAGGAGTAACTTAATTCTTTGGGGGGCAGGCTTGGTATCTCCATGCACGTCTCCGTGTGTCTCAGAGAAAGGCAAGCAAGGGAACCAAGAACGGCGCGCAAGATCGAATATCGCGTGCGGTTGCTAACCTCGCTTCGCTGTGGCGAATTACTCTTCTCTATCGTCTGAAGCGAGAACTGCCATGGCCTTGATTGTGACGTGCCCGTTGTGTGACGAGACGTTCAACGTCAAGGAAAAGTACCTCGGCAAGATCGGGGGCTGTCCTCACTGTCACGGCAAGATTGCCATCCCCGAGTGTCTGCCCGATGCAGAAACCGTATTCGTGGGCGACGACGACTCACGGACGGACTTCGACTTTCGTACGAAGCAACCTCCACAGCCGCGTCCGAAGCCCAAACCGCAATCTTCGGTGCCGATGGGCAAAGCGAACCCCGATTACGATGTGACGCACATCCTCGAGGAGCAGTCGCTCACCGTTCCTTACAACACCCTCACGTCCGGGAAGAAGATTCGGCGTAAAAGTGATAACACCCTACTCAAGGTTGGGCTGGGGTTGACCACCGTGGCCACCGTGATCATGGCCATCGCTCTGATCGTTCATGTTTCGTCGAAAGAAGACCCGGTGGCCCCTTCGACGTTGCAGGCGTCGGATGTGAAAATAAATCCTCAGGTGCAGTACATGAACGATCAGCTCGAAGCCACGATCGAGATGATCCAGGTGCTGGCCACGGTGAAGGACGGCGAAACGGCCGAAGCAGCCGTGCCCGGCTACATTGAAGGATTGAAGAAGCAAATTACCTGTGCCAGAGATTTTCTCGCGGTCACCCCAGGTGAAGATGTCGATCCTCCGTATCGCGAAATCAAGAATCTCAAGCCGCAACTCCTTGAGGCCAGCCAGGCACTCAAGACCGAGAAGGCACGCATTTGGGAAATTCCCGAGGCAGCCCAGGTGCTGCAGTCCGAAGGCAGTGTGCTTTCAGAAGAGTATGGTCTGCTGCTCAATCAATTGAAGCGGCGTCACCCGCACTTGAAGATCTTCTAGCAGCACTTTCGCTCTCTTACTTCTAACGTATGGAAGCCGCCGCCAACGTGCTGCGCGTCTCCCCTCCGCGCCGGTTGTCGCTATGATGGGTCTGTCTTGCAGGGTTTCACGTTCACACCGCTCTGCGGGGCTTCCCACCTTTGAGACTCAAGACGCTGGTTATTCCAGAGCCCCATGCACGAACACTTTATGCGGATCGCACTACAGGAAGCCGAACTGGCTCGCGAAGAGGGCGAGGTGCCGGTAGGTGCGGTCATCGTGCATGGCGACCGGCTGATCGCTTCGGCCCATAACCAACGCGAGCGGCTGCACGACCCGACGGCCCATGCCGAGATGATCGCCATCACCCAGGCCGCCGAGGCCCTTTCTAGTTGGCGGCTCGAAGGTTGCACGTTGTATGTCACCCTAGAGCCATGCCCCATGTGCGCGGGCGCGATTCTGCAAGCCCGCATGCCACAGGTGGTTTATGGGGCTCGCGACCCGAAAGCCGGGGCGGTGCATTCGCTGTTTCGCCTGCTGGAAGACTCCCGGCTGAATCACACCACGCAAGCGGTCTCCGACGTGATGGCGGAACCCTGCGGCGCGATCCTGACAGAGTTCTTTCGCGAACAGCGCAAGTTGGGAAAGAAATAGCAGGCGTTCTAGCAGCGAGCCACTTAGCTCACGCGGTGCCCGATGCCCGGCTCGGGGTTTTCGATTTTCTTCTGCACGGTGGCCACGCGTTGATGCAGTTGTTCCAGGTCTTGCCGGAAGCGATGCACGGCTCGACAGCGATCTTCCAACGGGCCAAACAGGTTGATCTCGGGCAACTCCCGGCTCCAAGACTCGGTCAGCGAGTTAATCTGCCCTCGCAGCCCTCGCCTTAGGCGGGAAGTGAACATCCACAGCAAGAAGGCCGACCAAGCGACGAGCCAAAAAGCGGCGTGGACGAAGAAGTCCCAGCCGAAGGTGGCCGTGGGCTCTGGGGCAAGCCACGAGTCGTAGAAAAAGTTCTTGCCTAGCCGGTAGACGATCACGCCGATCATTGCTAGCAGCAGCACTTCGTACCGCAGTCGGGTGAACCAGCCGGTGTGTTGTTGGGCCAGCGTGGCAATCACCTTCTGAAGCTGCGCGGCCGCCTGCGGAACAAACGCCGCGCTGGCCTCCACCGCTTGGGCTTGGATGGCGGCCGAAGATGTATCGTCGTTCGAAAAGCCAGCCTCGCCTGCGTAACCGTCGAGGATGATAGCAGCCGTGCGAAGTTCGCCCGCATCCCAACTGGTCGCCATGGCGCGTGCTACACCCGAGGAAGCCACGCTTCGCCGGCGACGCTGCTGAATCGCTCGTCCACCCGCCGCAGCTCCCCACAGGGCCACTTGAATGGGAGAACGGGCTCGGGCCAACGCCGCGCCACCCAGTAGGTTCCCCAGGCCCTGATAAATCCGCAGCACGCCCGAGAAGGGGCTGAAGCCCCAGCGGTTGGCCACTTCGCCTAGCAGTCGTTCTTCCCACGAACGCCGCGAGTGAAGCAACTCCTCGCGAGTGGTGTCGGCCAACAGCTTGCCCAGACGGGCCCGTTGTTCGGAGATGGCCGCTTCCAACTGCTCGACCGCCGGCATGCTGTCATCCAATTCGGCAGCACACGAGTCGAGCGCGCGTCGTACGAGGTCGAGAAAGTTCGCCCGACGAATACGCTTCGCCGCCGAACCGGCCAACGAGCGAGTGAGCAGATCGAGCAGCTTCGCGAAATCTCCGCGAGGGTCGGTTCCAGCCTGGGCGTCGGCCAATGCTTGCAGTGAGTCGACGAAGAAGATCTCTCCGGCCTGGTACTCATCACTCAGGGTTGCCCGCCAGTCGGCCCTAATGTCGTCGTCCTCGTCGGCATGGGTCTGCACGAACAGCAGTTGGGCCCCGGCCGAGGCGGTGGTCAGCTCATCGCGAACGCTGGCACTCCGGTACTTCTGTTGCGTGCCGGTCACCAGCAACACATCGCAGTGGGGGAGAAGTTCACGGAGTCGGGCCAGGTTCGTCCCGCCGACCTCTGCTGCATCTTCATCTTCGCTAGTGTCGGGGTCGGGGCAGTCCAGTAGCACCAGGTCGCGTAAGGCTGGTAGCTCGCGCTGTACGAGGTGGACCGAGGCGGGGTCGATGCCCAGCATCTCGGGCGTGGTGTCGGTGTGGCAGATGAGCGTGGCGAGTCGCGTGGTGGGCCGCTGACGGCCCGTACGGCTCACTTCCTCGCCCACCAGGGCGTTCACCAGGGCACTCTTGCCCGTGCCGGTGCCGCCGAGTGTGGCCACGACCAACGGGGCCTGCCAACGCACACGCAGCGTATCGACGCGTTCAGAGAGTCGACGCACCTTGGCCGCACACGATCGCGCAGGTGCCCAATCGGGACCGCGTTTGGCCCACAACCGAAGCTCGGTCATCAGGGCGTCGACGTCGGCCAACAGATCGAGATGTTCGATATCTTGAGAAGCCATCAATCCTTACACTCTGTGCCCGAGGCGAGTACGTCTGTTAATCGTACCACAGAGTGGATTGAGGCGGCGGGACGACCGCAGATTCGCGGGCAACTCCCCGCGCAAACGAGAACGCTCGCTGTGAGAATTCAGCGATTGAGCCCGATTGTGAGGCCCCAGTCGCAAGGCTACAGTCGTCTGCCCAGGAATCCCAGCTTACTCGGTCTCGGTATCGCTGGGACGCGTGGCCATCCGCTCGAACTGTGAGGCTTCGTCTTCGTTGCCCAAGTGACGGTGCATGCTGGCCAGGTTCGTGTATGGCACTTCGAGGGCTTCCGCTTCCATTAGCCCGGCCCCCACGGCCTGTTCCATGAGTTGGGCTCCGGCGTTGGTTAGCCGCAGCGCCAAGTCACGATCTTTCACTTCCCAGTAAGAAACCGCCATGCTCACTAGGGCCTCGCCTTGGGTGCCCACTTCAGATGGAGGCGTAAACGGCAGGGCTTCCTTAATCAGCGGGAACGAGCGATCGAAGAATTCCACAGCCATGTTGTGGTTCTCTTTCTGCAACGCGTGCACCGATCCGATGCGGAACAGCAATTGGCTTTCGTAGAACACAAAGCGTGGCTCTTCGCCCAAGGTTTCGCGAGCCATGGTGAAGTATTCTTCGGCCACGATGCCGTTCTTCAGGGCTTCATCGTCCAGTCCGCGGAGTTGTGCGATCCGCACGGCGTCGGACAACATCAGCCCCATGGTCAACTGCAATTGGTGTTCATCCAGGGGATCGTTTGAATTGACCAACAGTTGTTTGGCCGCCCGCAGAGATTGCAACACGTAGCCCTTATGGTCCAACTCACCGCCCAATCCAAGCGAAGCTTTCAGGGCCCCGCGAGAGATATCGATTTGTCGCCGCAAGCGAAGTCGCCCGCTGGAGGTGGCGTCGGCCAGTTGTGTGGCACGGTCCAACCACATCGGCACGACCGACTCCTGACGCCGCCAGTTGCCGTGGGCCACGTCGTAGGCGACGGCCAAGTGTGCTTCGATGGAGACTTCCTCGGCCGCATGTTGCACGGCCAGGTATTCGTCGGCCAGCAGAGGTTCGGCCAGTTTGATGGCCTGCAGATGGAACTCGATGGCCTGCTTCAGGTCGCGATCGGGTCCGTGCGTGTACAGGTTGCCTTTTTGCAAAATGGCCTGCGCCCGAATCAGGTCGCCTTGGCCGGCCAGCTTGAGGGTCTTCTGCAAATCTTCGGCCGCCAGGTCGTAGTCGCCCAGTTCCATGGCGATTTTTGCCCGAGTGAGCAACGCCGCGGGTTCATCGGGTTTCAGCTCGATGGCTTTCTTCGCGGCCGTCATGGCCTCTTCGGTCAATCCCACGTGATAAAGGATTGAAGCCTGCAGGGCGTAGGTTTTTACTTCTTCCGGGGCGAGGTGCGCGGCCACTTCCAAGTCGTTCAAACTCAACTGAGGCTGGGCGATTTGTTGGTTTTCGGCCCGTGCGATGAAGGTCTGAGCGTCGATCGGTTCGAGAATAATCTGCACCACGGCCGGTTCTTCCGCTTCAGGATCGAAGCCGAAGAGAACTCCACGCTCGGGATACGCTTGTCCCAAGGGCCTTCCCGTGCCGTCGCGGACGACCACCGGGCGGAACTCGGAGAGCGCCAACTGCGAGGCAACGTCACCGGGTGAGAACGCCTGGTTGAGGTTCACCACGATCGAAGCCACCACACCGTTCTCGACGGTGGTCACCACTTGCTCGAACGGTTCGACGGCATAAAGTCGTTGTTCGACGCCGTCGTTCTGAATCACCTTGGTGGGTTCGCCCCACTCGGCGTTGGTGTCTTCAGGGCGAGATGTGCCCGGTTGAATTCCGCCAAGGCGAGCCGGCTCAACCTTGTACTTGGCCAACAGCGGATCGGTGATTTCTTCTTCGTCAGCCGCTTCTGCACCGGCCAGCTCTTCGGCTGCCTGGGAGATGTCGGTCGATGCGGGTTGATCGTCCGGGGTCGGGGTTACTTGCTGGGCCGTTTCAGGCTCGGTTTGCTGATCGCCACTTTTCTGGACGATCTTGACCGAGGCGCCTTGCTCACTGGCATCTTGCGCGAAGGCCCATAGTGGCAGGTAGGCGACGAAGATCATCGCCACGGTACGCACAAGAAGTTGTTGCGAACTCATCCGCCCATTCATTACCCAACGCATCGGGAGTTCCTCCTGAACCAACGCCAACGACGCGTGACGTTTGCTGTGACCAATCCTTGGCTCGTTCGAAGATACGGGTCGCACTTGCCGCGAGTTCCTACTCAGCGGAAAGCTTCGGTCGTGCGGCCTCGCAGCGCAATCATCGCACTGCCGGCGCACCGATCGAGTGGCGTACTATACCCATCCCCCCAAATCGTACCTAGAGAGATGTGCCACTCTTTGGATCCGTTTTTGGAGAGTTATTTGCTGGCGGTGCTAGCGTGAGGAGGGGGGATCTTCCAATGGATTCAACGCCGCCAAGGCTCGCTGAGCTGTTTCGGCCTCGCCTTGTGGGGCGAGCTTCAACGCATCTTGGAAAACTTCTACTTGCGAGGGGGTGAAAGGTACGGCATCGCCAACTTGCGGTAAACGTGGAACCAGTCGCGTTACGATCACGTTTCGCAACTGCTCGATTCCCACGCCAGAGACCGCACTGGTGGCGATGGTGTTTTCCGATGTAGCAGGAGGGTGCGGGAGAAGATCAACTTTGTTGAGTACCCGCAGGTGCGGAATGCCTTCGGGTACGTCAGCCGTGCCGTCTTCTCCTGTCGTTGCACTGGCATCGCTTACCAACAGCACAATGTCGGCCGTGGAGAGATGCGCTCGGGCTCGAGTGATTCCCTCGTGCTCGATCGTATCGCGGCTTTCGCGTATGCCCGCGGTGTCAGCCAGTTCGACGGGCCAACCATCGATCGCTGCGGACGAGGTGACCACATCTCGCGTGGTACCCGGCTGATCGAATACGATGGCCCGTTCGTAGCCGAGCAGGCGATTCATCAGGCTGCTCTTCCCCACATTGGGAGGCCCCGAGAGCACCACGTTCCAAGGCCGGATGAGGTGCAGCCCAAGGGATGCGAATTGCAGCAGATTTTGTAGCTGCTCGATGGCTCGATCGATTCGGCCCTCGCTCAGATCGCGATCGATCTCACGTACGGCCTTCGACAACGCACCGTTCGCCTGATCGAGCAGGATGCCGGCCGCGCGGTCGGTCAGTGCGGCGGCCAGCGCCACATGCGCCTCGGCGACGAGCGCATCGTTGTGCGTAGCCCGGGTGTGGTCTTGCCAGTTACGACTGACGGCGCCCTGCGTGGTGAGCGAAGCGACGATCTGCTCGATGGCTGCCTGAGAGCCGTGACAGTGGACTTCGATACGGTGATCGTCCAGGCGACAGACCACCAGCTCTTCCCCGGCAGACTGCGATGAGTCGTCCGAACCTTGCACGGTCGGGAGCCAGGTTCCGAAGATGATCCGCCCCAGCGGGAACGAATCGAGCGGCTGTTTGCTGCGGGGATGGAACGACTGAGCGACGAACTCCAGGGCTTGCGGTCCTTCGACCAACACCGTCGCCACGGCCCCACGACCTCGCGGGGTTTGCACGACAACGTGGGTGGCAGATTCGTTCATCACCGGCGAGGTAGCGGAGAGCGTTAGTTGACTGACGTCAGCACGATGCCGGCCAACACCAGGTCGGGCACGTAGTGGACGTCCTGCCCAAGGTGCGGCAACACCGACTTGGCCGCCCCGCCGGTAAGAAACACTTCAGGAGCTTGCCCAATTTCAGCGCCCAACCGGGCGATTAGCTCCTTCACCGCACCGATCGTGCCCCAGTACAGACCCGACTGCATTGCGGTGACCGTCGAAACGCCCAGCGCCGCGGGCGGTTCATTCAGGGCCGCGATGTCGAGCAGGGGGAGTAGATCGGTAAACTCGTGCATCGCCCGGGCGGCAATGCCAAAGCCCGGGGAGATCGACCCCCCGCGAAACACACCGGAATCGGAAATCAAGTCGACCTTATTAGCCGTGCCCAAGTCGACAATCACGGCCGGCTTCTCGGGATTGCGGAGGTGATTCACCGCTACGGCGGCCAGCAAGCGGTCGACCCCAACCATGTCGGGGCGTTCGAGATCCACTTCCAGCGGTAAGTCGTCGCGAGCCAGCATCATCAACCCTCGAGCCGCATCGCGTTCGCGCAGCCAAGCGATCAACCGCGTGGAACCAAGCAGGTTCACCGTGCCGACGCGCCAGGCGAGCGATTCCAGATCGTGGGGTTGTAGCCAGTTGATCAAGTCGTCGAACGGCTCGTCGAGCGTCGAGAGTTCGAAGGTTCGGTCGGGGCTGGGTAACTGTTTCTCGGTTCGGTCGACCGAGTCGAACAGGCCGAACTTCATGCGGGTGTTGCCGATGTCGACGGCCAACAGCGGGGACGTTTGGGTGGGCGACATGGTGGTGGGCTCTTCAGGGGTTGGCGCACTGCGCGAGTTTTTCGCTGACGGCGTTCAGCAGCTTGTCGAGACCCTCGCCCGTTACGGCCGAAAGTTTCAGCACCGGGTTGCCCAATTCGGCCGAAAGCCGGTCGACCGTTTTATCGGCCTCGGGCAGTTCACCCTTGCTGACCACAACGATCTCCGGCCGATCGGCGAGGTCGACATCGTACTGATTCAATTCGTTCCGCACCGCACGGTAGTTTTCCAACGGGTCAGTCTCGTCCATCGGCTGCGGTTCCACTAAGTGTACCAACACCCGAGTGCGTTCGACGTGCCGCAAGAATTCGTGACCCAGGCCGACGCCCGCGTGAGCCCCTTCGATGAGGCCCGGAATGTCGGCCATGATGAAAGCCCGATCGAAATCGATCTGCACCTGGCCCAGGTTGGGGAACTTGGTGGTGAACGGGTAGTCGGCAATCTCCGGTCTGGCCCTCGATAGCCGGCTGAGCAGCGTGCTTTTACCCGCGTTGGGTTTGCCGATGAGTCCCACGTCGGCAATGACTTTGAGTTCCAGAATCAGCGTGCGTTCTTCGCTCGGTTCACCGGGGGTGAACTCGCGGGGCACGCGATTGGTCGAGGATTTAAAGCGGGTGTTTCCCTTCCCGCCTTTGCCGCCCTTGGCCGCGGTCACACTATCGCCCGCGTTGGCCAAGTCTTTCAGGCGGAACATCCCCCTCTCGTCGTACACGACCGTGCCGGGGGGGACTTTGATGATCAGGTCTTCGGCACTCTTGCCGTGGCAGTTGTCGCCGCGACCTTGTTCGCCACTCCGGGCATTCCAATGGTGCTTGTGAGCCAGTTCGGCCAGCGAGTTCACGCCGGCGACTGCTTCGATGATCACGCTGCCACCGTCGCCACCGTCGCCGCCGTTGGGGCCTCCGCGGGGAACATATTTCTCGCGGCGGAAGCTGACGCAGCCGTCGCCTCCTTTACCGCCGGCGACATGGATTTTGGCACGGTCGACAAACATCGTCGGTCCAACTTGGGTTAGTGGTTCTTCAGCAGTCCGCACGAAGAACGGGTCTGTGAATAAAAAAAGGGACCGGTCGAATTCGACCCGTCCCTTGAAATTATCTCGATTGGGCGCCTGAAAACAGAGGGCGACCGGGGTTTTACGTCAGATCTTTTGACCTGGCTTAGTTGCTTTCGACCAGGGTTTGATCGACCACGTTCACGCGACGGCCCTTGCGGTCGAACTTGACGTAGCCATCGACCAGGGCGAAGAGGGTGTAGTCTTTGCCTTGACCCACGCCTTTGCCGGCATGGAAGCGGTTGCCCACCTGACGAACGATGATGTGCCCGGGCTCAACCTTTTCGCCACCGAAACGCTTGACGCCACGGCGTTGTGCGTTCGAGTCGCGACCGTTGCGGCTGGATCCCTGGCCCTTTTTATGTGCCATGACGATGATCTCCGTGAGAATCCCGCGACCGATAAATCTGCTGAGCTGGGTCGGGGAGAATTGTAGGAATTCTGGAACCCCTTTTCCTACCGGTAAACCCACTCGTAGTCAACCGCACCGGGCTCACCAAAGTGGAATTCTCGCTCGTGTTGGTGCAGATCGTCGCCGGGACGCCAAAACTTGAGCTTGAGCGTCTTGTGGGTCATGCGGCGTCCCTCGGGGGCGTCTTCCCAGCGGTAGGCGTTGGTCAGCCCACGTACGTAGACCAGGAAGCGGTCGGTCCGGGGGTCGACGTCTTCCCAGGTGGCCACGCCCCACACGGGGTTCATCACGCCGGGGCCAGCGGTCTGGCCGTCTTCCCCAGTGGCCGGGCGTTCGCTCACCGGGATCTCACCGCTGATTTCGACTGAGTTCAAAATGCCGTGAGGGAAGTGCTCGCGTTCGGCGATCGGCTCGTTGGCCACCGGGATCAATCGGTCCATGTACCGCTTGAAGCGACCCTGGTCGTCCTTCACGTCGCTGACCAGTTCGAAGATGGGGGTGAAGTCGGGCACCGGAGTATCGCCGTAGTTCACCACGCGATAGATCATGTACCAGACCTGCTTCTTCCGCATCTTCCCGCTGGCCTGGGGCACATCGACTTCGATCATCCGCATCGGCTTGAACGAGAATTCCAGCGACCAGATATCGTGCTGGAAGCGAATGTTCTGGGCCCAGTCGAATGTCTGATCGACCGCCAGTAACTCGACGATGTCGTGCCGGCTGTAGCTTTCTTCGACCTGCTGATCGGGGTCGATGGTCACCAGCACCCGATACAGACCTCGAGCGGGATCCTGGCTGCGGGGGTCTTCACTTGGCTTGAGATCTGCCGGCGGAGTATCGCGATTCTCTTGCCGAACCAGGCGGGCCGCTGGTTCAGCGGTTCGGCGTGGCGTGGGAGAAACCAGCGAAGATTCGACCTGAGCTACGGCCATCTGGGGCTGCACGACGACGAGTGTCGCTAGCAGTCCGAAGGTGCTCAGAAGTCGTACCGAAATGTGCATCGTTGGAGGCCTCGCTCTCGGGGATCGACTGCCAGATGGACCGATACCACCGGGACAGACGGGCTAGACCTCCATGTCTGGGATGAACCTCTTAGTGTAATTGGGCTTACGGAAATGGGTCAAGAATTCGCCTACCGAAACGGCCCCAAACAGCCTAAACGCCGGGACAAGCTACGAAGACCCGATTACCCGTTACAACCCGAACTTGAGGCGGAAAGGCTCTGTAGCCGCTTAGTCCTGCGGAACCAACTTCCAGGAGACGCGACCGGGTTCCGACGGCGCAACCGCCAAGTCGTCGGCATTCTGGTAGTGCCGCTGCGGAACAGAGCGGCCGGTGATCGAGAGTTCGAATGGCATCAGGCCCTCGGGCCAGGGGGCGATCTGGACGTGATGCTCGATGTTGGGCGACAGGTTCAGCACGGCCCCACTCGGCATTTCGAGGCTGAGTTGATCCTCCTGTTCGGCACAGCAGAACCACAAGCTTAAGAGGTCGAAGCGTTGCAGCAGGGTCAGCCCTGCTGATGCTGCATCTGCACTGTGGTGGGTTGGGTCTTCGCTCTGCCAGGCCGAAAGCCAGCGGTGTTGGGCGGAGGCCTGTTCTTCGAGAAACGCCTTGGCGTAGGTGGTGATCCGCTGGTCATCCGATTCGGCCCAATGCGAACGGCGGAGCAGTTCCTCGAAGTGCCGGCTCACAAGCCAGGCGGTTAGCGGGGCCTTTTGATCGGCCACCGTGATCGAGTGCCGCCAGATGTCGATCGCCTGGGTCAGGGCCATCTCGGTGAAGTCGAGCGGCCGCCCGGAGTCGGCATCGACCTCGGGATGACGTTCCCATTCGCTCCAGCCATCGTCGTGGCAAAGCACGGCCGTGAGTAGATCTTCATTCGCCGAGGCCGAAGCCGCGATCGGTTCCATCCAGTGCTTGGCCAACTCCCAGGCAAGTCGGGCGTGGTCCACTTGCGAGATGAGCATCCAGCCGGGGCGGCCGTCGCGACATTGGGTCTCCCGCCGGATCATCGGATCTCCCACCTGGGCGAAATGCTAGCTAGGGCGTTCTCCTTCCCCCTGGTTTCAGCATACGAACCGAGAAGGCAGAACTCGACTACAAATCGTCAGGCACGCTCGGCGCGACGGGAAATTGTGCGAGTTATCGTCGTGCTGCATCGCCCGAGGATTGGGCGGCCCGTTCCGAGGCCGAGGGCACGAATTGCACGCTGCTAACAATCTGGCGGTCCACTTCACCCAATTGCGGTTCCAGCTCGCTCTCCAGCGTGAAGGCGAAGCTCAGCCGCTTGCCGGCTTCATCGCGAATCACGTAGTAGTGCCAGTGCATGGGCTGGCTCGAAGCGGTGCCCTGGGCGATGACTTCCCGCAGGGTGAGCCCCGAGCTGGTCTTGCTCTCACCGGCCCGCACGAAAGAGCCGAAGTTGTCGCCCAGCGATTGCTTGATATCGCGTTGCAGCGTGTCGAGGGTCGAAGCGTGCTCCGGCGGCTTCCGGCCCAGCGGAGAGACATTGCACTGGGCGATCAGCTCGCCCCGTTCGATCATTCGTAGAACGACGACATTGTCGTCTTCGGTCACCACGTGCCAGTTGCGCGGGTAGGCGAAACCGAAACCGTGCTGGTCATCCTCATAGACCAGCAGCTCACGAAGTTCCTTGCTTTCCTCCGGGAGGCCTGCGACCACGGCGTCGGCCAGTTCCGGCGTTGGCTTCGATGGCTTAATGGTCATCTGCAGGCGGACCACCACGTCGAGGCCGGGGGCCACATGGCCGATCGAGCGTTTTTCTTTGATGATTAGGGCGATCCAGCCGACGCGACCCCGCTCGGTATCGAACAGGTAACGGGCTTTCACGTCCATTTCGGTGGCCACCCCTGCGATGGCCCCGTGCACGGTGCCGGCCATTTCGATTTTGGCCACGTTGTCATCGATGGCGGTGAACGTACTCTCGACGTCGTTCGAGCTGACAGCATCGATGCCCAACAGGGCTGCCATCAGGTGATCGGAGTGCGGCCAGGTCGAGCCGACGGTGAGTTCGTGGCCGGGAACTAGGGCATCGATCAGCAAGCTATTGCAGGGGATGTCGATCAGGTCGAGGTCGTCGCGACTGAGCAGCCGTTCGACCGCGTAGATGTCGGTGCTCTCGAGCTTCCGTTCGACGGCAACCAGCCGACGGGTATCTGCTAGCGAGCGGTTCGAGCGATCTTTGTGCACCAGGATCTCGACCTGGGCATCGTCGTAATGGCGAAGGCTGCGGAGTCCGGTCTGGGCCTCGTCGCCCAGCTGCAGGAGTCGTTCGTCGTAGTACAGCGTGCCTTTGGCCTGCATGGGCAGGGCTTCGACCTTGTCATCTCCGCGGAATTTGAGGTCGCCCCGCACTTCAAGAAGTACATCGACGTTTGAAAAATCTCCAACTTTGGCGAGCGAACGTAAGGAATACGGGGTTGTATTCGTCTCAGGCGTGGCTTCCTCGCCATAGCCGATGGCCCCTCCAAAGAGGTGTGCGGCCAAGGCGGTGATTACAAACCAGTGTGTTCCACGCTTAACGCTCATGAAAAGCATCCCTGCTTTGTGTGCTGAAGAGAGGTAGAGATTGCGTCGCATCTACAACCGTCAGATCGGCCAAACCTTGCCATGGAGTTGAATGCGAAGAAAAAGACCCTTGCCTGTGGGGGATTCGGGCAATAGGCCAAAAATGCGGTACAGGCAACCAGATTCCCCACAGACTCTTGGTTTTTGGCACGATTTGTGCAAATCGTTAGGAGCAAAAAGGATATGCTTGTCTGTGGTAGCGAGGAAAAGTCCTTACGGCAGCCAGATTTAGGTCAAAATTCCCGGTCTGCGAACTTTTTTCGAGCAAAAAGACACTTAGTTGCGTAGGAAGAACAACAGATTACGAATGCCGCTGAATTAGGCACGATCCCATCTCAGCCCATTGGGTGTCCAGAAATGAGCCATGTGTCTCTAAATAAGACACGCTCTCTCGACAAAGCCTTGGGTGAGGAAGGTTTTTCGACAAATTCGGCAGCGGAAATCTGGATGGATTTGATAGATTTTCGAGAGGCTGGATTCGCCTTCTCGTAACCGCTGGACTGCGAAGCGTTGACACGGAGATTGGCACGCCGCAGACCAGGCTGGGTTCCCGGCTTCCAAGTCGGCCCTGGCAATACTGCCCATAAGCGATTTGTCCTAGCGAGCCCTGAGGCCGCGACGGCGAACCGCATTTAGAGAAGAGGACGGATCATCATGCATACGGAATACAAAAATCCCGGACTTCGCGAGCTCCGCGACCAGCAGGTGCGGTTCGCTCCCCGCGAAAAGAAAATCCAACAGGCCGATCGAGCCGAGCAGTTGCTGGGCGAAATCGATCCGAAGAAGGTCTATCCCTACGACTACGTTTGCTATCGCGTGACCGATTACCGTCCCGATTCGTATCCGAGTCTGAAGGTGACCGGCGAAGAGGCGATCCACGACCTGCGTCTGTTCATCGAGGATCTGACCGATGTGGTCGACCTGCAAGCCGAGGCCGCCGATGAGCCTGTGTTGACGGTGGAAGAGGTCAGCAAGCGGTTCAATGTCTCCACCAAGACCGTGTCGCGGTGGCGACAGATGGGCTTGGTGAGCCGTCGTTTCGTGTTCAACGGCCGCAAGCGTGTCGGGTTCCTGGAAAGCTCGGTCGAGCGTTTCGTCGAACAGCACGGCGACCGCGTGAAGCGGGGAAGCCGGTTCAGCCAACTCGACGACGAAGAGCGAGCTCTGATCGTAGAGCGCGCCCGACGTCTGGCCCGTGCTGGCGGATGCCCGGCCGACGTGACCAAGCGTTTGGCCCGACGGTTGGGTCGTAGTGTGGAGACGATTCGCTATACGCTTAAGAACTTCGATCAGCAGAACCCTGAACTCGCGGTTTTCCCCGATGCTAGCGGTCCTTTGGATGAAGATGCCAAAGGCAAGATTTACCAAGAGCATCGTCGGGGTACGTCGGTCGAGGTCCTTGCGAAGCGGTTCTGCCGCAACAAGACGAGCGTGTACCGCATCATCAACGAAATGCGGGCCAAGCGGATCTTCGAGCTGCCATTGGACTGTATCTACAACGAGGAATTCGACAGTACCAAGATCGAAGACCTGGTGAATGCCCCGCTGCCCGAGCCGGAAGTTGCGGCCCGCAAGGCCCGGCGCCCCAGTGGGTTACCGCAGTATTTGGCCAGTTTGTACGAAGTGCCGCTGCTCACCCGAGAGCAGGAACAGCACCTGTTTCGCCGTATGAACTACCTGAAATACAAGGCGAATAAGCTTCGCGAAACGTTGGATCCCACGCGTGCCAAGAGCAGCGTGATGGACACCATCGAGAAGCTGTACGAAGAGGCCGTGGTAACGAAGAATCGCCTCGTGCGGGCCAACTTGCGGTTGGTGGTTTCGATCGCCAAGCGGCACGTCGGCATGCAGGAGAATTTCTTCGAGCTGGTCAGCGACGGCAACATGTCGTTGATGCGGGCGGTCGAGAAGTTCGATTATGGCCGTGGCAACAAGTTCAGCACTTACGCCACATGGGCCATCATGAAGAACTTCGCCCGATCGATTCCCGGCGAGCATCGTCAGCGGGAGCGGTTCCGCACGAGTAGCGATGAGCTGTTCGTGGCGACCGAAGATACTCGGGGCGACCAGTACGCCGCCGAGTCGGCGCAGACGCTTCGCGAATCGCACGTCGGGAAAATTCTGGACCGGCTTGACGATCGTGAGCAAAAGATTATCATCAGCCGGTTCGGGCTAGATTATGACCGAGAACCGCTGACGCTCAAAGAGGTTGGTGCCGAATTGGGTGTGACAAAAGAGCGGATTCGTCAGATCGAAGCTCGTGCCCTCAATAAGCTGCGTAAGGCGGCCGAAGAAGAGAAGATTGACTTGCCTGGGGTATGATGCCCGCGGGTAAACAAAATATGGAACCCCAAGCCAGGGGATCTAGCAAGTAAGGGAGACGACGACGGCTCTCAGGAACAAGCGATTTGTCGCCCGGTGTTTGGCGGGATGATTGGTGGCAGCGTGTTTAGCGCTGCCCGGTGTCCCAGTGGCCGGCGAACATCGTTGTTCCAGAGACTTTCGTGGCCTCCCTTTTTGTTTGGTCTCATGCCGCGGGAAATAGCGAGTTTATCGGGTTCAGTCAGCGGCCGGCCGGGCTCATCGCAGCGGGTGGTGCGGACTGGTGGAGGTTGCTCCGGGGGCTCTCGCGATTTTTACGCAACGAATTGCCATTTGCGATCTTGCGGGCCCTTGACGAATCGCTATATTCAAAGGTTTTCCAGAATTAAGCAGGCTAGCGTAGCTCAATTGGCAGAGCAGCTGATTTGTAATCAGCAGGTTGTGGGTTCAAGTCCCTCCGCTAGCTCGTGGCGGGTACGTTCGGGCCCACTTTCGTGCCTGCGGATCCGGTCGCGGGCTAGGGTGGTTCGCAAACGGAGGTGCACAACCGGCTGTCGCAAGATGCTGGTGCCAAACGATATAACGGTAACTATAACAACGAGTTGCGGGGGGTTTCCCGAGCGGTCAAAGGGGTCAGACTGTAAATCTGATGGCATTGCCTTCACAGGTTCGAATCCTGTACCCCCCACTTGAAGTTCTGGGGTCGGTTGCCGGCCGGGTGCAAGGCTGGTTGCCGTGGTTAGGTGATCGGCAGTGTGCTTGAGAGTTGGGTTCTGATCCTGCCTCGTTTCCTGGATGGTGGTGATCCTGTTTCAGGGTTGCATTGTCTATCTGGGGTCGAATGTGCAAAATCACGAGTCAGTGGCTGTTGTTCTGTCATGCGAGACGGGTGTCGGCCGCTGAAGCGAAGAGAGTGAAAGGTTTTCGGTCGACGTGGCCCTCGCGAAAATTGCGGTGCGGTACTGTCAGGCCGAGTGAGGGAGAGGGCTGTTGGTTTAGTGTGGCCGCGTGCTGGCTTCCGAAAGGTTTTGGTTGCAGGGCGGGTGGAAGTGTTTGAGGCCTCGCCCGAATAGAGGCAATACAAAGCGCGGGTGTAGCTCAATGGTAGAGCCATAGCCTTCCAAGCTAAAGACGAGGGTTCGATTCCCTTCACCCGCTTTTTGCTGATGGGTAAGCACTGCTGCGTGAGTTGGGAAGTGGAAAGAAGTTGTGGAGACCTGACGGCGGGCTACGAGCAAGCCGCAGCTTGTCGAGCGGCAAGCAGACAGTGTTGAAGCAGACGGTGCTGCTGTAGCTCAGTTGGTAGAGCGCGTCCTTGGTAAGGACGAGGTCATGGGTCCGAGTCCCATCAGCAGCTTTAGAGTCAGTGTAGTTGTTGAAACAATTTAGCTAGAGAGACCTGCTCGTAAGAGACAGAGTCAGGAAGAGACGCCGGGAGAAAGCATGGCCAAGGAAACGTTTGAACGATCAAAGCCGCACTGCAACGTAGGTACGATTGGGCATATTGACCACGGAAAGACAACCCTTACGGGTTCTTTGTTGGCCGTGCAGTCTGCCAAGGGGCTTGCCAACTTCAAGTCGTACGCCGATATCGCCAAGGGTGGTACGGTTCGTGACGATACGAAGACGGTGACCATCGCCGTGAGTCACGTGGAGTATGAGTCCGAGAATCGGCACTATGCTCACATCGACTGCCCGGGTCACGCCGACTTTATTAAGAACATGATCACCGGTGCCGCCCAGATGGATGGTGCCATCCTGGTTGTCTCCGCTGCTGACGGTCCGATGCCGCAAACGCGAGAGCATATTCTGTTGGCTCGCCAGGTGGGTGTGCCGGCCTTGGTGGTCTTCTTGAATAAGGTCGACCTTGTCGACGACGAAGAGCTTCTCGAGCTCGTCGAGTTGGAAGTTCGCGAACTGCTTTCGCACTACGGCTTCCCCGGCGACGATATCCCGATCATTCGTGGTTCGGCCAAGGGTGCCTACGATGCTCCGGAAGATCCGGAAGCCACCAAGTGCATCGCCGAGTTGCTCGAAGCGATTGACAGCTACATTCCGCAGCCCGAGCGCGAAGTCGACAAGCCGTTCCTAATGGCTATCGAAGACGTGTTCTCGATCGAAGGTCGTGGAACCGTGGCCACCGGTCGTATCGAGCGTGGTTTGGTCAAGGTTGGCGAAGAAGTCGAAATCATCGGCTTCACCGACAAGCCGACCAAGACGACCTGCACGGGCGTCGAGATGTTCAATAAGACACTCGACTCTGGGCAAGCTGGTGACAACGTTGGTTGCTTGTTGCGTGGTGTTAAGCGTGACGAAATCGAGCGTGGTCAGGTTTTGGCCAAGCCGGGTTCGATTACGCCTCACACCAAGTTCGAAGCCGAGGTTTACGTGCTGTCGAAGGACGAAGGTGGACGACACACGCCGTTCTTCAGCGGCTATCGCCCTCAGTTTTACTTCCGCACGACCGACGTGACGGGCTCGGCCTCGTTGCTGGGTGATGCCGAAATGTGCATGCCTGGTGACAATGCCAAGCTGGAAGTGACCTTGGTGAGCCCGATCGCTATGGATGACGGTGTCCGCTTCGCTATCCGCGAAGGTGGTCGCACGGTCGGTTCTGGCGTGGTGACCAAGATCCTCGAGTAGTAATGACGTTCATGGCAGTGCCGCTGGCCGCGCTCGTCGTGGCCTGCGGCAGCGTGGATTGAACGTGAGCACGAACATAGGGGCGTAGCTCAATTGGCAGAGCGCTGGTCTCCAAAACCAGAGGTTGCGAGTTCGATTCCCGCCGCCCCTGCCATTTAGATTGTCGATCGCGGCGGGGCCCGGCCCCGGCGTGGTCGGCCGAAGTTAGTAAGTGTTGTGTCTTGGGTTGAGTTTCCGTCGAGGATCGACGGGCGGCCACGTAAATGACAGGTGAGCGGGAATGTCACAAGGAACGAACTCCACGGTGAGCCCGTTCTTGCGCAATTTGTTCGATGCGTCGCTATATAAGCGGTCGCAGGGTCGAGTGGCGCGACAGGTTACCTTTGCCGCGGCAGCCACGATTTTCGCTTTAGGGGCTTACTCGCTGAGTAACTCCCTGATCGATCAAGAGGCTCCCGTTCGGTTTGGTTTGGCTGGCTTGGTATTGGTGGTCGGTCTCTGGATTTCCTACCGAGCGGTGAACTGGCCTCAGTTCGCCGATTTTCTGATCGCCGTCGAGGCGGAGGTCAACAAGGTAACCTGGCCGACACGCAGTGTGCTGTTTCGTAGTTCAATCGTGGTGATCTTCGTGATCTTGTTCCTGGCGGGTCTGCTTTTCGCATACGACCTGTTCTGGAGCTTGGTGCTGACGAAACTTGGAATCATCGGTTGAGCGTTGAGTTTAAAGGCGCACTGCTCGGCAGGCGGTGTGCTGTGTGGCTGAGGCCACTTTGGGGGGATGAATCTCGTGTCCGACGAACAACGTAATAGCATCGACCAGCCGCCCACTGGCGAGGTCTCCGTGCCGCCGGCTTCGCAAGAAGCTGATTCGGCACCGGTCGATGATGCCGCTGCGTCGTCGCCGGAATCCGATCGCCCCGCCGAAGAGGAAGTCTCGGCCGCTGAGTCCCAGTCGCCCGAGGGTGAGCCTGTAGGGGCGTCTGATGCAGCGTCTTCGGATGAAGGTGTCTCTGCCGAGGGCGAGTCGGATGTGATCGAGCCCATGGAGACGGTGGCCGACGAATCGTTTGCCATCGAAGAAGATGCTGAGATTGCCGACGACGACACGACGACCGGCATGATCGAGGAAACTCCCGAGGAGGATGACTCGGATCAAGAGCGAGATTGGTACATCCTCAAAGTGCAAAGCAATCGGGAAGACTCGATTCGCGATGGCCTGATGCGTCGCGTGAAAATCGCCGGTCTCGAGCGGTACTTTGGCGAAGCGATCGTGCCGATCGAAATGGTCACCGAGTTTAAGGGCGGAAAAAAGCGGGTGGTGAAGCGGAAGCTTTATCCCGGCTACATCGTCGTGAACATGGTGATCAACGACGAAACGTGGTTCTTGGTTCGCGAGACCCCGGGCATTGGTGATTTCACCGGTTCGGCGGGCAAGCCAAGTCCGATGCTCCCGCAGGAAGTGGCCCGCATCGTTCAGAAGGCCGAGGAGAAGGACGACGACGCACCGAAGTTGAAGATTGGCTTCAGCGTTGGCGACCGGGTGAAGATCAACGAAGGCACGTTCGAGAACTTCGATGGCGAAGTCGAGGGGATCGACGAGGCGAATGGTCGCGTGACGGTCATGATCAACATCTTCGGCCGCTCAACTCCAGTTGAGTTGGAGTACTGGCAGATCGAGGCAGTGTAAGAAGCGGCGGCTCAAGCGTCGTCGGTGTGGGCGTCGGCAGCGACGCAATTGACAATTCAATTTGAAACTCGGGTCGCCAGGCTGCGATCGGAGTTAGGACAGTAACAAAGCTAGATTCATGGCAAAACAACTTGTCGCCAGCGTGAAGTTCCAGTGCCCCGGCGGTCAGGCCACGCCTGCTCCTCCGGTGGGTACTTCGTTGGGTAAGCATGGAATCAACCTCGGGCAATTCGTGCAGCAGTTTAACGACCGCACGAAGGAAGCCCGAGGAACCCCGATTCCGGTGGTGGTCAACGTATACAACGATCGCAGCTTCGACTTTGTGACGAAGAGTGCTCCGGCGGCCGCTTTGTTGAAGCAGGCTGCAGGAATCGTGAAGGGTTCCGGGGTGCCGAACAAAGATAAGGTCGGCAGTGTTACTGCCGCACAGATCGAAGAGATCGTGAAGACCAAGATGGAAGATCTGAACGCCATGGATGTCGAGCACGCAAAGCGAATGATCGAAGGTACAGCCCGCAGTATGGGGCTCAAGGTCGAAGGGTAATTAGGGGTTCACCGCGAGATGTCCAAACCAAGTAAACGATACCGATCGAGCGCCGAAAAGACGGCGGACAAGACGCCGGTGCCTTTGGCCGAAGCCGTCGAAAAAGTGAAGTCGTTCGATAACACGAAGTTCGACCAAACGGTCGAAGTGGCGATGCGACTGGGAATCGACCCCAAGCAGGCCGACCAACTGGTCCGCGGCTCGGTGGTCTTGCCCCACGGCATCGGCAAAACGCTCCGCGTGGTGGTGTTCGCCAAGGGCGACAAAGCCACCGAAGCCAAAGAAGCCGGTGCCGACGAGGTCGGGGCCGATGATTTGGCCAAGAAAATCAAGGACGGCTGGACTGAGTTCGACGTGTGTATCGCCTCGCCCGACATGATGGGTGTGGTGGGTCCGCTCGGTCGGGTGTTGGGTCCCCGAGGGTTGATGCCTTCGCCGCGGGCCGGCACCGTTACGCCTGACATCGCGAAGACGATCGAAGAGTACAAGGCCGGTAAGGTTGAGTTCCGCAACGACAAAGATGGCAACGTTCACGGCGTGGTTGGCAAGCTGAGCTTCGATCAGCAGAAGCTCGCCGAAAACGTCGAGGCCTTCATCAACTACGTTACGGGCCTGAAGCCGAACACGGTCAAAGGTGCTTACATTAAGGGAATCGCCATCAGCGCCACGATGAGCCCTGGCGTGCGAGTGGCGGTTTAGGACACCTGTCGTGTAACGGTCGGCGGCCTCACCGGATAGAGCCAGACTGGAAACTCGTCAGATTCAATCAGTAGCAACGACACCACTTGCTGGTGCTCAACGAAACACGGCGGCGACATGAGTAAATTCGTTAAAAACCTGCTCATCGAAGACTTGCGAAAGCGGCTCGATAACGTAAACGACGCGTTGCTGGTTAAGGTCGAGGGTGTAGAAGCCAACGCCAACAACCGTCTGCGTACCGAGCTGCAGAACAAGAACATCAACCTGTTGGTCGTAAAGAACAGCCTCGCAGCTCGGGCCACCGAAGGCACCGCACTGTCGACGGCGTTCGAAGGCCTGTCTGGCCCAGCGGCCATTGTTTGGGGCGGCGAAGACATTGTCTCGCTCGCGAAAGAAATCTCCCGCCTCGCGAAGGACGACCAATACAAGCCCTTCGAGACGCGTGGTGGCGTCATGGATGGTGAAGTCCTTTCGCCCGAGGATGTGGTGAAGGTAAGTAAATGGCCCTCGCGTGAGGAGCAGCTCAGTATTGTGTCTGGGCAAATTCTCTCGGTTGGGTCCACGTTATGCGGCCAGCTCGGCAGCGTCGGCGGCGCATTGGCCAGTCAGATCCAACAAAAGGCCGAGGGCGAGGAGACAAGCGAATAACACGGCACGAGCCGTCTTGGTATTTGCCGTTCACCGCACCGTGGCGTGCTGCGAACGATGGTTAACAGAATCATTTTAGTCGTTGTCCGGCAGGCTGCCCGCAAGCGATCCTGCCACCACAGCGGCGACAGTTTTGAGAAAGGAACTAGTATCCATGGCGACAGACGCCCCCACCCAAGAGTATTCGTCGGACACCCAGCAACTGGGCGACAAGATTGTTGAACTCACTCTGAAGCAAGCCAAAGAGCTGAGCGATTACCTCGAAAACGTTCACGGCATCAAGCCTGCCGCGGGCGGAGCCGTGATGGTGGCTCCCGGCGGTGGCGGTGGTGACGCCGGTGGTGGCGAAGGTGCTGCCGAGAAGACCGAGTTCGACGTCATTCTGGAAGGCTTTGGCGACAAGAAGATCGGCGTGATCAAGGTCGTCCGCGGAGCCACCTCGCTGGGTCTGAAGGAGGCCAAGGAATTGGTCGAAGGTGCTCCCAGCCCAATCAAGGAAGGTCTCTCGAAGGAAGATGCTGAGAAGCTTAAGGCAGAGCTTGAAGAAGCCGGTGCCACGGTCTCGATTAAGTAGCTTATTTCGAGCACCACGTGTTGTTCGAGATTTGTCTACACACAGTGTCGGTGCGCAATGCGTACCGCAACCTCATGGTTTGAGCTTGTTTGACCACGCACTCAACCGATCTGCATCCGGTTGTTGAACCTGTGTGACGCTGCGCGCATGCGTAGACCGGTTGCACACGGTCGAAGCCGGCGCAGGAGCGTGCGAACACAACCAAGGAGCACCAGAGAACTATGGCTACCCCCGCAGAACGACGCATTCGGCCTAAAGAGATTCGCAATTTCGGTCGCCAGTCGGACCTGGCCCCCATCGGTGACTTGACCGAGATCCAAACTCGCAGCTACGCAAACTTCTTGCAGCTCGAGGACGATTCGAGCAAGCGAAAAGATCAGGGGATCGAAGGCGTTCTCCGTGAAATCTTCCCGATCGAGAGCTACGACAAGTCGTTGCAGCTTGAGTTCGTGAAGTATGAACTGGGCAAGCCACGGTACGAGCCTGACGAATGCCGTCAATTACGGCTCACCTATGGTCGTCCGTTCAAGGTCTGGTTGCGGTTGACCAAAGATCAGCCCATCGAGGAAGCGGTCTACCTCGGCGACATGCCCATCATGCTCGGCGGTGGTGAGTTCATCATCAACGGTGCCGAGCGTGTGGTGGTGAGTCAGTTGCACCGCAGCCCTGGTGTTGACTTCGTCACCGAAATCGAGAGCACCGATCGCCGTTTGCACAGTTGCCGCATCATTCCGGAACGCGGTAGCTGGATCGAACTGAACGTGCTGAAGAAGGAAAATCTCGGCGTTCGTATCGATCAAAGCGGTAAGTTCTCTGCCATGACCCTGCTGCGGGCGATGAGCCCCAAGCTGAGCCAGAACGTCGACCTGCTGCGTACGTTCTATCCCACCAGCAAAGAAAAGATCGTCGACGGTCGTAGTGTTTCGAAGATCGAAAACAAGATCGCCGTCGAAGACATCGTCTATCCCGCCAAGAGCGATCGGGCCGGCGAGATCATCGTCGAGTGCGGGCAGACCATCTCCCGCAACACGGCCGAGCTGATCTGCACTTCTGGCATCAGCAGCGTGGAAGTGATGCCCGACGTCAAAGACCGTTTGATCCTCAACAGCTTGGAAGAGGACAACACGGCCAGCCACGAAGAGGCCCTGCTGAAGATTTACCAACGCCTGCGGCCTGGTAATCCTCCGCAGTTGGAGAAGGCCCGTGCGTTGTTCAAAGAGAAGTTCTTCGACGTCAACCGTTACCGCCTGGGTCGCGTCGGTCGCTTCCGCATCAATCGCAAGCTGAATCTGAAGATCAGCGAAGACGAGATGACGTTGCGTCCCGAGGATTTGATCGCGGCCATCGCCTATCTGTTGAAGCTACGAGCCAACGACGACGAAGCCCATATCGACGATATCGATCACTTGGGTAACCGCCGTCTTCGCACCATCGACGAGCTGGCCAGCGACGAACTCCGCAAAGGTTTCCTCAAGCTCCGCCGCACGGTGCAAGAACGGATGAGCCTGAAGGATGTCGAGGACATGACGCCTCGCAGCCTGATCAACCCGAAGAGTATCTCGGCTTCGATCGACTACTTCTTCGGTCGTGGCGAACTCTCGCAAGTGGTCGACCAAACGAACCCGCTGTCGATGCTCACGCACGAACGTCGTCTCTCGGCGTTGGGTCCCGGTGGTTTGAACCGTAAGCGAGCGGGCTTCGAAGTTCGTGACGTTCACATTTCTCACTACGGTCGTATCTGCCCGATTGAAACCCCCGAAGGTACGAACATTGGTTTGATCTCCAGCTTGGCCATTTACTCGCAGGTCGATGAGTACGGCTTTCTGGTCACGCCTTACTTCCGCGTGAATAAAGGTCGCGTGACCGACGAGATCGCTTGGTTGCGGGCCGACGAAGAAAGCAGTGCTTACGTCGCTCCGGCCGATGCCCTGGTGAACGAAGATCGGCTTGGTGGCGACACATTGGTTGCCCGGTATCGTGCCGACTTCGTGATGGTGCCGACCGACAAGATCGAATACATCGACGTGGCTCCGGCCCAGATGGTGGGCGTGTCCGCGGCGTTGATTCCGTTCCTAGAGCACGACGATGCAAACCGTGCTTTGATGGGCTCCAACATGCAGCGACAAGCCGTGCCGTTGCTGGTTGCCGAGCCACCGTTGGTGGCCACGGGTATGGAGCGCCAGGTCGCGCTCAACTCCGGCATGCTGGTTCGCGCCAAAAATGCGGGCACCGTCGATTTTGTCGATGCGAACAAGATTCAAGTCGGCGACGATGTCTACACACTCCGCAAGTTCGTTGGGCTCAACGAACGAACCTGCCAGAACCAAAAGCCAATCGTCTCGCTGGGTCAAACCGTTAAGAAGGGCGATGTGCTGGCCGACGGTGCGGCCACCTTCCAAGGCGAGCTGGCCTTGGGCCGCAACGTGCTAGTCGGGTTTATGGCCTGGGACGGATACAATTTCGAAGATGCGATCATCATCAGCGAGGAGTTGGTCCGCAACGATACGTACACATCGATTCACATCGAAGAGTTTGATATCGAAATTCGCGAGACCAAGTTGGGCCGCGAAGAATTCACTCGCGATATCCCCAACGTCAGCGAGAAGGCACTGCGTAATCTCGACGATACGGGCATCGTTCGTATCGGCACCTACGTCCGACCCGGCGACATCCTGGTTGGTAAGGTCTCGCCAAAATCGAAGACCGAACTCACTCCGGAAGAAAAGCTGCTGCACGCCATCTTCGGTCGTGCGGGTGAAGACGTGAAGAACGATTCGCTCGACGTGCCCTCGGGCATCGAAGGTATCGTGATCGACACGCAGAAGTTCTCCCGCCGCATGAGCCTTTCGGACGACGAACGAAAGACGTTCGAGAAAGAGCTGAAAGAGGTTGAGGCCGAAGGCGCGACGAAGATCACCGAGCTGTTCACGGCCTTTGTCAGCGAGCTGGAAACGATGTTGGGCAAGAAGTTGACCGACGACGACGGCAACTCTTTGGTGCACGACCAGGATCCGAAGTTTGTGGCCGAGCAGGCCTTGAACTTCCGCCTGGACTCGCTCAACCTTCGCAGCCCCCAGCGGATCACCGACGCCGAGAAGCTGCACAAGGCTAAGTGGCCAGAAATCGAAGCTGCAATCGATGAACGCGATCGCAAGCTGAACTCGATGAAGCGTGGCGATGAACTTCGCAGCGGCGTGCTTCAAATGGTCAAGGTCTACATTGCCGCCAAGCGAGTGATTTCGGTTGGTGACAAAATGGCAGGCCGTCACGGAAACAAGGGTGTGATCGCCAAGATTCTGCCGGTCGAAGACATGCCGTTCTTGGCCGATGGAACTCCGATCCAGATCATGCTCAACCCGTTGGGCGTGCCTAGCCGTATGAACGTGGGCCAGATTCTGGAAACCCACTTGGGTTGGGCTGCCGCGGGGCTTGGTTTCCAGGCCGTCACTCCGGTGTTCAATGGTGCTGAAGAGAGCGAAATCAATCAGTGCCTGGCAGACGCCGGTTTGCCTGCGACGGGTAAAGCCCAATTGCACGACGGGCGATCCGGTGAGCCGCTCGAGCAGGAAACCACGGTGGGCTACATCTACATGTTGAAGCTCCATCACCTGGTCGACGACAAGGTTCACGCCCGCTCGACTGGCCCCTACTCACTCATCACGCAGCAACCCCTCGGCGGTAAGGCCCGCTTTGGTGGTCAGCGATTCGGGGAAATGGAAGTGTGGGCACTCGAGGCCTACGGTTCCGCTTACACCCTGCAAGAATTGTTGACCGTGAAGAGCGACGACGTAGAAGGACGTACGAAGATTTACGAGTCGATGGTTAAGGGAGAAAACACCTTGGAAGCCGGCACCCCTGCCAGCTTTGATGTGCTAACCAATGAAATTCGCGGTTTGGCTCTCAACATGCAATTAGAGAAGCGTCGCGTCTAAGCAGCTCGACTGGTGTCGTGGCCCAGACCACGACCTGTCACCCCCACGATTTTAATACATTGCACCGCAAGGTGATTCCTCCACGATAAGGAGCGAACACAGTGAGCATCGGCGAAAGCTCTTACGATCGTATTAACGACTACGCCTCGGTGAAGATCAGCTTGGCGCGGCCGCACGATATCCGTAGCTGGTCGTTCGGCGAAGTGAAGAAGCCGGAGACGATCAACTACCGTACTTACCGTCCGGAGAAAGACGGTCTATTCTGCGAGCGCATCTTCGGTCCGGAGAAAGATTGGGAATGTGCCTGCGGCAAGTACCGCGGCATGAAATACAAGGGCATGATCTGCGATCGCTGCGGCGTGAAAGTCACGCACAGCCGCGTGCGTCGCAAGCGGATGGGCCACATCGAGCTGGCCGCACCGGTCGTGCACATCTGGTTCTTCAAAGCCATGCCCAGCCGGTTGGGTAACCTGCTGGAGATGAAGACCACCAGCTTGGAAAAGGTGATTTACTTCCAAGACTACGTGGTGACCGACCCCGGCGATACCCCGCTGAAGCCCAAGCAGCTTCTCACTGAAGAAGAGTTCCGCGCCGCTCGCGATCAGTACGGCGAAACGTTCGAGGCCGACATGGGTGCCGAGGCGGTTCGCAAGTTGCTGACCGACCTCGACCTGGTGAAGCTCTCGCAAGAGTTGCGTGAAGACCTGGCCACGACGGGCTCGAAGCAGCGTCAGAAAGATCTCGTCAACCGCCTGAAGATTGTCGAGAACCTGCGTGACAGTAACAACAAGCCGGAGTGGATGATCTTGGATGTGATTCCGATCATTCCTCCCGACCTGCGTCCTTTGGTTCTCTTGGACTCGGGCAACTTCGCCACGAGCGATTTGAACGATCTGTACCGCCGCATCATCAACCGCAACAACCGGTTGAAGAAGCTGGTCGATCTTAACGCCCCCGAAGTGATCATTCGCAACGAAAAGCGAATGCTGCAGCAGTCGGTCGACGCGTTGTTCGACAACAACCGCTGCAAGCGACCGGTGCTCGGTTCCAGCAACCGCCCGTTGAAGTCGCTCACCGACATGATCAAGGGTAAGCAGGGCCGGTTCCGCGAAAACCTGCTTGGTAAGCGTGTCGATTACTCGGCCCGAAGTGTCATCGTGGTCGGTCCTTCGCTCAATCTGCATCAGTGCGGTTTGCCGAAGAAGATCGCCCTGGAGCTGTATCAGCCGTTCATCATTCGTCGGCTGAAAGAGTTGGGACATGCCGACACGATCAAGAGCGCCAAGAAGATGCTTGAGCGCAAGGACGAGGAAGTCTGGGACATTCTCGAAGAGGTGATTCAGAATCACCCCGTGTTGCTCAACCGTGCTCCCACGCTGCACCGCATGGGTATTCAAGGTTTCGAGCCCACGCTGGTCGAAGGCAACGCCATCAAGCTGCACCCGCTGGTCTGCAAAGGCTTCAATGCCGACTTCGATGGTGACCAGATGGCGGTGCACTTGCCGCTTTCGATCGAAGCTCAGGTCGAAGCTCATACGTTGTTGATGTCGACCAACAACGTGTTCAGCCCGGCCAACGGTGCCCCGATTATTAGCCCGTCGCAAGACGTGGTGATGGGTTGCTACTACATCACGGCCGAAATGGTCGATCAGGTTGGCGAAGGCATGGTCTTCGGTTCGGCTCAAGAAGTCGAGTTGGCCTTCTCGCTTGGGAAGGTGGCCACTCACGCCAAGGTTAAGCTCAAGCTGCCCAAGAATCGTTGGGTGAAGACCGAGATTGAAGCCGAGCGTGAACCGGGCGCCCTCATCGATACCACGGTGGGTCGCGTGCTGTTCAACATGATCTTGCCCGAGGGAATGCCGTACTACAACATTCCCATGCGGTCGAGCGAACTCTCGAAGGTGATTTCCGACTGCTACCAGATTCTGGGTCGTTCGCACACGATTCACCTGCTCGACGCGTTGAATCAGTGCGGTTTCCGCGAAAGCACCCGTAGCGGTCTTTCGTTCGGTACCGACGATCTGATCACGCCGGCGAACAAGGTGAAGATCATCGGCGATGCCGAGAAGATGGTGATCAAGATTCAGAAGCTCTACACCCGCGGTATCATCACCGAGGGTGAGCGTTACAACCAGGTACTCGATGCCTGGACGCACGCTCGCGAATTGATCACCACCGAAATGATGACCGAGCTGGAAAGCGATCGTCGTTCGCAAACCTATGTGAACCCGATCTACCTCATGGCCCACTCCGGTGCCCGTGGTGGTGTCGAGCAGATTCGCCAGTTGGCCGGTATGCGTGGTTTGATGGCCAAGCCGTCTGGAAAGATTATCGAGACGCCGATTAAGGCCAACTTCCGCGAAGGCCTCTCGGTGCTCGAGTACTTCAGTTCGACCCACGGTGCTCGTAAGGGTCTGGCCGATACGGCCTTGAAGACGGCCGACTCGGGTTACCTCACCCGAAAGCTGGCCGACGTGGCCCAGAACGTCGTGGTCACCATGCACGACTGCGGTACCACGCAGGGTATCACCAAGGGTGTGATTTACCGCGGTGAGAAGGTTGAAATCGGCTTGGCCGATTCGACCCGCGGCCGCGTGAGTCGTACGAACATTGTTAACCCCATCACCGACGAAGTGGTCGTTCGCGAAGGCGATATGGTCACGCGTGCGGTGGCCCGTCGCATCGAAGAGTTGGGCTTGGAGAAGATCCAAGTTCGCAGCCCGATGACGTGCGAAGCCCCGTTGGGTGTTTGTCAGCTCTGCTACGGAATGGACCTTTCGACCGGCGACTTGGTCGAAGAGGGGATGGCGGTGGGAATCATCGCTGCCCAGAGTATTGGTGAGCCGGGAACCCAGCTCACGATGCGGACGTTCCATATCGGTGGTACGGCCGCCCGTGCTGTGGAAGAGAGCGAGATTCGTTCGAAGAAGACCGGTATCGCGAAGTTCACGCGACTGAAAGTCGTGGAGAACGAAGATGGCGAGCAGATGGTGCTCACCCGCAACGGTGAAATCTCGCTGTTGGACGACAAGGGTCGCGAACTGGAAAAGAACGAGATTCCCGCGGGTGCCACGCTGTTGGTCACCGAAGATACCGAAGTGAAGGCCGGCACCGTGCTCTGCCGTTGGGATCCTCACAGTATCCCGATTCTGGCCGAGGTCGCTGGAAAGGTTCGCTACGAAGACATCGTCGAAGGCGAAACGATGCGTCTGGAAAAAGATACCAGCGGTCACATTCGTCGCTCGATTATGGAGCACAAGGGCGATCTGCACCCGCAGATTATCCTGGAAGACCCCAGCGGAAAGATTCTCGACTTCTACTACCTGCCAGAACGAGCGTTCATCGAGGTGGAAGAAGGCAAGTCCATCAAGGGTGGTACGCTGCTGGCCAAGACGCCTCGTGAAGTGTCTGGTACGCAGGACATCACCGGTGGTCTGCCGCGTGTTACTGAAATCTTCGAGGCTCGTAAGCCGAAGGAACCGGCGGTCATCGCCGAGATCGACGGTGAAGTCGAGTTGCTCGGCGAGAAACGCCGCGGTAAGCGGACCATCGTGGTCCGCAGCGAAAGCGGAATCGAACGCGAACACCTGGTCTCGCACGGTAAGCACTTGCGGGTGCACGCCAAAGACATCGTGCGTGCCGGCGAAGCGTTGGTCGATGGACCGCTCGTGCCTCACGACATTCTTCGCATCTCGGGCGAAGAAGCGGTGCAGGACTACCTGGTTCGCGAAATTCAGAACGTGTACCGCAGCCAGCGTGTGGAAATCGATGACAAGCACATCGAAATCATCGTCTCGCAGATGTTGCGTAAGGTGAAGATCGAAACCGGTGGCGATACCGACTTGCTTCCGGGTAGCATTCTCGACCGCATGGATTTCCGTGCGGCCAACGAATCGATTTCGAAGTGCCTTCGCATCAGCGATAAGGGCGATAGCGATTTCGAAGTGGGTGCCATCGTCCCGAAAGAAACGCTGGAGCAAGTTAACAGCCAGATCGAAGCCCTGGGTGGCGAAGTGGCCAAGGGTGCCAAGCCCAAGCCGGCGACGGCCAGCACTCAGTTGCTGGGTATCACCAAGGCTTCGGTCCAAAGCTCCAGCTTCATCTCGGCGGCCAGCTTCCAGGAAACCACCAAGGTGCTCACCGAGGCGGCCCTGGCCAGCAAGGTCGACAACCTGGTTGGTCTGAAGGAAAACGTCATTCTGGGTCACTTGATCCCGGCCGGTACCGGGTTCAGCGTGCACCAAGATGCCGAAGTCCGCATTCGCCCGGAGGCTTTGGAAGCCCTGGCGGCCGAAAAGGACAGTGTCCTGGAGAAGCACTTCCCGCTGTTGGACACCGACCACGACGGCAACGGCGGCCCCGAGACGTCGGCCCCCGAGAGCCAACCGGCCCAGAGCTACTCGCCGCAGGAAGGTTCGGCCTCCGGAGATTCCGCTCCGGTCGAGTCTGGCGGCAGTGCCTTGGATTCGCTGATGGGTGGCAATCCCGAGCAGGATCCACCCAGCGACGGATCGTAATTAACCAAGTGGGTGCGGGTGGGTCACGCCTCCCGCACGCCACTTCGATTTAGATGCTGCCGAGCGGCGTTTTCGGCTGCAAACTCGAAGCACGGCTTGACAGTAATCGTGCATTCGATAGGTTTATAGATTCGCTCGCTCCGCGGGGTGTGCGTGCCGACGGGGTGTGAGAGACGTAAGTATTTGCAAGTAGGGACTTTCCAACGTGCCGACAATCAATCAGCTAATTCGAAAAGGCCGCCGCAAGCCGCGGAAGTTCAGCAAGTCGCCCGTGCTGGACCAATGTCCGCAGAAGCGTGGTGTTTGTCTTCAGGTGAAGACCATGACCCCGAAGAAGCCGAACTCGGCTCTTCGAAAGGTCGCCCGTGTGCGGCTTTCAAACGGCAAGGAAGTCACGGTTTACATCCCTGGCGAAGGTCACACGCTGCAAGAACACTCCATCGTGCTCGTGCGTGGTGGTCGTGTCCGCGATCTGCCGGGTGTCCGTTACCACGTGGTGCGTGGTTCGCTCGATACCCTGGGTGTCGAAGGCCGCAAGCAGTCCCGCAGCTTGTACGGTGCCAAGAAGGGCTAGGGATCGGAAGGGCTAGAGATCAATCGCCATTCGCCCGCCAGTGTGTGCTGGCCGCTGCGAAATAATACATAGCAAGAAACATCATCAAGATTTGTGGTCTGCCTCGGTTCAGGCGAACCGGCGACCGCGAACGATTTGGAACGAGACACGATGGGACGAATCACTTCCAGCCGCAAGCAGTTGGTTCCCGACAGCCGGTACAACTCAATTCTGGTTAGCAAGTTCATCAACTGCCTGATGTGGGATGGCAAAAAAGCCACTGCCCGTCGGGTGTTTTACGATGCCTTGGATCTGATCAAAGAGCGTATGCCCGAGCAAGATCCGCTCGAGGTGTTCACCACGGCCGTCGAGAACGTAAAGCCCGCCGTCGAGGTTCGCTCGAAGCGTGTTGGTGGTGCGGCCTACCAAGTGCCGATGCAGGTGAACAAAGTTCGTCAGCAATCGTTGGCCATTCGCTGGATTCTGATGGCTATTCGCGAGAAGAAGGGGCGTGCCACGCACAAGACGCTGGCCGACGAGTTGATCTCCGCGTTCAATCGCGAAGGTGCCGCCTTCACTCGCCGCGAAAACATCCATCGCATGGCCGATGCGAACAAGGCTTTTGCCCACTTCGCGTGGTAGTTCGGTCGTGTAACCAACGCATTCCGACCGCAGGGACCGAAAGCGGCATCGTTCTGCCGGTTGCCGTTGGCTACAGGTCGCATTAGCGAACGTTCGCCGCATAACGCGACGACATCTACTATGGCCCGCGACCTCAACAAACTCCGAAATATCGGCATCATTGCCCACATCGACGCCGGCAAGACCACGGTCACCGAGCGGATGCTCTTCTATTCCGGTGCCAGCCATCGCATGGGCGATGTGGATAAAGGCACCACGGTCACCGATTACGACCCCGAAGAGCAGCAGCGGGGCATCACCATCATCGCGGCCTGTGTCACGTTTCCCTGGCGCGATGCGATGATCAACCTCATCGATACCCCGGGCCACGTCGATTTCACGGCCGAAGTTGAACGCAGTCTTCGCGTTCTCGACGGTGGTGTCGTGGTGTTCAGTGCCCGCGAAGGGGTCGAGGCCCAAAGCGAAACCGTCTGGCGCCAGGCCGACAAGTACCACGTCCCGCGGATCGCGTTCATCAACAAAATGGACCGCGAGGGGGCCGACTTCGAGGGCACGCTCGATGAAATCGGCAAGCGGTTGGGCTCCAACCCCATCGCCGTGCAAATTCCTCTGGGTGCGGGGCCTCCCCACCAAAGCGATCCATTCCGCGGTGTGATCGACTTGGTCGACATGAAGCTCCTCACGTTCAAGGCCGAAGGGCAGGGCAAAGAGGTCGTGGCCACCGAGATACCCGCGGAGTTTCTTGATGAGGCCCAGCTCTGGCGCGATCAAATGCTCGAGACGTTGTTCGACTTCTCGAATGAGCTAGGCGAGCTGCACCTTTCGGAAAGCGAAGTGCCCGCCGATTTGATTCGTCGCGTGCTACGCGACGCCACGGTGCACAACCTGGCCGTGCCGGTGCTGTGCGGCTCGGCGCTCGACTTTATTGGCATCCAGCCGCTGCTCGATGCAGCTGTGGAATACCTCCCCAGTCCGGCCGACATGCCGCCGGTCGAGGGTATCGACCCGAAACACCCCGACAAAAAGCTCGTCCGTAAGGCCGATCCCGAAGATCCGTTCTGCGGGCTGGTTTTCAAGATTCAGGCCGATAAGCACGGCGATCTGCACTATGTCCGTGTCTATTCCGGGCACCTGAAAGCCAACTCTCGGCTGCTGAACGTGCGTGAGAACAAAAAAGAGAATGTCGCCCAGTTGTGGCACATTCAGGCCGACCGCCGTAAGCAAGTCGAAACGGTCGAGGCCGGCGACATCATCGGCATCATCGGGCTGCGGCACTCGGTTACCGGCGACACGCTCACCACCTCGGCCGATCCGATCTCGCTGGAATCGATCGAATTTCCCGAGACTGTCATCTCCATGGCCATCGAGCCGGAGAGTTCGACTGACCGGAAAAAGCTCTCGGAAACGCTGGTGATGCTCAATCGTCAGGACCCCACATTTAGGGCCGACGAGAACCCAGATACCGGCCAAACGCTGATCAGCGGCATGGGCGAGCTGCACCTCGAAGTGATCAAGAACAAGCTGCTCCGCGACTTCAATCTGAACGTTCGCGTGCACAAGCCTCGCGTGAGCTACCGAGAAACCATCGCTCGCAAGGCCGAGGCCACGGGGATCTGCGATCGTCAGGTGGCCGGGCAGTCGCTGTTTGCCGAAGTAAAAGTTCGGCTCGAGCCTCAAGAGACGGGGGCCGGCTCGTTTGTCACGATCAGCCCCCAGGCGATCGAGCAGATTGTCGACCCGTATATGACTCCCGTGGTCGAGGTGCTCGAGGAAATGGTCGACGGGGGTGGTTCGCTGGGATTTCCGCTCACTGACGTGAAAGTAACGGTGCTAGGGGGGAGTGTGCACGAGCTGAACTCCACCGACATCGCCTTCCGTCACGCGGCTGCCGAAGCGTTCAATCAGGCCCTGCAAGACGCGGGGGTCGTGCTGTTGGAGCCCATCATGAAGATCGAAATCACCGTGCCCGAGGAGAATTTGGGCGATTTCGTGGCCGATCTTCAGCAGCGTCGGGCGACCATCACCGGCACAACCACCCGGGGAACGAACACGATTTTGAAGGGGTTGGCCCCGCTAGCAAGCTTGTTTGGCTACTCGGTGGCCATGCGGAGTATGAGTCAGGGGCGAGCCACCTGCTCGATGGAGCCGGCAGAGTACGGCCCCGCTCCAGCGGAGGTGCTCGAAAGTTTTCAGTAAACAGCGTATTTCCAGCGGTTCTCGGGTTGCCGGGGCAGTTTGCCCGACCGCTCCGCGGGGCACATTTGGCACGTTCGCCGGCGGCGGGCCTTGGGCAGTAGAAAAGAGTTTTGGAATTCGGTTTAGGGCCGTTGACACTAATCGGCATTGGTCTTAAACTTCTCGGTTCGCCTGTGTCGCCCGGACCCTTATGGTGGTGATGCGATTCGGTGAGGCCGTTGCAGTTTTTGGTGTGCAATGGGCTGGGTGTGAAGACAAGGGTTCAAGCATTTAAGGGTGATTTGTGGCGGCTCCAAACGAGATCATCAGAATTCGAATGGAAGCGTATGACCATTCGGTTCTAGACCAGAGTGCTGCGGATATCGTAGACACGGCCAAGCGGACAGGGTCGGAAGTTCACGGTCCCATCCCGTTGCCGACGCGAATCGAGCGGTACACGGTGTTGTCGGGTCCTCATGTTGATAAGAAGGCTCGTCAGCAATTTGAGATTCGTACGCACAAGCGGTTGATCGACATTGTTCAGTCGACGGCCAAGACGATTGAAGCGCTTAACAAACTGAGTTTGCCGGCAGGTGTCGACATCAAGATTAAGGCGACGAGCCGCTAGGTAAATGTTTGAGGTGGTTGAGCGTTCATTAAGGTGACGCAAGACAGCAGTAGGCCGTTTTGGGTGGCCGGGTGCCACTGATCCGAGTTTCTGTCTGCTTGCTGTCATGGCTTAGAGGAAACGCATGCCGCGGAAGTTGGGTGGGTAATTAGTGGCCGTTTGGTCCACTGCTTCCCGCTCGACAATAGATCACAAGGCGAATGGCGATGGCGATGGGAATACTCGGCCGTAAGGTCGGGATGACACAAATTTATGCAGAGTCGGGTGAGGTAATCCCCGTAACGGTCATCGAGGCCGGCCCCTGTCGCGTTCTGCAGCTTCGCACCGTTGATCGTGACGGGTACGAGGCTGTTCAGATGGGCTTTCTTGATAAGCCTCGGCGACTCGCCGCTCGCAGTGATCGAGGTCATGTGGCCAAATTGGATAGCCGCCGTTCGAAGCGGCGTGCTGCTGCTGGGGTTGAGCTGGCTGAAAAGCCCGATTGCGAGCCCCAGCGATTCATTCGCGAATTCCGCGGGTCGACCGAAGGTTTTGAGCTCGGTCAGGAAATCAAGGTCGATGCTTTCGCCGAAGTGGCGTCCGTCGACATCACGGGTACTTCCAAGGGTCGTGGTACTGCCGGTGTGATGAAGCGTCACAACTATTCTGGTCAGCGTGCCACGCACGGTGTGAAGAAGGTTCACCGTCACTGTGGTTCGATTGGAAATAGTGCTTATCCCTCGCGCGTCATTAAAGGGCGACGCATGGCGGGGCGGTACGGCGGTCAAAAGAACACCGTGCGGAACATTAAGCTCGTGAAGGTTGATGCTGAAAACAATCTGCTTTTGGTTCGCGGAGCAATCCCGGGGCCCAATGGCGGATATGTGACGATCAGCGAGACGAACAAACTGTAGGGGTGGCTGTCGCGCTTGCGTGCCTGGGGTATCGCGAGTGATGGCTTGGCTGAAAATTTTGCAACTTGGCGGTCGGCTCTGCCGGGGTTGCTGTTGAGATAGATTGAGACGGGACGACTGTTATGGCTAGCTTGCCGGTATATGACCGCACGGGCGCCGAAGTGGGTAAGTACGAGATCGACCCCGCGGTGCTGGTTTCGCGCATCAACAAGCAGTTGTTGCACGATGCCGTGGTGATGTACGAATCGAATCTCCGCCAGGGTACGGCGAAAACCAAGAGTCGTGCCGAAGTGGCTGGGACCACGAAGAAGATGTACCGCCAAAAGGGCACCGGTAACGCACGTGCTGGTTCTCGTCGTAGCGGTATCCGTCGGGGTGGTGGTCACATTCACGCCAAGCGGCCGCGGGATTGGGTCTATCGCCTTCCGCGAAAGGCCCTGCAGTTGGCTACGCGTATGGCTTTGGCCTCCAAGGTTCGCGATCAGCAAATCACGCTCATTGACGACTTGTCGTTCGATAAGCCGGCCACCAAGCAGATGGCCGAAATCATCAAGTCGCTTAAGTGCGATGGCAAGACGTTGTTGGTCGCCACGGCGGCTCACGACATGAATGTCTACAAGAGTGCACGAAACATTGCTGGCGTTACCGTTTCGCCGGCCACGGATTTGAATGCCCGAAGCGTGCTGGCCCCGCGTCATGTGTTGATGACCACGGCGGCCTTAGACGTGATAAAGGAACGGGCGACCTCGTCGACGGCTGCAGCAAGCTAATTGTGCGGCTACCACGAGGCGGGCTTTACTAAAACGAAACGCATCGGCAACTGATCGATCATGGTTACAAAAACCGAAAAGCAAGGCGCCAAGACGCGAATTGAATTGGAGCCTTACCAGGTGGTCTTACGGCCTTTGGTCACCGAAAAAGGAATGCACCGCTCGACGCGCTACAATGCGTATGCGTTCGAGGTGAATCCGCTGGCCACTAAGCCAGACGTTCGCCGTGCGGTGGAAGAGCTGTTCGAGGTCAAGGTCTTAAAGGTCTACACGCAAAATCGTAAGGGCAAGCCTCGTCGTACTCGTTTCCGACAGGCTCACACGAAAAGCTGGAAGAAGGCCATCGTGAAGCTCGATCCCGAGCATCGCATTAACTTCTTCTAAACCCGTAAACACATAAGAGTGATATCGTGGGTATTCGTCGATATAAACCGGTCACCCCTGGTCGTCGCGGAGCGTCGGTCAGCGACTTCAAGGAACTGACTCCCGGTGCCAAGCCGGAAAAGAGTTTGTTGCGTCCGAAGAAGCGCACTGGTGGCCGCAATAATCAAGGTAAAATCACGGCCCGTCATCGTGGTGGTGGTCACAAGCGTCGTTATCGCTTGATCGACTTCCGTCGCAATAAGGATGGTGTTCTGGCTCGCGTGGCGTCGATTCAGTACGACCCCAACCGCAGTGCCCGCATCGCTTTGTTGCACTATGTCGATGGTGAGAAGCGATACATCCTCGCCCCGAATGGTTTGAAGCAAGGTGCCGAGGTGATCAGCGGGGCCGAGGCTCCTGCCGAGATCGGCAACTGTCTACCGCTGAAGAATATTCCGTTGGGTACGTCGGTGCACAATGTCGAGTTGCAGCCAGGCAAGGGTGGCCAGATGTGCCGCTCGGCCGGCACCAGTGCAACGTTGGCCGCTCGCGAAAGCGATTGGGCTCAGATCAATCTCCCCAGTGGCGAAATTCGTCGTATCCCGTCCAACTGTCGAGCTACGGTTGGGTCGATTGGTAACGCCGATCACATGAACATTGTCATCGGTAAAGCCGGTCGCAATCGCTGGAAGGGTCGTCGCCCGCATGTTCGTGGTACCGCCATGAACCCAATCGATCACCCGCACGGTGGTGGTGAGGGTCGCACAAAGGGTGGTCGTCACCCGGTGAGCCCCACGGGCAAGCCAGCCAAGGGTGGTCGCACACGCAACAAGCGTAAGCCATCGAATGCGTCGATCATTCGTCGCCGACGTTCGAAGCGTTATGGGTTGATCAAGCTGTAGTTAACAAAACAGTAGCGATTGCCCGTTGGGCAAGATCGCTGAGACATATCGAAGTCCGAAACGAGTGTGGCAATGGGAAGATCGCTGAAGAAAGGGCCTTACGTCGACCCGAAGGTTTACCTCAAGGTTGAGCGTTTGGATGAGAAGGGTGTGAAAGAGCCGATTAAGACCTGGGCTCGGGCCTGCACCATCGTCCCCGAATTCGTTGGTCACACCTTTATGGTTCACAACGGCAAGACCCACATCAAAGTGTTCGTCACTGAAGATATGGTCGGCCACAAGTTAGGTGAGTTTTCGCCGACCCGCACGTTTCGCGGTCATGGCGGCAAGGGTAAACGTTAATTCACGCAACCGTTGGGCTAGCTTCGTCTGGCCTGCTGATGAGGATATTTGTCATGGGCTACCGTGCCACGCATCGATTTGCCCGAATTAGTCCCCGTAAGGTTCGGCCGCTGGCCGACATGATTCGCGGAAAGTACGCCGACGACGCGTTGGATCTTCTGCGTTATCAACCACAGCGTGGGGCTCGGATGTTGGAAAAAGTGCTGCGAAGTGCTTTGGGCAATGCCGAAGATCGTCGGGCGGCGAACTTGTCATCGTTGGTCGTGGTCGACGCCCGCGTCGACGGCGGTCCGATGTTCAAGCGGGTTCGTCCTCGTGCTCGCGGTATGGCACACATCATTCGCAAGCGAATGTCGCATATTCATGTCGAGGTCGACGCCGGCTAGTCGCGGCTCGGGTAGAGAAAACAAACAACAGATTCGGAAGAATCGAGAGACGCAATCATGGGTCAAAAAGTAAATCCTGTCTCCTTTCGTACGGGCGTGATGGTTGGCTGGAAGAGCCGCTGGTACGCTTCGAAGAAGGAGTTTTCGGATCTGCTGCTCGAAGATCAAAAGATTCGCCGCTACATCAAGGCTAAGTACCGCCACGCCGGTATTCCCAAGATTGAGATTGAGCGAACCCGCGACGAAGTGAAGGTCGTGCTGTTCTCCTCGCGCCCCGGTGTCATCATCGGTCGTAAGGGTCAGGCGGTCGAAGCTCTGCAGGGCGAGCTGCAAGACCTGGTTGGCCGTCGCATCAACATCAAGATTGAAGAGATTTCGCGTCCGGAAATTCACGCCCAGTTGGTGGCCGAAGACATCGCCGATCAGCTGGCTCGCCGTTCGAGTTTCCGTCGCACGATGAAGCGAGCGTTAGAGCAAACTATGGAGGCCGGAGCCAAGGGCATCAAGGTGCAGTTGGCCGGTCGTTTGGGCGGTGCGGAAATGGCCCGCCGTGAGAAACAAATTGCAGGTTCGATCCCGCTTTCGACCCTTCGGGCAAAAATCGACTATGGCTTTACCGAAGCCAAAACGGCCCAAGGTCACATCGGAGTTCAGGTGTGGGTCAACCAAGGTGACTTTTTGACAGACGAGGAGTCGGCTGATGGCGCTAATGCCCAAAAGGGTCAAGCACCGAAAAAACCAGCGCGGTCGCATCAAAGGTAACGCCACCCGGGGTAACAGTGTCGTGTTTGGAGACTTCGGTCTTCAGTCGACGCAGGCCGGTTGGATTAGTGCCGCGACTATCGAGGCGGGACGTATTGCAGCTCAGCAATACCTCCGCAACGAAGGGCGACTGTACATTCGGATCTTCCCGCACAAGTCCATTACGTCGATTCCGTTGGAAACGCGAATGGGTAAAGGTAAGGGTGAACCGGAGTATTGGGCCGCCGTGGTGCGTCCCGGTACGGTCCTTTACGAAATCGGCGGCGTGTCCGAAGAGGCCGCTAAGATTTGCTTCCGTCGTCTGGCTCACAAGATGCCAGTTCGGGTGCGAATGGTTAATCGCCGGACTATGTAGAGCGTGAACTAAAAGGTCTTGCGACTCGAAGTCGCAAGGGCCATTGAATAGCAGGTAAGGGTGTTGCGATGAGTGCGGTTTCGGAACTGCGACAGATGAGTGACGAGCAGTTGCAAGTGACGTTGAAAGACGCCACTGAACGGTTGTTCCGCCTGCGAATCCAGGCGCAAACCGAACGCTTGGATGCACCGAGCGAACTGCGTCGGCATCGCAAGCTCATTGCCCAAATTAAGACCATCCAAACGGAACGCGCAAAGACGGCCGAGCAATCGGGCGAAGCCGCGGCCTCCGCTTAGAGCAAAGGCGTAATAAGGGACATAAGGTATGCCCAAGCGAGTTGATTACGGTGTGGTAGCCAGCGACAAGTCGGACAAGACTCGTCGCGTGGAAATCAAGCGAGCGGTTCGTCACAAGAAGTACGGCAAGATTATTCGCCGGAAGACGGTCTGCCACGTGCACGACGAGAACAACGAATCGGCGCTCGGCGATACGGTGGAAATCACCGAATGCCGTCCACGTTCGAAATCAAAGACGTGGGAGTTGGTTCGAGTGTTGGCCAAGAGCGAGGCGGTGGATGTCGCCGCCATGCGTGCCGCAGCACGAGCTGCCAAGTCGAGCGATGACGAGTCAGAGAGCTAGTGTGGTTTCATAACTGAGTGTGGGAAGAAAACGGCCTGCGACAATGTGAAGCCAGGCGTGTGAGTGAGACAAAGGTAGCGCAGTCATGATCCAGATGCAGACCCGGCTGGCCGTTGCGGACAACACCGGTGCCAAAGAAGTGATGTGCATCAAGGTGCTGGGCGGAACGCATCGACGTACGGCAGGCCTGGGCGACATCATTGTTTGTAGTGTGAAGAGTGTGATTTCCGGCAGCGATATCAAGAAGGGTGCCGTGGTGCGAGGGGTGATCGTTCGCTGTAAGCAACCCACCCGACGAACCGACGGTAGCTATGTACGCTTCGATCGCAATGCCTTGGTGATTATCGATCAAGACAAAAACCCCAGAGGCACCCGTATCTTCGGAGCCGTCGCGCGCGAACTTCGCGAGCGAAACTTCATGAAGATCATCAGCCTGGCGAGCGAGGTGGTTTAATGCATATCCGTACCGACGATATCGTGCTTGTGCGAACTGGCTCGGGTCGAGATACCCGCGCCCGGGTTCTCACCGTGCTGCCGCGAGAAGGCAAAGTCGTAGTCGAAGGTGTGGCCCGTGTGTACAAGCACGTGCGTCGCAGCCAAAAGAACCCCCAAGGCGGTCGGCTTTCGAAAGAGATGCCGATCCAGATGTCGAATGTGATGCTGGTCTGCACGTCGTGCGGTCAGCCCACTCGCACCGGGGCGCGGTTCTTGGACGACGGCAGCAAAGAGCGGTACTGCAAGAAATGTGGTGCGGGCCAGGGTCAAATCGCTCCCCCGCGATCGGCCCACGCGAAGAAGTAGCAAATACATAACGTTGAGCGATTGAAGTAATTCAGGACACGACCATGGTTCCCCGTTTAAAAGAGCGATACGAGAAGGAAGTTTTGCCGGCGCTGGGTGAGAAGCTCGGCCGGACGAATCCTCACGCCCTTCCGCGATTGCAAAAGATTGTGATCAACATGGGGGTTGGGTCGGCGATTACCGACAAGAAGCATCTCGAGGACGCAACCAAGGCGCTGACCCAAATTAGCGGTCAAAAGCCGGCTGTGACCCAGGCTCGGAAGTCCATCGCCGGTTTCAAGCTCCGCGAGGGGCAATTGATCGGCTGCAAGGTTACGCTTCGTGGTAACCGCATGTACGAATTCCTCGACCGATTGATCTCCCTGGCGATTCCACGTGTCCGCGACTTTCGCGGGTTGAATCCCAAGGCGTTCGACGGAAACGGTAACTATAGTATGGGGTTGTCCGAGCAGTTGGTGTTCCCGGAACTCAACCCAGATAAGTTCCTGCGAACGCAGGGGATGGACATTACGATGGTCATCTCCGGCAAGAGCAACTCCGATTCGTTCGAATTGCTGCAACAACTGGGCATGCCTTTCCGCACGCCTGAAGACAAGAAATCAAAAGGTGCCGCATAGTCGCCGGCCCCGGCGGCGTGAGTCACCACAGGAAAGATTTTCGAGTTTCGATCGGGAAACCTTATGGCGAGTAAATCAAAAATTGCAAAGGCGCTTCGGACACCGAAGTATTCGTCGCGCCGCGAGTGCCGCTGTCGTTTATGCGGTCGACCGCGAGCCGTGTTTCGTAAGTTTGGAATCTGCCGTATCTGCTTCCGCGAACTCGCGGATCAGGGTTTAATTCCGGGTGTCAAGAAGGCGAGTTGGTAAGAGGCCCCTGTTCTACCATGATGACCGATCCGATTGCCGATATGTTGACTCGCATCCGCAATGCGGTGCGCGTTGAGCTTCCCTCCGTCGACATGCCATTGTCGAAAGTCAAACGAGGTGTCGCCGACGTGCTCAAGCGAGAAGGCTACATTTGGGATTTTGAAGAAGTCGAAGCCAAGCCGGCAAACGGTTTGCGCATCAGCCTGAAGTACGGCCCCAATGGTGAACGCGTCATCCGACACATTCGCCGGGTCAGCAAGCCGGGAAGCCGTGTTTACAGCGGTGCCGATGGGCTGCGTCCGGTGCTCAACGGCCTGGGGATCAAGATCCTCAGCACCAGCAGCGGCGTGATTAGCGACCGCGAAGCGCGTCAACGAAAAGTCGGCGGAGAAGTACTGTGCGAGGTCTGGTAACTACCAGATCTCCAGTGCAAGTGCCATACGAATAACCCCATGACCAAATAGCTACGGCCATGTCCAGAATTGGTAAAAAACCCGTTGCCGTTCCCAGTGGTGTCAAAGTCGACATCAGCGGCCGACGCGTGAGCATTGAAGGCGCTAAAGGCAAGCTCGATTTCGAGCATCGCCCCGAGGTCGAGGTCAAGTTCGACACCGACAACAACCAGGTGGTCGTCTCTCGCGGAGCCGACAACCGCATGTCCCGCGCACTGCACGGTCTCACTCGGGCCCTGGTGCAGAACATGATTGTCGGCGTCACCGACGGGTACGAAAAGCGTCTCGAGATTGTCGGAGTTGGTTACCTGGGCACGGTCGCCGGCGACACGCTACAGCTTCGCGTCGGCTTCGCCAACGAAGTGCACAAGAAAATCCCCCAGGGCCTGAACGTCACGTGCCCCGACCAGAACCACGTGGTGATCAACGGTCCCGATAAGCAACAAGTAGGTCAGTTCGCCGCCGAAGTGCGAGCCGTGCGGAAACCCGAGCCTTACAAGGGTAAGGGTATTCGTTACGAAGGCGAGCAGGTACGCCGCAAGGCCGGTAAGGCAACCACGAAGTAACACAATGGTGAAGTGAGTCATCGCCTTCGATGACGCACGGGAGCAGATCCCGATTCTCGAAGGCGGCTGATCACAATGGCTTTAAGAATCGCAGTGAAACCATGAATCACGATCGATACATTTACCGACTGCGTCAACGCCGACGATGGCGTAACACCAAGAAGGTGCGTGGTGATGGCGAGCGTCCACGGCTGACCGTGTTCCGCAGCCACAAGCACATCTACGCTCAGGTGATCGACGACGAGTCGGGCAAGACGATGGTCTCGGCCAGCACGCGGGATAAAGAGGTGCTCTCCTCCGGGTACGGCGGAAACGCAGACGCCGCTGGGTTGGTTGGCAAAGCCGTGGCCGAACGAGCCAAGGCCGCCGGCATCGAACAGGTGCGGTTCGATCGCGGCTCATACAAGTATCACGGACGTGTGGCTGCCCTGGCAGATGCTGCCCGCGAGGGTGGATTGCAGTTCTAAGAATCAAATCTCGCTGGGGCGAGTGAGCCCCACGATGCCTACATCGGAAAGACAGGAGTAACACGAATCGTGGCAACAGAATCGACTCGTGGCGAATTGATCGATAAGGTCGTCAAGATCAAGCGGTGTGCCGCGGTGGTCAAGGGCGGTCGTCGGTTTAGCTTCGCGGCCATGGTCGTGGTCGGCAACGGCAAAGGCCGTGTCGGTTGGGGATATGGCAAGGCGAACGAAGTTCCCCCCAGCGTTGAGAAGGCCGTGAAAGACGGCTCTCGCAGCATGATCGATGTGGCCATCGACGAAGGTGGCACCATCCCGCACCAGGTGAAGGGCCGCTTCGGTGCCGCCCAAGTGGTGCTGGTTCCTGCTGCTCCCGGCACGGGGGTCATCGCCGGCTCCAGCGTTCGCGCGGTTTGCGAAGCCGCCGGCATCCACAATATCCTCACCAAGAGCTTTGGCTCGAATAACCCCGTGAACCTGGTCAAAGCCACGATCGACGGGCTGGAAAAACTGCGGACGCGCAACGAAGTTGAGCGCCTCCGAGGAGTAGAGCTGTAATGAATATCGAAGACGTCCACAGCGGCATTAAGAAGAACCGAGCCCGCAAGCGCCTCGGGCGTGGCCCCGGCTCGGGTCACGGTAAGACCAGCGGTCGTGGTCACAAGGGTGCCGGTTCGCGAGCTGGCTACAGTGCCCACGCCGTGTTCGAAGGTGGCCGCATGCCGATGGTTCGCCGCATTCCCAAGCGGGGTTTCAACAATCGCTGGGCGCGTACCATCTTCTCGATGAACGTCAGCGATTTGGACAAATTGTTCGACGAAGGTGCAGAAGTCACCCCGGAGATCCTCCGCGAGCGCGACTTGATGCCCAGCCGTTTCGAGCAATTCAAGGTGCTGGGCGATGGCGAGCTGAGCAAGAAGCTCAAGGTTTCCGCGCATCGCTTCAGCAAGTCGGCCGCCGAAAAGATCAAGCAGGCCGGGGGCGAAGTGATCGAAGTGCCCGGCCCCGCTCCGGTGGTGAAGCCGAACAAGAAGTCCAAGGCTGCGAAATCGGAATAGAGTACAATCTTGTCGCTATCGTATCTGAACGCCGAATGTGAAGTCACTAAGCCAGGCGCCGGTCGTGCTGCCGGGGCCATGGATGATTGTGCTTGGTGTACCTCGTCGTCGCTGACAGTTTCCTGCTAGGAAGGACGGACCGAGCCATGTGGGAAAAAATTCGCGTCATCTTTACGATCCCGGAACTTCGTCAGAAGATTCTGCTCACGCTGGGATTGTTGGCCATCTACCGTGTTGGGTGGCAAATCCCGCTCGCCATCGTCGATCAAGAGGCGATGAAGCAGCTCTTCTCAGACAGCTCTGGCCTGACCAGCGTCCTCAAGCAAGTGGCCGTGTTCAGTGCGAGCAATCTCAGCCAAAGCACGATCTTTGGTCTGGGGATCATGCCGTATATTTCTGCCTCGATTATCTTCCAGTTGCTTTCCAGCGTCTGGGAGCCGCTCGAGCGATTGCGGAAAGAGGGCGAAAGCGGCCAAAAGAAAATCAACGAATACACCCGTTATGCCACAGTGATCATCTGCTTTGCACAGAGTTGGTTCTACGTGTCGTGGATGGCCGGGGCCGAATTGATCAAGCCGGAGTTCCTCACCGATGGACAACTCGGTTGGATCTGGCACTTCACCGCCGTCATGACAATGACCACCGGCACGGTATTCCTCATGTGGTTGGGTGAACAGATCGACGAATACGGTATCGGCAACGGTATCAGCTTGCTCATCATGGCCGGTATTTTGGCCGGCATGCCGCAGGCTGGGTTCTCCGTGATCGAGCCGATGCTCAAGAACGGCGTCACCCTCGGCGGCACCGGAGGCACGGGCGTCGAACTGCTCGTCATTCTGGTCACGCTGTTTATCGGTGTGGTTGTGGGCGTGGTGTTCATCACCCAGGGCCAGCGACGTATTCCGACGCAAAGTGCCAAGCACGTGCGTGGCCGTCGGGTCTTCGGCGGTGGTCGCCAGTTCCTGCCGTTGCGAGTGAATCAGGCTGGCGTGATGCCGATCATCTTCGCCAGTAGCTTGTTGATGTTCCCCTGGTTCATCTTGCGAGCTGCCGCGAACGCCTACCCAACATCGAACTGGATTCAGGGCCTGGAGCAGGCGTTCAGCCGTGGTACTTCGTTCACCTACAACCTGCTCTACGTAGCGCTGATCTACTTCTTCTGCTACTTCTGGACCGCCATTACCTTCAACCCGAAGGACATGGCCCAGAACTTGAAAGACTACGGAAGCTTCATCCCCGGCTACCGTCCCGGCAAGCGAACCGCGGACTACTTGGAACGGGTGATGGTGCGAATTACATACGTGGGGGCAGGGTTCCTGGCCCTGGTGGCAATTTTGCCGACGATTATCTCCGAATCGGCCAACATCGATATGCAGGTAGCCATGTTCTACGGGGGCACGGGCTTGCTGATTGCTGTGAGTGTGGCATTCGATCTCGTGCAAAAGATTGACAGCCACCTGGTGATGAGGAATTATCGAGGACTGTTGGAGAAATAAGCCAGTCGGATGACGCCCCTGGGCGTGTCCTGGCGGGATGCTCCTTAGGGAAAAACTCGCCATTCGCCTGGAGGTCGTACGATGCTGCTTGTCTTTTTAGGACCACCAGGTGCAGGGAAGGGCACGCAGTCGAAGAAGCTGACCGCTCACTTCGATATTCCCCACCTCTCCACCGGTGAAATGCTGCGGATGGCCTGCAGCGAAGGCACGCAGATCGGAAAGTTGGCCGAGTCCTACATGAGCTCCGGGCAATTGGTGCCCGACCCGATCATCTTGTCGATCGTGGGAGACTGCCTGGACCGCGGCGATTTCGACAACGGTTGCTTGTTCGACGGGTTTCCGCGAACGATTGGTCAGGCCCAGTCGCTCGATGCTTCGCTCAAGCAGCGTGGGACTCCGCTCGACGCTGTGCTCGAATTGAAAGTAGATGATGAAGAACTCGAGCACCGCTTGATGTCGCGGGGCCGGGACGACGACCGCATCGAAGTTGTTCGCAAACGGCTCAAAGGCTATCACGATACGACTCAACCGCTGGTGCAGTACTACAGTAAGCAAGGGATCCTATGCCCCATCGACGCAATCGGGTCTCCCGACGAAGTCTTCGAACGTATCTTGAAAGTACTTTGACGGGTTGCGAGTTGTGATTGGTCGAACCGGCGCAGTTTCGGTCCCAGGAAGTGAGAAGTAGGCGTGCAGAACCTTCTGTCCCCCCGCGAAATCGCCACCATGCGGCAAGCCGGGCTCGTAGTCTGGGAGGCCCATCAACTGGCCGCCAAGATGCTTGCCCCGGGCGTGACCACGGCCGAGATCGACGCTGCTGTCGAAGAACACTTCCTCAGCAAAGGCGCTATCCCTCTGTTCAAGGGTGTGCCCGGCAAGGTTCCGTTTCCCGCGGTCACTTGCATGTCGGTGAACGAAGCGGTGGTGCATGGAATTCCTGGCCCGCAGAAGCTGGTCGAAGGCGACATCCTCAGTATTGATACTGGCTGCAAGCTGAACGGCTGGTGCGGCGACTCCGCGTTCACGCACCCCATTGGCGAGATTGACGACGAAAAAAAGCGGCTACTCGAAGTGACCCAAGGCGTGCTGAAGCTGGCGATCGATCAGATTGCCCACTGCAAGCTGTGGAGCGAGGTGGCCAAACAAATGGAAGAATACGTCCGCAAAGCGAACTTCTCGGTGGTCGAGAACTTCGTCGGGCACGGCATTGGCCGCGAAATGCACGAAGACCCTCAGGTGCCGAACTTCGTCAGCGGGCAGTTCCGCCGCCGCGGCGATTTCCGCCTCGAGCCGGGCCTGGTCATCGCGATCGAGCCGATGGTGAATGTGGGCACGAAATATGTCGAGGCTCTGCCCGACCATTGGACCCAGGTAACCGAAGACCGCCGGCCGAGTGCTCACTTCGAGCACACGGTGGCCGTTACCGAAAAGGGGGCCGAAGTGCTCACCGCCGGGCCCGAAGGGCAGTTGACCGTCGAGTACTAGAAATTGTCGATCCGCTGTGGCGAGTGATTCGCACCAATTAGTGCGTGGCCGTCGCGGATCGAGTGCTGCCAAATAGGCAGAGATAGCGTTTTGAGTGTGAAGAGTGGGTCTGCATCGATCGCCCCCCAGTTGGGCGGTCGGGCGAACCAAATTTAAGTGAAATAGTCGGATGCAGGCCCTTGCTAATTTTGGGCCATCATCCTTATATTATGTGGCTTGGGTCGTAACGAGACATTTGTCCGGGCGAGTGTAATGAAGGTACGTGCTAGCGTTAAACGCATTTGTGAGCATTGCAAGATCGTCCGCCGACGCGGTGTGGTGTTCGTGGTTTGCCGTAATAACCCCCGCCATAAACAGCGTCAGGGGTAAGTGTTCCGTTTTGTGGCCTGCCTAGGCTCATGTCAGTTCGGCCTCGATGATGTCGGGCATTGCAAAGTTGAGCTTTGCCGCCTCGGCCGAAGTGGGGCGATCCAAGTTTTGTTGAGCGTCGGGCTCTGGTGGGTTTCCCAAGCAGGGTCTGGCAATCGGGCAGCTATCCCTAGTGGATTCAGGAGTTCGCGTTCATGCCGCGTTTGCTTGGTGTAGATATTCCTAACGACCGCGCGATTGTCGTTGCGCTCACCTACTTGTACGGCGTTGGTCCTAAGACCGCCCGACAGTTGTGCCACGACGCCGGCATTGCTCAAGATACAAAAGCTCGTGATCTGGCCGACGATGAAGTCGCCCGCATTGCGACCTTGCTCGATAAAGATTTCGTCGTCGAAGGACAACTCCGACGACAGTTGGCTCAAAACATTTCGCGATTGCGAGACATCGGTTGCTACCGCGGTCTTCGTCATCGCCGTGGCCTCCCGGTTCGTGGGCAACGTACGAGAACCAACGCTCGTACACGAAAAGGTCCGAAGAAGACCGTGGCCGGCAAAAAGGGAGTGAAGGACTTGCGTTAGTCGAGGCTGTGGTGCGTGCACCCAGTTCAACTCAGCTAACGTAACGGGCTGTCGACGTGAAGATGGCTCGACAGTGTTGTTTCAGCAGCATCGTCATTCCAAAAAACATTTGTTCCTGCGTGCAATCGAGGCGTTCGATCTGTGTCAAAGTCAAAGCGTCGTAAAGTCCGTCGTAATGTGACCTCGGGCATCGCCTACATCAAGGCGACGTTCAATAACACGACGGTCACCATCACCGATTCCAAGGGAGACGCCCTGTGCTGGAGCAGTGCTGGTACCGCCGGGTTCAAGGGAAGCCGCAAGAGCACGCCCTTTGCTGGCCAAAGCGCGGCCAAGCAGTGTGCCGACAAGGCCGCCAAGTTTGGCATCAAGGAAGTTGAAGTTCGCGTGAAGGGACCAGGCAGCGGACGCGAAAGTGCAATCACCGCACTTCAGTCGGCCGGGCTGACCATCAAGTCAATCGAAGACATTACCCCCTTGCCACACAATGGATGCCGCCCCCGCAAGAAGCGACGCGTGTAGCGGCCTCGGCTTGCCGGGATGAATTTCATATTTCAAATCAGTTAGCGTTTTTCGGATTCTAATTCTATGGCGAGAATAACCGGACCCGTTTGTCGGCTCTGCCGTCGCGAGCGGATGAAGCTCTTCCTCAAGGGCACCCGTTGCGACACCCCCAAGTGCGCGATCGAACGACGTGATTCGCCCCCGGGCATGCAACAGTCGCGACGCGGCAAACTCACCGACTACGGTATCCACCTTCGCGAGAAGCAGAAGGTTAAGCACTATTACGGCGTTCTGGAAAAGCAGTTCCGCATTTACTTCTCCAAGGCCGAACGGTCGCGAAGAAATACGGGCGAAGAATTGATGAGTCTGCTTGAGCGGCGGCTAGACAATGTGGTTCACCGCATGGGTTTCGCGCAAAGCCGTGCACAGGCCCGTCAGATGGTGGCCCACGGTCACGTGACCCTCAATGGTCATCGTGCCGACCGCCCCAGCATGCTGGTGAAGGTGGGTGACTTGATCCGAGTGAAGAATCGGGCCAAAAGCCTTCAGTTGACTCAGGCGAATATTGCCGAGAATTCGCGTTCGGTACCCGACTTTTTGTCATTGGGCGAGCAGCAGATTCCCGAGGGTCAGGTGGTCCGCTTGCCGGGCGCCGAGGATGTTTCGATTCCGGTCGAAACCCAATTGATTATTGAATTGTGTTCGAAGTAATTTTGTCGACGAGGTAGCCGGTCGCACGGCAACCCTCGGCGAGGCAGCCACACCTGGCGAGTGACCTGCTCACTTGTCGAACCCCAGTTATTCTGCCTTAGAGTCGGCCCGCGTCGGGGTCGACCAATGGTTATAACCCACGGAGACTTTCGATGCGTATCCGTTGGCGCGGTCTTGAGTTACCCAGCTTAGTCAGTTGCGATCAACAGAGCCTCACTTCGACCTACGGCAAGTTCGTTGCCGAGCCGTTCGAGCGTGGGTTCGGCACGACGGTCGGAAACAGCCTTCGCCGGATTTTGCTCTCCGGGCTCGAAGGTAGCGCGGTCACGCAAATTCGAGTTCACAACGCCCTGCACGAGTTCACCACACTGCCGGGTGTTGTCGAAGATATGACCGACATTGTGCTCAACGTGAAAGCGTTGGTGGTCAAGAACCACAGCGAGCAAACCAAGGTCCTTCGTATTGAGAAGAACAGCAAGGGCGTGGTTACCGCTGCAGACGTCGAGACCGACGAGTCGGTCGAAGTCATCAACAAAGATCACGTGCTAGCCACGTTGACCGAAGATGTTCCCTTCATCGTCGAGATGGTGGTCGAAAACGGGCGTGGCTATGTCCCTTCGACCGAACACAGCACGATGGACCAGGAAGTCGGCATCATCCCGGTCGACGCCGTGTTCAGCCCCGTGGTGCGAGTCCGCTACGAAGTCGAGGAAACTCGTGTCGGTCAAAAGACGAACTACGACAAGCTGACGCTTGAGATCTGGACCGATGGCACGGTCGGGCCCGAGATGGCCCTGGTCGAAGCGGCCAAAATCCTCCGCAAGCACCTCAACCCCTTCATGCAATACAGCGACCTGGGTGCCTCGGTGCATTCCGAGTCGCCGGGTCGGGCTTCGGGAGCGGAGAAAGAAGTCGAAGCGATGCTCAACATGAGCCTGGCCGAGTTGTCGCTCTCGGTTCGAGCCACGAACTGTCTCGAATCGGAGAACATCAACACGGTTCGCGACTTGGTGGGCTACACCGAAGACCAACTGCTTGAGCTGCGAAACTTCGGCGACACTACGCTTCAAGAAGTGAACGAAAAGCTCGCCGAAATGGGACTACACCTGGGAATGCGAGTTTCGGCACCGTCGACCGTCTAAGGTCGACTACTTCGGTGCCAACCGCACATTCCCCCAACTAGATTCAGCGATATACCGCAACGAGACGATCATGCGACACCGACGAAAAGGTCGAACCCTGGGCCGCAGCCCCAGCCATCAACGGGCATTGCTCCGTAATTTGGCCAGCAGTCTGTTCCTCACCGAAGAGGACACCGACGACGATAATGAGCCCAAGGTGAAGGGCCGCGTGATCACCACACTGCAGAAGGCGAAAGAAGTTCGCCCGTTGGTCGAGCGTTGCATCACCATCGCCCGTCGTGGTCTGGTGGCCATGGAAGATGCCGAGCAATACGCAGTCGACGCCGAACGCCACAGCGAGCAATGGCGGGCTTGGCGACAAAGCGATAAGTGGAACCAATGGGCCCAGGCCATGGCTCCCGCGGTCGATGCACGACGTCGCGTACTGCGTTTGCTGGGGAACAAAGCCGCCGTTAGCGTGCTGTTCGACGAAGTCGCTCCGCGCTATACCGATCGTCCCGGCGGTTACACGCGGATCATCCGCTTGGCGAAGCCTCGCCTCGGCGATGCCGGCACCCGTGCGATTCTGGAGTTCGTTGGCGTTCGCGATCGGGTAAGCCAGCGTTCGGTTGCTCCCGCGTTCGATAGCGACGCTCCGGCCGAGAGTAGCGCTGAGCCCGAGGCCGTGGCCAGCAGCGAAAGCGAATCGAAGTCGGAAGAGTAGTTCACCGCCGGCGATCATCACGCTGCGAATCTGAGAACGGTAACCGGTCGCACCTAGGGCGACCAGCAGGTGGGGCGCTACCGATCAGAGGGTAGGGAGGCTTGGCAGATGGCTCGCCGCAAAGCCGGTACGGATAGCCCCGGCTTCGACTTCACGCTCCACATGCGGCGTCTGTGCCAAGACATTGTCACCCGTTCTCCTCAGTTGGCACACATCGATCTCTCCCGGGTCGTAGTGGCCTACGCTCGCAGCCGTAAGCCAAGTGCCTACGGGCTTCAAGCGGCACTCACCCCGCTACGGTTCGAAGGGGGAAGTCGCTACACCACCCGGCGTGGGCGTCGCTGGTCGGTCCAAAGGGTGCTCGACGGTCACGGTCGGGAGATGCTGTATATCCTCAGCTTCTATCTCCCGCGGTTTCTCGATACCTCGTACCAAGAGAAACTGACCACCATCTTTCACGAGCTGTGGCATGTGAGCCCCGAGTTCGACGGTGATATCCGCCGGCACGAGGGACGTTGTTACGCCCACACGTCCTCTCAGGACAAGTACGACCGCGCGATGTGGGTGATGGCCAAGAAGTGGCTTTCGCTCGATCCGCCCGCGGGTCTGCACGCATTCCTGCAGTGCGATTTTCGCGAGCTGACGAAGCGATGGGGCCATATTCATGGAACCCGTGTCACTGCCCCCAAGCTCTATCCGGTCGCCGCTGGTGCGACGGATGAGGATGCTTTTCGAGGTCGCACCGCATGACGGGCGCCAGCACTGCTAGCACCGTGTTGTAGTCGCATTGACACGCTTGCGGGCCCCCGATAACCTCCGCCGCTGATCTCTTCTTCCTGATGGCGGTGGGCGAATTGTCGCTCGCCGGCGTCACGCAGTCTCATCTGATTTCCAGTTACCTCGTTTCAGCTTCTCTCCCGTGGGAAGTGCATGATCGCATGTTGTCGGCGGTTCGAACGTCGATGCACACGATCGGCCCCTCACGCTTTGCGGAGTTCCGCGTTGATTAGCATCTTCGGCCCGGCCTCGCTACGAACGTCGCTGCTGGCAATTCTCTGCTGCGCGTTGCTCGTTCCGGCCGCAGGCTGCCGGCGGCTTCCCAAGATGGATGAGAGCGTGACGCTCGCCCGACCTCAACTTTCGGTCGATAGCACCGTGCTCGAGGTCTTCACCATTCGAGTTCCCCTTGGTGAGCAGGAACTGGATCAGTCGTTGTGGGCTTCCATTGACGAGCAGCGAATCGACCCTGAGCTGCGAATGCGGCTGCACCGCAATGGCATCCGCGCCGGCGTGGTTGCAGGTCCCTTGCCGACAGAACTCGAACGACTGCTTCGTCTGGTCGAGGATCAACCGACTGATTCGCTTGACGAGCAAGTCATCAAGCTCGACGCGGAACCCATGGTGCGTAAACGCCACCTTCAGCTTCGGGCCGATCGTCCGGCGAAGATTCAAACCACCCCGCAGCACGACAAGCTTTCGGTCCTCTACGCCGACCATACTGGGGTGGGTGGGCAGACGTATTACAAGGCTCAGCCCTCACTGGTGGTGAAGTGCCACCCCTTGGACGAAGCTGGAGTGCAGGTGTCCATCGTACCCGAACTTGAACATGGCGAAGTCAAACGCCAATGGGACGCCAGCGACGGCGTAATGTTCCTCGACGCTGGAAAGCCCAAGGAAACCTTCGAAGACCTACGGGTGAGTGCCGATCTGTGCTCGGGGCAACTGCTCGTCTTGAGCCCCCTGGTCGACCGCCCCGGAAGCCTGGGCCACAAGTTCCTTACCGACGCTACCGGTCAGCAATCTGAACGCAAGCTGGTCGTGATCCGCGTCGCCCAGACGCACACACCGCATATCTATCAAGCGGTCGATGACGAAGAGCAACCGTAACGGCTCTTCACCGCTGGCAACGCGTCGTTACCAAACGTCGGCCGCTGCCACACGTTTGGCCGCCGTGAGTTCATCGCTCTGGGGTCGACATTCCAGCCCAACGTAGTCGTGGTAGCCAAGCTCCTGGGCTTCTTGCAGCACGCGGTTGTAATACACCTCGCCGGTACCGGGCTCGTTGCGGCCGGGGTTGTCGGCCAGCTGCAGATAGCCAACCTGGTCGAATCCTTCGCGAAGCCTGCGGCAGAGGTCACCCTCGGTGATCTGCATGTGGTACAGATCCCAGTTGATCTTCACCATCGGCGAATCGACTTCCCGACAGATTCGCACGGCGTCGGTGCTGCCGTAGAGGCAATGTCCCTTGTGGTCGACACGGATGTTCATCGGTTCGAGGATCAACATCACCTCGTTGTCTTCCGCGACGGGGGCCGCCAGCTTCAGCCCTGCGATGATGTTGTCGTGCATTTCCTTTTGCGTCATGCCCTTTTGATCGTCGCCACCAACCACGGTCATCATTTTGCAGTTCAGTTTCTTGGCCACATCGCAGCCGGCCTTGATCTGCTCGATGAACTTTTCGTGATTGGCCGGATCGTTCAGCCCGGGGCGGAATCCCCAGGCTGTGAATTGGGCGATATCCACATCGAGCGAGCCGCACAGTTCGGCCATTTCATCCAGCGGCTTGCCCTGCCAAGGCCAGAACTCGACCGCTGGGAAGCCCAACTCGGCCGTCTTGCGAATGCGATCCAATAGCGGCAATTTGCGCCACCACATCTCGATGTTCACCGCGAACTTCGTGTGAGGTGTTTGACCCACTCGTTCGCTATCGCCTTCGGGAGCAGCTTCCGCAGCACTTGTGTTCGAAACCAAAGATCCGGCAGCGACAACCGACGAACCGGCTGCGGCAGTGCTGAGAAACGTACGTCGATCGAGTGGCGCCATCGAGAGAGTCTCCGCGGGAGAGCAGGGGGAGCATGTAAGCAGCGCGCAATGCCGATCATCGCGGCACTCACGCACCAAGAAGCCTCGATTCTAGTCCGAGAATTGGGCCGGTTCCAATGAATGGGGAAGGGCACATAGGCCCACTACCACTTCAGGCCGAACTGCTCTCCGCCCGAGGGACCGCCGAGACCACCCTTGAGGTTCTTGTTCTTCGGCTGGTATGCCGGCACTTCGGGTTCCGGTTCTTCTTTCTTGCCCTTGCCCGCTGCAGGCTCGGGTTTCGGCTGCAGGGCCTTCAGCGAAAGGCCAATACGTTGCTTATCGCCATCCACGGCAAGCACAGCGGCTTCGACCTCTTGGCCTTCGCTCAGCACGTCGTTCACGCGGTGCACCCGTTGATGGGCCAACTCCGAGATGTGCACCAAGCCCTCGACGCCGGGTTCCAGTTGAATGAAAGCCCCGAAGTCGGCGATCCGAGAAACTTTGCCCTTCACTCGGCTGCTCACCGGGTACTTCTGCTCGACGCCGTCCCAGGGGTTGGCCACCAGGTCTTTCATGGCTAGGCTGATCTTGCCGGTCTTCTCGTCGATCTTGGTTACCTTCACCTTGACCGTCTGACCGACTTCGAGCACGTCGCTGGGGTGATTCACCCGCGACCAACTGAGTTGGCTCACGTGCACCATGCCGTCGATTCCGCCCAGGTCGACGAACGCCCCAAAGTCGCGGATATTGCGGACCACGCCTTCGTGCGTTTGGCCAGGGGCCAGCGAGGCGCGAAGCTTCTCTTTAGCTTCTTCACGTTCGCGTTCCAAAACGGCCCGACGGCTGACCACCAGTCGGCGACGCTTCGGTTTCACTTCGGTCACAAGGCAGGTGAATTTCTCACCGACCAGTTCTTCCAGATTGTCCACCCGATACAGGGCGATCTGGCTGGCGGGCATGAAGCCGCGAAGGCTGTTCACTTCGCATTCGAGCCCGCCCTTGTTGTGCCCGGTGATGCGAGCTTCGACCGTCATGCCTTCGGACACTTGCGACCAGTCGGCCACACCGACCACCGCATCGGCGCGAGCCACTTCGTAGAGGCCTTCTTCCGCGTTGAAGCGATTGATCTTTACGTCGATCTCGCTATCAACCTCGGGCGGTTCTTTGAATTGTTTGGCGGGGATGACACCCTGATGCCGTCCACCGAGTTCGACAAACACGTTCTCGCGGTGCAGTCGAACCACGCGGGCCTTCATGCGAGCTTCAGGCTTGAGCTCGGTTTCATCGGCCGCGGTTTTGTTATCGGCCAAGGCATCGTCAATCGAGATACCTTGCATGGCCGCTTCGACTTCGTCATCCACATTCGGTGCGGCCGAACCCACCGGTTTCGGAACCGGCTTCGGGGTATGAACCGGAATGCCTTCGGCCTTCTTCTTCGGCTCGGGCTTCGCATCTTTAGGCGAAGACTTCGGGCCTTGATCCGAAGGAGCTTGCTTGGGCTTCGCCGCGTCACCCTTGGGGGCCGGTTTGTCTGTTGGACGCGTGCCTGCGGTTGGCGATGGGCCAGGGCTTTTCTTCGGTTCGGTATCGCGCTGCGAACCGATTTTGATTTTCCGTGGCTGCGATGAACTTTCAGGCGGTGACGACTGCTGAGATTCGACCGTTGGGTCGTTGCCCGAGTTCGAATCATCGGCAGACGCATCATCCGAAGGAGATTGCTTCTCCGTTCGAGGCAACACTGCGGTCGCCTGTCGGCTCTCCGCTTCGGCCGCTTGATTGGCCCCATTGCCTGATTGATTGGTGTCTGTGTCCGAGCCGCTATTGGAAGTCGGCATCGCTTCTTGGTCGGTCGCCGTGTTTTCCTCAGACGGCTGCCGCGATTGGTTGGCGTCGCTACTCATGAATAATCAGATACCTTCGTCCGCAAAGGCCCCATCTCAAGAATCGTACGGACAGTCCAAAGAAAGTGCGCGTGTCAGTGTAACAATCGATTGGGCGCTACGGTAGTAATTTTCCATTTAGGGTGAGGGAGAATTGCTACCTGTTACGCAACTTTTACCCGCAAGAAACTACCGCATCCTAGCCGCCGAAACCCCACCGTTCATCCGCGGGACCGTTTCAATCTCACGACCAACATGCTATCACGTTTCTCGGTTGTCAGGGCGACTTTATCCGCCATTGGCCACCGACTTCGCGATGCAACGCAGTCATGAGGAGTGCCCAAAGCATGTTTGAGTTTAACGCCGAGGATTACGGAAAAACAGCCGCTCTTTTGTTGCAGCCGCCACGATTGAACGAACTGGGGCCAGGAACTCCCAATCTGGAGGTGAAATCGACGCTGGATACGATTAGTGTCGAGTCGCTGCTAGGCACTTCGGCCTCCAATCAGTCGATGGGCGAGGCCTGTCTGGCCGGGCTGTGGCTTCTGCACGATTTTCTGGACGATTCGCACAACATTAGCCAGGGAATTCACACCCCCACAGGTAGCTACTGGCACGGGATCATGCATCGCCGCGAGCCAGATCCTTCGAATGCCAAATACTGGTTCCGCAAAGTCGGCGACCACCCGATTTTCGAGACTCTCCGCGAAAATGCTTCCGAGCTGTGTTTATCTCGCCGAGAACTCCGCGAGAAGGAAAAAGGTGCCGACTTCCTGCTGGAACAGACAGAATGGGATCCCTTTGCCTGGATCGATCTGTGCGAGGGGGCGCGCACGGGGCGGAATTCATGTGAAGAACTTTGTCGAGAGATCCAGCAGCTCGAGTGGCAAATCCTATTCGACTTCTGCTATCGCGAGGCCAAGGGGGAATAACAAGCGGGCCCTTTGAGTGGAGCGGCCCAACTTGCAGAACTGGACTTAGAGTTCTGTTTCGCCTTCAGTAGCTAGATACTTTTTTTCCGCGTGCGGAATGATTGTGTTCCATGCAAGTAATAGCACGGCCACTACCGCGTAAGCCCCGGCGAGATGAAAAGGCGTCTGAGTCGCCACGCCTGCAGGCCATTCATAGTTTTGCCAGGGCAACATGATTGGTCCGCCCGGCAGCGGAGAATGGATGATCCCAAATAAGCTGAAAACCGCGGCCACGCCAAAGATGACCGCCGCGGCGATCAGGCGACGGTCGATCAGCAGGGCCAGCGCAGATGACCACAACAGGCTGGTGACGATGAATCCGGCCGAAAGAATTCTCAGCGTGTACAGTTTGGCACCCAGATGCGCTGGTAAGTCGTCGAAAGTCGTGCTTACGGCGGCCAACACTTCATCGACAAAGGCCATCGACAAATAGGCCAACGCCGGAGCACAGGCTAACGCCACGGCTGCGTAGTGTCGCTTCGGCGTGGCGTGGTAGCTTTGGGCCGTAATCTCTAGCCCAATGAAGATCAGGATCGGGAACACGGCCGGGCGAGGGATGATCGCATAGATATAGGAGAAGTATCCGAAGATGCCGGCCCCACCGATGAACAGCGCTGTGACCAGCGTATAAGCTGCCCGACCTCCCATCGCTTTGTAGGCTGGATGCCCGATGTAGGGCGTGGTTTGAATCACGCCGCCGCACAGCCCTGCCACCAACGTGGCGACGCCCTCGGTCGCGATCACGGCACCGGTGTGGTATTCATCGCCCACGGCCGCGGCACTCTCGGTGCAGTCGATTCCGCCGACAATCGTTCCCAGGGCGAAGGGAATCACCACCGGCAGGTACTTCAGCGAATCGCCAAACACGCTGACCCATTCGAGCGACACCTTGGGCAACAACAGCCCCAGCGCCGGATCGAACGCGGCCGGTTCATGCTCCAGACCCAATGTTCCCGTCCATCGCATGGCATAGTAAATGACCATGCCGACTAGCAGGGCCCCCAGGGCCCCGGGAATTCGGCCTGGGAGCGGAACCCGTGCGATAAGTGTCGTTAGGACGACTGCCAGGGCGGCATAGCCAACTACCGGCAAGTGAGCGACTTCCAGCAGCGGCATGAAGCTGATCAGCACCAGGGCGATCGCCGCCAGCGAGCCCAGCAGCCCCGCCCGGGGGATGACGGTTCGAATCCAGCTCGAGCCCAACGAGCAGGCCAGCTTGAAGATCCCGCTGGCGATCATGGCACAGACCCCAATTCGCCAAGCGTAGAGGGCCGCCTGGTGGGGGTCGGAAAATTCCTTGCTGGCCCACGAGAAAGCGGGCCCCAGCACGAATAACACACTGCCGAAGACGCTCGGGGTATCGAGCCCTAACGGCATGGCAGTAATATCGTTGCGACCGGTACGTTTGGCCAGGCGGAAAGCCATGTAGGTGAATGCCAAATCGCCGACCATCACCCCGACGGCGGTTCCGGGAATCATGTAGGACAAAGCAAAATTTGCATCGAACCCGAACCCCCCGACTAGCATGCTGACCATGAGCACCATCACGGCGATGTTATCTAACATCAAGCCAAAAAAGGCGTTAACGTCGCCGGTGGTAGCCCAGTGATAGCGTTGCACGAGGGGATTTGCCTCCTAGGCACGGAAGTTGCAACCCTTACGGCCGTGAGTTTAGGACACCCCCTTGTAACCTGTCAATTTGGCATACGATACCCCATCGAGCGGATTCGCCCCTTTTTCTCCACATCCTGCTACACTCTGCTGTGGACGTAGCGTGATGTGGCTTTTCTGCGAGGTTTGCGAACCTTTCTCAGTTCGATCCGAACCTTCCTGCGACGATCACGTAATAAACAATGAACAGCACGACCAACGCAAAAACCTTGGCAAATAACGTCATCCCGCCACTGAGCGAACAAAGTGACGAGGATCTGCTTCTCCGCTACCGTGAGAAGGAGGATCGCCGTTCGTTCGAAGAGCTAGTTCACCGGTACGAGCGTGAGCTGTATAGCTACTTGCGCCGGTACTTGGACGACGCGGCGATGGCAGAGGATGCCTTCCAACAAACATTCCTACAACTTCACCTGAAGTGCGACCAGTTTGAAGAAGGTCGCAAAGTGCGTCCTTGGCTGTACACGATTGCCACCAACCAGGCCATCGATGCGCAGCGCCGCAACAAACGGCACCGAATGGTGAGTTTAGACCGACGTACCAATGACGATGATGACGTAGGGGCTTTAATCACGCTGTTACAGAACGACGAAGCGGGGCCAGCAGCAGATCTTGAAGCGGCCGAACGACGCGACTGGGTGCGCGAATCGGTCGCGGCTCTGCCAGACCCGCTGCAGTCCGCGGTGAACCTCATCTACTATCAAGGACTGAAGTACCGCGAAGCTGCCGAAGTTTTGTCGATTCCTGTGGGAACCGTGAAAAGCCGTCTCCATAGTGCGATCCTCAAGCTGAATCAGGCTTGGCAACAAGCCGACCGACCTGGAGAGCCGTGAAGCGATGCGAGAGAATTTGTATGGTTATTTGCTCAATGCTCTAGAGCCTCACGAGCATGAGCAAGTCGAAACCAGCCTCAAAACGGATGAACGGCTGCGGAAAGAAATGGAATTGCTTCAGCGGGGACTACTCCCGTTGGCGCTCGATCGCGAGCATCACGAGGCACCCGAGGGCTTAGCCGAACGCGCGTGTCAGTGCGTGGCCGATTACTCGAAGAGTGTCAGGCCCCGCTCGATGATGCACGAACCGCCGGCGCCCCGTTCACGCGGCTGGAGCATGCAGGACCTGTTCGTGTCAGCGGGAATTGTGATTGCGGCCTCACTGTTGTTCTTCCCGGCCGTATCGCACAGCCGCTTTCAGGCTCGAATCGCCGGCTGCCAGAACAACCTTCGCATGATCGGCAACAGCCTCACTCATTACAGCCAGCAACACGGCAACTATTTCCCCGATGTCCCTCAGACAGGCAACCTGGCCACCGCCGGGGTCTTCGCCCCCAAGCTGCTCGATTGCGGCTTCCTCGATTGCCCCAAATGGTTGGTGTGCCCCTCGTCCGACTTGGCCGAGAACGGCGAACTGAAAGTCCCCTCGTGCGACGATCTGAGCAACGCCTCGCCTGAGGAGCTCGACCAATGGCGCCAACGCCTCTCCGGCAGCTACGGTTACTCGCTGGGTTATGAAGACGAAGGTCAGTACCGTTCGCCGCAAAATCACCACCGGAAAAACTACGCGGTGATGTCGGATACCCCCGACCATCACATCGAAGATTTCCAAAGCGCCAATCATGGTGGCTATGGTCAAAACGTATGGTTCGAAGACGGCCACGTGCAGTTCTTGAAGAACGGCATTGCCCCTGGCGACGACGATAACATCTTCGTGAACGACAACGGCCAAGTCGGCCCGGGTCTTCATGAGAACGATGCTGTCATCGGCACCAGCGGATGTGCCCCCAAGCTGCATGCCGTATCTCGCTAGCAGCGAAAACTGACATTCATCGGGTGACAACGCCTAAACCCCGGTTTGCCAATATGGCAGGCCGGGGTTTTTCTTTATTCGCGACTTCTTGCCGTCGGGGGAGAAATCCATCTGGCCCCCCGGTTCCGCTTGCCAGTACGATCTTCCGCGGCATGCCCCGCAATCTCGCACATGCGATTATTGCTAGCGTGCTAGCACCGGAATCGAGCACGATCTCAAGGATGTGGCAGGCGGATGCAGCTTTCTCGGCAAATGGTTGGATTGTTGGCCCTCGCCGCACTGGCGTTCTTGCTCCGCGCGGCCTTGGTCGTCTGGCTCGGCTTCTCGGGAGACCGACCCTACACCTACGAGCACGGGGTGATTGCCGAGAACCTGCTGGCAGGCAAGGGCTTCAGTATTCAATTCCTGGGGGTCGAAGGCCCCACCTCGCAGCAGGGCCCGATCTATCCCACGGCGTTGGCCGCCCTTTACGGTGTGTTCGGTGCCGGGAGTCGCGCCGCGCTAATGACGATGCAACTCCTGCAGTGCCTGGTCGGGGCGGGGCTGGTTGTTGCGCTCGCTCAACTGGCGTGGACCCTGATGCCCGATCGACCGGCGGCCGGCTGGATGGCGGCGATCGCCGCGACGTTCTTTCCCACGCATATCTACATGGTCACGCACATTCAAGTTGTCGTGTGGGTGGCCACCTTGCTCGTCGTGTTGCTGGCGGTTGTGGCCGCACGGAACATTCAGCGTCCCCGCCTGCGGGCAGCCTTGGCTGGTGTTTTGGCCGGCGTACTGATTCTGACCGAACCGATCATGGCCCTGGCCGTTCCCATAGCCGCGCTGCTGCTGCTGCAAGTGGACTGGAAGCGTCCCCAGCAAGGACGCATCTGCTGGCCTGCGGTGCTGCCTGTAGCATTGATGACGGTAACCGCCATCGCGGTGGTCACGCCGTGGGTACTTCGCAATCGCGCGGTGCACGGCGAATGGGTGTTTGTGAAGTCAACGTTCGGCTATGCATTCTGGCAGGGGAACAACCCGGCGAGCTGGGGCACCGATAAAATCCCCAGCCAGGCCGCACTCAGTCTGGTTGAGTCGCACGACGGATCACTCGCTGGCCGACACGAGGCCCTACGCGAAGCCCGACTCGAAACGCAATACATCGACGACCTTCTGCTGACCGACGAGCATTACAAACAGTTCGAAGGACTGACAGAACCCCAACGGGCTCGCGTCCTCTCCGCCCAGGCCAAGTCCTTCATTGCAGAACATTCTGGGCACTATGTGGCGCTCTGCGGGCAACGTCTGCGGTATTTCCTGTTGCTCGACGCAACGAATCCGAAGACTCAAGATCCGCTATACCGAGTTGCCACCGTTTCTTGGTTCGTAGTCGCCTCAGTCGGACTGCTGGTTTCCTTGGGCCAATGGCGTCGGCTGTGGCCCGTTTATGCCATCTTTGCGGCGGTCACGTTATTCCACACGCTGACGATCACCTCGGTGCGGTTTCGCATTGCGGTCGAGCCACTCTCGCTGGTGTGGATTGCCGTCGCCTTTGAACCGCTGCTGGTTCACCTGCGATCTCCGGCCCGTTGGGCAGCCGGGCTCTTCACCCCCAGGGCACAACCCCAGCCGGCGACGCATCCCAAGCTGGCCGGTCCGCACTTCCTGCGTAAGGGTCGCGAAGCCGAAATGGCCTCATCCAACGACGAATCGGCCGCTTCGCAGCGGGATTTCGACCGTTCTTAACACCCGCAGGCGTGTCGCGCGGGATGCACGCCATCGCCGGCCGCGTTGCGTTTCGGCAACGTCTTCTTCACCGGCTCCTTCCAGCTTGTGCTTGGGGTTCGTCGTGCGAAGTGGTTGCTGAATAGCACCTTATGCCTTCTCCCGGGGTGCGAAGCCCCGCTCTCTTTCCTCGCTGGCACCGGGTTTGCTTTTTCACTCGCCCAGCACGTTGCCGGCATGGTGCTGGCGGTGCGGATAGTCTCCCTTTCTCTTTCTGGTGTTGAACGAAGAGTGACGATGCACGCACGGCAATTGATCGACATGGCGGTTTGGGTCGCGACCCATCGCCAAGGGCTTTTGGTCCCCCGCACGCAAATCCCCTTGCCGGCCATCGAACGCTATTGGTCCTCGTCAAAGTGCCGACTCGACCGCTGGGGCTGGGCCCTGAAAGAAATGCGGGAAGCCATCCCAGGCCCCTTCGATCAGGCTGAAGAGTTCCGCGCGTTGCTCGTCGAGATTCTGGCATCCGATGTACTCACCCGCGTGTGGAGCGGATTGCTCTGTGCCCACGATCAGATGCGAGGCACCTCCGAAGTGGAGCCGATCGCCCGGAGCGTTTACATCGGGCATCTCGAAGCCCGCCATCGGGCGCTCACTTTCCTGCTCGACCATTCAGCAAGCGATCTTCGCTGGGCGGTCGAAGTCGACCGGGTACGGCGACAAACCGAACGCTGGACCGATCTGCTGCTGGCTCTCATGTCTGAATTGCCCGGGTGCGTGGAGTTCGCCGTCGATCACGAACGTATCGTCGAGTTCGGTCTCGGCTGTGGGCAACGTTCAACAACCGCCGAATCGCTCGTGGCCGCCGGAGTTCGCACGGCCTCGCGGCGGTTGGACCAGGAAGTATCGCCCAACGCCGACTTAAACGCCGCCGTGGCAGCCAGCGTGCTGGGCTGCTTTCCCAGCGCCGCGTTCGACGGTGTCGGTGTACCACGACCCCATGGATATTGGTCGCTGCTTGAGGGTTCCAGCGATAAAGTGCTCGTTACCGAAAAGGCAACGAAACGCCGCCTGGCAACCGCCGACCGTTTGGAACCCGGTCGCGTCTTCTGGCCAGGCTCGAACGCACCGGAGTGAGCAATTCTAAGCGGTAGTCGAAAAACTACTCGTTACTCACCGGATTGGGATCGTCGGCCCCGAAACGTCCGCGGTATTCCTCGACCGGATACTTCTGGCGATTCTTCACCATCTTCGAGTGCAGTGCTTCGGTGATATCGATCCCCAGCTCGTTGGCCATAGCCAGCGTGTAGCAAAGCACGTCGGCCAGTTCGTCCTGAACTTCGGTCAGCTTTTCAGCATCGCCGGCCACGTCGCGTGAAGCCTCTGGAGTGAGCCACTGGAAGTGCTCCATTAACTCGGCGGCTTCGATCGCCAGGGCCATCGCCAGATTTTTGGGCGTATGGAACTGCTGCCAGTTTCGTTCATCGACGAAGTGGCGCACGACCTCTCGCAACTCGGCGGCGGTCGTCGTTTGATCAGTCGGTCGACTCATCGGTGGGCGAACTCTCGGGCGGAGCCTCGAAGCCCGGCAAATGCATCTGCCGGGGGCGTGACACCGCTCGATGGTACCGGCTGCGATAACTCTCGGCCAGATGTAGCATCACCTCGAGCACCATCATGTCGGCCCGATTCATCACGTGCCGGGTACTGCGATTCCCCAATCCCCGCAGCAGTTCTTGCAGTGCCAAGAGATGCAGTTGCATCGTTTGATCGGCACTGATGTCCGCCGTGCAGAATAGCTTGGCCAGCCGGCCGATCTCGTCGACCATGTTACCCGCACCCATGATGACATAGGCCCGCAGCAGTTCGCGGTAGTGGGCAATCAACTGCGGGGGAGGCGAGAAATGCACGGGGGCCGGCATCGCCGCCGGAGGTTGAGCCTCGCCGGATGCATGACCAGAGTTCGCTTGTCCGTTGCGAAGCGCTTCAAGATCGTCGATCAGTGCCTGCTGTTGTTCCAACAGTCGTTGGGCCTCGTTGCGTTCCATCTGCAGGCGATGCTGCTGGGCCTGCCGCAATTGGCGGTTCTCGAGGATGAGAGCATGCCGCTCGATCGCGCGGGCAACCGTCCAGATCAGCGCCCGGGTGGTGGCAAGATGCACGCAGACGTAGGCATCAGCACCAGCTTCGTAAGCCATGGCCGTGAGTTCGTGTTCGCTTTCAGCGCCGAGAAGCACGACCGGTTCGTCGGACCCTCCGCCACGGATGGCATCGATCAGTTCCAACCCGTCGAGTTCGCCTGGGTCATGGCTGATGAGCACGGCGTCGAACACTTCGTCGCGAAGTTTTTTGAGGCCCGCCTGAGCGCCGACGACCGATTCAAGCACCACTTCCGAAGCACTATCGGCAGCGAACGCATGCGCCAGCCAGCCGCCCGTCTGTTGGGTGCCCGAGACGTACAGGGCGCGAATCCGCGGAGGGAGCGATCCCTTGTTTTCGTTCCAGGTGAAACTCTCAGGCTGTTGGTCGAGGAGATCCATCGCAGACTTTCAACCGGCAGACTGCGGCCGCCGGGTACGAGCTGTCGTTAGCAAACGGCGGATGACTGCGGGCAAAGCGTTTCCGCAAGAAGCCCGTGCAAGCAATCACCCCACGACAAGCGGGGCGTACTGTATCGAAGGGGATTGCAGGGGTCAATTCCGCTGAGTGACCGCTGGGTGAGGTCTCGTATGCGTTGTGGGAGAATCACACACCCTGTGGAGACCGCCCTCCGTGGCGTCTTGCCTCGGTCTGCTGGCGGCGTCATGCTAGCTGCTGTAGCGGCAACCGGGCTTGTGGATCGCCCGGCGAGTTCTAGAATTGCCGCCGCAGTGGGAAATTGTTGTCGGAGGTCGTAACTTCATGCGCGTGGCGTATCTGGATTGTGTGAGCGGAATCAGTGGTGACATGACCCTGGGGGCGCTGGTCGACGTAGGCGTCGATCTCGAAGTGCTCAACGAGGGGATCGCCTCGCTGAAGTTACCCGGCTGCCGGTTGGTGGCCGAGGAGGTGAAGAAGAAAGGCTTCCGTGCCACGCAGATCACGGTCGAGCATGAGCCCGAGCACAAGCACCGCCATCTGCACCACATCGTGGAGATGATCGACGGCAGCTCGCTCACCGACAATCAACGTGACCTGGCGAAGCGGATCTTCCAACGGTTGGCTGAAGCCGAGGCCAAGGTGCACGGCTCCACGATCGAGAAGGTTCACTTCCACGAAGTCGGCGCCGTCGACTCGATCGCCGACATTGTTGGTTCGGCCATTGGCTGGGATGTGCTCGGCGTCGATCGGGTGGTGGCCTCGCCCGTGCCGACGGGGACCGGCTACGTGAAGATTGCCCACGGGCGATGTTCGATTCCGGCTCCGGCTACGGCCGAAATGTTGGTCGGTGTTCCGTTGGTCGAACTGCCCATCGAAGGCGAACTGACTACGCCCACCGGTGCGGCCATCCTCACAACGCTGGCCGAATCGTATGGCCCGTTGCCCGCGATGCGAATTGAACGCATCGGGCTGGGATCGGGTCAAAAAGACTTGGAAGAGCAGGGCAACGTGTTGCGGTTGCTGCTGGGCGAAACCGTGGAGGGTGCAGTCGCCAGCGACTTGGTGTGGGTGCTGGAAACCAACCTCGACGACACAACCGGTGAGACGATCGGTTACTGCATCGAGCAGCTATGGGAAGCCGGTGCGTTGGACGTTTACACCACCGCAATCCAAATGAAGAAGAACCGGCCCGGGGTGGTGCTCACCACGCTGTGCGAAGGTTCGAAACTTCAACAGATGGAAGCCATTCTGTTCCGCGAGACCACTACCCTCGGCGTGCGGCGCTGGCAAGCCAGTCGGCGGAAGCTCCAGCGGAAGCCGCACGAGGTGGATACGCCTTGGGGCAAAGTGCAGGGCAAGCTCGGCTGGTTCGAGGGCGGAGCCGTGAACTTCTCGCCTGAGTACGATTCGTGCAGCAAGCTGGCGGCGGATAAGAAGGTTCCGCTGCGCTCGGTGTACGCTGCCGCCTGCAAGGCATTTGATGCCGAAGGTACCAAATAACGCGACGCAGGAGAAACGTCGCCAAGAGCAGGGAAGGATCCCGTGCGATGTATCTGTTGGCCGATTTTCAATTCGTTTCGCTATTGCCGGTGCTGGTGATGGTACCGGTCACCGTGTGGATGATGCGTCGGGTTTATCGCCGGCAGGCGCGCCGCGAGACCGACGCCCCTTCGCCGCGAGTTCAAGCCCGTCAGCAGCGTTTACAATCTTCAGGCACACTCGGAGAAGACGCACCCGCCCAGGTGGCGCAGTGGGAAGTGCATATGCACGAGACCGCGCGGGAGTTGAGTGCCCGACTCGATAACAAAATGCGGGCGCTGAACCACTTCATCGAACTGGCCGACGCGGCTTCTGCCCGCATGGAAGGATTGCTTGCCGAGGTGCGAGCCCAACAGGGCGACGGCGCCGGCAAATCCGAGGTGGTTTCGAAACCGAGCTAGACACTGGCGACGTGCGAATCCCTACGGGATTGGCTTCTCGCGCGGTTTCACTTCGGGCCGTTTCCAGAGCGAACGGATCATTCCGGTGACGGCCAGATTCTCGAAACTGGTGGGGCGATCGCCATCGGGCTCTCCGTGACAGCGATACCACGTGTCGCCTTCCAGATGATAGATGCCCCGGGTTACGCGTCCGTCTTCCCAGATAACGTCGAAGGCCTTTGGCTCTCGGTACGGGTACAGCTTGAAGCGGTACGACTTCTCATAAAGATCGTTGCCCGGGAACTTCACTTTGATCGTGGCCTGCTTGCCAGCAACTTCCAGCGTGCCATCGACATCGTCGGTGCCGACCGCATTGCCGCCGTTGTTCAGCTCGATCAAGTTCCATGTGCCCTGGATCAGGTCCGAGTCTTCATGGGCCGAATCGGCTCGGCTGACTTCTGCCATACCGAGCGCAGCGGCGAACACGGCTGCCATCAGAAGCGAGTTCGATTTGGAAGGCCGTCTGAAGGACATGCGATCGTAGCGAAACTGAAAGATGAGTGGTTCTGGCTTACTGGTAGGCCATGGGGGTGATCGGGGTACGCCTGAACTTCAAGCATAACAAATTCGCCCCAACCGACCCGAGAGCACCCCGCTGGAGTAACTTCTTTGCCCGCAGGAACCGAGCAAGGCTATTCGTGGCGGAGGGCCTCGATCGGATCCATCGCCGCGGCGCGTATGGCCGGATAGAGCCCGAATATGAGCCCCACGCCGACCGAAATGCCGAACGCCAGCGGGATCGAAAGCGGCACGATCACCGGCGTGACGGAGGCCACCACATCGGGAAGATTCTGCATCACATCGGGGATTGTCCGCTGCAGCACTTGCCGAATGCCCGCGGTGAGCGGGCCGCATGTTAATCCGCCGGCGATGCCGGTTAGCCCGCCGACGACCGAGAGCACGATCGTCTCGGCCAAAAACTGCCGGGTGATATCGCGTTGCTTGGCCCCCAGCGCACGGCGGATCCCGATCTCGCGCGTGCGTTCAGTCACGGTGGCCAGCATGATGTTCATGATGCCGATACCCCCGACGATGAGCGAGATCGCGGCGATGAGCCCCATGAACACGATGAACATCAGCCGCGTGGTGCGGGCCTGTTCCAGCAGCTCCAACGGGACCGTGATGCCGTAGTCTTCGTTCGTGTGGTACATGTCCAGGGTGTTGCGGACCACTTCGGCCGTCTGCAGCACGTTTTCGACATCGTCGATGCGGAGCGTGACTTGCGTGAGTTCGACCACTTCGCCTTCGAACGAACCAGAACGCCGTGTGACGATCTGATCGCCAATGCGGGTCCACAAAGTGCTGATTGGCACATACACATCGTTATCGAATTCTTGAGCGGCCAGCGAACCACCAATGCCGGCCGATGGCATGCGAGGTTCCATCACGCCAACCACGACGTAGTAATCTTCTTCGACGTGGATGCTGCGACCGATGGGATTTTCGAATGGAAACAGCCGTTCCGCCACCCCGGCTCCGATGACGCAATGAATGTGTTTAGAGTCGACGTCGGCAACCGAAAGAAATCGCCCTCGATCGACAACCAGTCGCGTGACTTCGGCGTACTCCGGGGTGCAACCCACCAGGCGTCCATCGACCATCCGCGCGGCGTAGCGAAATTGCCTACGGATTTCTCGGATTGGCAGCGCCCGACGAATCGTGGGAACCGTGCTGGTCAGACGGGTGAAGTCGTCTCGGGTCAGCCCATAGGGAGCCGGGCCTGAGGACGTGGAGTTGGCTTGTTCCGAAGGCTTGATCGAACGGATGATGATGTTGTCGGCACCTAAGCCTTCGATCTGCTCTTGGGCTTTCACGCTGATGCCTTCACCAATGGCCAGCAGCCAAATCACGCTGGCCACCCCGATGAAGATGCCCAACACGGTGAGCAACGACCGCAGCGGGTGCAGCAGCAGGCTTTTGATTCCCAGGCGCCAGGTTCGAAGCATGATTAGAGCCGTTCGTCCGACTGCAACAGGCCGTCCTTCAGCCTCACGATGCGTTTAGAGCGGGCAGCCACGTCGTCCTCATGCGTGACCATGATGATGGTGCGTCCCTCGGCGTTCAGCGACTCCAGCAAGTCTAGAATCTCGCCGGTGGTCACCGAGTCGAGGTTTCCCGTGGGTTCGTCGGCCAAGATAAAAAACGGATCGTTCGACAGACTGCGGGCGATGGCCGCACGTTGCTGTTGACCGCCGGAAAGCTGCGCCGGGCGGTGGCCGAGTCGTTCGCCGAGCCCAACCATTTTCGCTAACTCACGGCAGCGTTCGCGATCTTTCTGTTTGATCCGCCCCTGGTAGTACAGCGGAACTTCGATGTTCTCCAGCACGGTAAGCTGCGGAATAAGGTTGAACGATTGAAACACAAAGCCGATCCGCGACGCGCGAACTTCCGACAGTTCATCGTCGTTCATGCGGGCCACATCGTCGGTGCCGAGGAAGAACTGCCCGGCGGTCGGTCGATCGAGGCAGCCCAACAAATTCAGCAGGGTCGACTTCCCTGAGCCCGAGGGGCCCATGATGGCCACGTAGTCGCCTTCGGGCACATCGAGACTCACCCCGCGTAGCGCATGAACCGTTTCGCCCGCGAGGACATAGTCCTTCGTGAGTTCTTCGATTTTCGCCGCTAGCTTCATGTTCCGGCCCCGAGCCCTTCGCCGGATCGTTGTCGCTGCATGCGTTGATTCAGCCCGGCAATGAGTTCGCCCTGATCGACAAAGCCATCGCTGTTGCTGTCGGTCTTGTCGAAGTTGGAACGGCCCTGTTCCGGCATTTCTTCTTTGGAAAGTTTACCGTCGCCGTCTTTGTCAAATCGCTGGAACATCATGCTGGCGATTTGAGCCGGGTCGGGGGCGCCGCCGGGACCGCCGGCCACAGGTGCTTGCGGCGCGGTCGCAGCTATTTCTTCTGAACCAGGAGCCGATCGTTTGGGTTCGTCAGCCAAGTCGGGCAGGTCACGGATTTCTTCGCTTCTCACCACGGCCGTAAGCGGGGGAAGTTCTACATCGTCCATGTAATCGCGAGGGTGCATCAGCACGCGCTCGTCGTCGCTTAACCCCTCTTTGACCACCAGGAAAATATCATTCGTCGAACCGATGTGCGGCAGTTCTCGGGCTTGGAGCTGTCCATTCTTGCTAACCACACAGAAGTGTGTGTCGCCATGTTCGAACACGGTTTGCACGGGCACCTTGATCACGTCTTTCTGTTGCTCGACGAAGATTCGTACTTGAGCAGTCATCCCAGGGCGAAGGTTTGCCGGAGGGTCGAGAATTTGGACTGAGGTACCGTATTCGCGAACGCCGGAGGAGAACCAGTTGCCAGCCAGCGGATACTCGTCGACCTTGGTCACCACACCGTCGACCTTGCTATCGGGAATGGCATCGAAGTGGATTTCGACGTATTGTCCATCGCGGACGTGATCGATTCGCGACTCGTTGATCTTGGCCTTCACCTGCATCTTTTTGGGGTCTGGCAGTTTGATGACCACCTGGTTCTCGCGGATCATCGCACCTTCTTCCACGATGAACTCGGAGTCGCCGCGGCGACTGGTTTCGTTGGCGTAGACCACTTGGCCCGAGGAAGGGGCATACAGCGTACAGGCTTCGATTTGGCTTTGAATCAGCTCGAGCTTGTCGACGTCGAGTTCATAGATCTTCTTCGCCGAGGCCAGCTTGGCTTGGGCGATGTGAATATCGCTTTCGAACTGACCGATCATCTTCTTCTTGGTCAGCCGCCGCAGGATGTCGAGCTTGTTCTGGGCGATCTCGAGTTCTTTGCGGGTGCGGTCGACGGCGAATCGATCACCTTCCAACTGCAGATCGGTCACATAGCCCTTGGCCGCAAGCTTGGCACTGAACTGGGCATAGTCTTCCGCCCGACGAAGGTTTTCTTCGGCGACGAAGATTTCGTTTTGCAGCGTCTGCTCTTCTTGCTTGAAGGTGCCCTGCAGGTATTCTTCCAAGGCGATCTGGGCCGCCTTATACACGTTCTCGGCTTCGACCATCGCCGCTTCGCTGCTATTCACGGTGATTTGCTGCAGGTTGACTTCGTCCTCCAGTCCCGAGGAATCGAACCGCACCAGCAAATCGCCTTCGTTGACGTAGGTGCCTTCGTCGATGATTTCCAGGATGGCGGTACCGCCGGAACTCTTGCTCTGAACCGTGCAGCGGACTTCGACGTTGCTCGAGCTTTCGACTTCGCCCTTCTCGGTCACCACGAAGGTAAACACACCCCGTTCGACCTTATGGGTGAGCGGGCCGACTTTTTCCTTGGGGCCCCAAGGGACGAGGTAGAATGCCCCGACGGGAATTGCCGTGGCGATGCCCAAGACAACCAAAATGCCGATCCACGAAACACCGCGGCGGGCGACACGTGACCGCCTGGACACACCGGGGCCAAACGGCACCTGGGGCGCACGGCGACAGCGAGATCGAGCGACCGAAGTGATCGGACGCATAGAAACACCTCAACGATTAGGTGGGACTAACAGGGGGAGGGGGCTGACCGCTTGAGGAAGGACAAAACGCCCAGCCGTCCGTATCCTACGAAGGCCACACGTCCTTGAATCCTAATCATATACGGCTTAAGGCCTTCTGTCAGCTTTTATGCCGTGCTTTTAGCCGCATGCACCCGTAGGTATTGAACCCCGCCCGGCACCGAAAGTCTCGGTACCAACCAGTACGCTAGCGAGGCTTGGATGGTTTCCATCCTCCGCCTGGGGGGTGATCCTTCTTACTGGTCGCCTTCTCCTCTGGAACATCCGACTCGTCGTCTGAAGCGGGTGCCGAGTCCCCATCCTCATCGTCTGGTGGGGCCTCCGCCGTGATCAACCGCACGGTGGTGGTCGCCTTGGTGGTTTGCGTAGTTTTTGCCGCTTTGGGTTCAGGCAACTCGAGTTGAATCGAATCGGTCGGAGGAACCGCCGGTGCTGGCATCTCCAGCGGCTCGGCCTCGGGATCCAGCGGCAGGGCCTCTTCGATCGAAGGCACATTCGGCGGAATCACGCCCGGGGCACTTTGGTCGTCGTTGCCCGGTGGAATGAGATCCATGTCGGCGTCGGCTTCACCGGAGGTCGGTGCCCCCAGGGCTTCAGCCGTAATCGGGCCCGGATCGACCCACAGACCTTGTTTGTCGAGTCGCATCGTTCCCAGGTCGAAGTCCAACCCGACGCGTTGCACTTCGTTGTTCACCCACACGCTGAGGAAGTCGTTCTGCACCGACAGCAAGTCGGACAATGCGCTAACAAGGTCTCGGGCCGTCGTCGCACCTAATTGCGATTGCTCGCCCGGCTGCGGCGGTTGGTTCAGACGCAGTTGAGTCACTTCCACCTGGTTAATGGCCGTTAGCACCGCTGCGCGCCGCAGCTCGAAGTTCAGCTTGTTCAACTCGACGGTTCGCAAGGTGTTCCGCAGACCTTGGTACAACTGATCGCGAAGTTCGTAGAACGACCGACGGGCCTGCTGATATTCGATGAGCGACTGCCGATACAGGTTTCTTTCTTCCAGTCGAGTGATCGGCGCGTCGAACTCGATGCCCGCCCGTAAGCTGCCCGAGGTCCCACGGAAGCGGAATGGCTTGTCGTCGTTGGTGCCCAGATCGCCTTCGAGGCTAATGTTCAATTCACCTTCCAGCCGGTTGGCATTGAAGGTGATGAGCCGCCACGTATCGACCAGGTTGCCCCGAGCATTCATGATGTCGAGCCGGTTGTTCAGTGCGATCATGTATGCCGTGTGCGGATCGAGATCGATGTCGATCAACGTGGCCGACTCGAGCCGTGACCGAGCTTGGATGAGCATCAAGTCCACCAACTCACCGGAGAGGCTCGTCAGGGTGTCGATCAGCAGCGTACGGGCAGTTTCTGTCGGCAACTGCTCGGCATCGGCGGCCAGGTTTCGCAGGGCCCCGAAGGTTTCTTCCAGCCGAACCACAAGCTGCTTGAAGTCGCGATGCAGTTGCTCGGCCCGTTGCTCCATGTCCTCGATGCTGTAAGCCGCGGGGTTGACGTTCCCTTTCTGCAGTTCTTCCGAACGTCGCAGCTTCTCGAGCGACTCTCGCCGCTCGGGCAGAGCTTCGTCGAGCTTCTCGAGGTCCTCTTCGACGATTGCCAAGTGTGCGGCGGCTTTGGCCCTTACGGCATCGGCCGCATCCATGTCGATCGAGATTTCCTCGGCGTTGTTGCCAGCATCGCGCAGGTTTTCGAGCACATCGCCCACGCTGTTCTGGATTTCCGTCAGGCCGGGATCGATGAGATTGAACTGGTCGAGGATCGAATCGTTCGTTTCCACAGGCACGTCTGGCGGAAGCCCAAGTTGTGAAACCTTGAAGTTGTCGAGCGACGATTCGTACGCGGCTTTGGTCGACAGTAACCGACTCTGCGCGTTGTATAAGGCCTGCAGAGCCAGGTCGACTTGGAAGCGATCGATGCGCCCTGCGTCGTAAGTGGCTTGAAGCTGAGCCAGACTGTCGCGCAGCCCCGCGACGTTGGCTTCCTGGTTGCGAATCTGTTGCTGATCTTGCAGCAGACCGAGGTAACCACCCGCCTGTGCGGCACCGGCGCCGCCGGCGAATCCTCCACCGCCACCGCCGACTCCACCGAAACCTCCACCACCAACACCGGTGAACCCGGTAAGTCCGGCACCGCCGAAGAGACCACCACGCCGGTTCGGGCCAGGGCCCGCACTGCGACCGGTGGTGACTTCCACGTAGAATCCTTTGCGGTACCGTTCCATCTGGCGAACGTTGTAAAGCAGCACACGTTCGCTGATGGTCAACGTTTCAAGCACAACGGCTCGCGTTCCGCCTCGTAGTAGCGGTTGCAATAACGAGAAGTCCAACAACGAGCTTGCTGCGTACGTATCGGTGCCGGCAAATTGCCACACGAAACTGTTGGCAAACCCGGCGACAAGCTCTCCACCGCTGGCGAAGAGCCGTCGGGCTTCCACGTCGTTGTTCACATTCAGAATGCTCGAAGACTGTCCGCCAATGTCGCGGCCATCGAAGTCGCCATTCGTATCGGTACTGGCGAAGAACTGTGTGTCGAAACGGAATCGCTCGAATGCCACGTCGAGTGCCGACAGATAAAGGTCTTCAAGGTTGCCCTGATACTCGGTTGAGTTCAATCGCGCGAGCAGCACGGCCTGGTTCATTTTGAGAACCAACTCGCCTTCCTCGTCGGTTTCGAGGTACTGCGCCCACATAGGGTTCTGCACATAAGGCGTGGTGCCGTTCTTGTACCAACACGGGTAAGCCTGTTTTCCGTCGATGGTGTGCATCAAACGGTTGGCCACCGGATCATCAGGCGGCATCGGCTCACAATCAGGATCGTACGGATCGTACATTCGCGATCGCGGGTTGATGTTGATGTTGTAGCGCCCGCTGTACCAGTGCGGGTGTTCATTCTTCTGGTGGATCAAACGGTACGCGTCCCAGTCGGCCTGTTCACGGTAGTAAGGCAAACTGCAGCCGCTCCCGCCGAGCCATGCAGTCAGAATTAGGGCGAGTCCCAACAGCCCGCGGAGGCGGGAGTTGCCCTGAGCAATGTTCTTTGTTCTGAGGTGGATCATGCGGCCCTCTTTTCGTTCAAGAGAGCAGCGTTGTCGTGATCATTGGGGTTTGACGCTTCCAGTTCCAAATCGCCGAGCAACTTCAGCAGCGCCTGCAGTAAGCCGAGTAACTCTTCCTGCGACTCGCTACCGAGTTCGTTTGCCAATTGCGTCGCCCAAGGTTGCAGGCGGTTCACAACTCGGTGCACCACGTTGCGGCCTTCGGGGGTGACCACCCACACTTGTCGTCGCCGGTCGGTTTCGCATCGCTGCGACTTCAAGAACCCCAGTCGGCGGAGCTGTTCCAGCGTTGAGCTGACATGAGCTGGCGAAACGCTGAGGGCTTCGGCCAGGTGTCGCTGGCTGGAGCCGCCGGCGGTTGAGTTGAGGCAGTTCCATAGCAGTGAGAACTGGGCGTCGCCGAGTTCGACTTCGCTCAAGGCCGACGACAATGCCCCGCGCATGCGGCGTCCGCAGAGCGAGATGCTCTCGGCCACGACGAGCCAGGCGGTCGCCTCGTTGGGTTGCGATGTGGGCATAACCAAGCTGCGATTTCCGAGAAGAAAAGCGGAACCCCTGCCACGGGCGCGGCGGGGGCCGTGAGCCGAAAATTCATTCAGCCGGTTAACGTTTTCGGCGCTGAATCGTTCAGACTTGAACGGTTCTGTGGATTGCGCCGCTGGCGCTGCCGGCAAAGTCGCACATTCATCGCGAGTGCTAGCAATTGCAGTAAAGTGCACCTGGTTTACCGCGTTTCCGCAGCTTGACACTCCCAGGGGGGCGGCCTAAGCTCGAATCTATGGAATTCTGCTAAGTCCTTGCCCCACTTGGGCTCTATGAACAGGGACGGCAGAAGTTCGGCCCCAAGGAATTCTTCCTACAGGGCCGTAGCGTCTCTTGCTGTGCGCCGCAGAGGACTAGCTGCCCGGCGTATAGTTGAAGAGAGTGGAACAGAGTTCGGCCACCCGCGAAATAACGCGCGTCGTAAGGCGTGTGACACACGATGAGCATTCTTAGCAGAGTCCTGGCCGGCTTCATCTTTGTAGCTAGCCTCGTATTCTTCTACAGCGCGGCGCGGACGTTGCAGACGCACGAATCGTGGCGGCAGAAGGCCACCGCTCTCGAGACGCAACTCAATCAAACGCTTGCGAACAATGAGTTGCTCGCCCATGGGGATCAAAACACCCCCGGCATCCTTCAGCTTTCCGTCGATCTACACGATCTGATCGTCGACCGTGGTCGCGTGTGGTATGGAGCCATGCCCGGTCCCATCGACGATACCGGCGGCACCAGCGTCACCATTGCCGAACCGGTTCCCCACGGCGTCACCGGCAATTCGTTGCTGTATGTGTTCGAGCAAAGCACGACCGACCCCGAACGATTCGGCACCTATCTTGGTGCTTTCAAAGTGGCTGGCGTCACCGAGGCCGACCCAACTCAGGAAGGCCAGGCCGGCGAAGTCGCCTTGGTTCCGGCACGAGCCCTCTCGCCAACGGCACTCGACCGGCTGAAGGCCAGCACCGGTCCTTGGATGTTGTACGAAATGCTGCAACGCGATCGGTACGATGTGTTCGCCGACTTGGAAGAGGCCGAACTGCAAGCCATTCTCCCCGGGTCGACGGTACAAGACTACATCAAGCACGGCGAACCGGCCGAGGCCGCCGATCCCGCGGAGCGGAAGGACGAAGAAGGCAACTACGTTCGCCAACTCCGCGACTACGCGGTTCTGTTCCGCGAACTCGATCGCCAGATGACACTGCTCCGTGATCGCATCGCTTCCTTCGAGTCGGCCCTGGCCGCAATGAAGTACTCCAACGACGACTCGATGAAGCAGGAAGAATTCCGCAGGGCCGAGGTGGCGACCCTGACCGAGCGACTCAAACGGGCGCGTCACGAACTCAAGGCCGTGCAAGATCTCCAGCAAAAACTGGCAGACGAACTGCAGAAGACCCAGGACGCGGTGGCCAAATTCACCGCCGAAGCTCGGGCATTGGAAACCGAGCTGACCGAGCGACAGCTCTCGGCCGCCGAGGCCATCAACGACCGTACCCAAGCCACGGCCGAGCCTCCGTCGTACTAGTCATCTCGACGGCGGTCCTACCCCAAACTGTGGGCTTCATTCGCTCGAAGCGTCCCAACCCTGGGGCGATTCTCTGCGCTCGCGCGGCCGAATTCACGCGAGTGTGCACCCCCCCGTTGCAGGGCAAAGTACGGTTGCCCTGATGGCGGCGACCTGAGATGCTGACGCCTCGCTCGGCCTTCGGTTCCAGAGATTTTGTTCCTGACACTGCCCGAGTTGCCCTCCGAGTCGTACGATTACGGAGGAGTTGGTTTCAGAGGTGCGGAGTCGACCGATGGGTCTTTACGATCGCGATTATTTACGCGACGACGAAGAGTACAGCCTGTTTGGCGGTGGTCAGCGGATGATGGTCACGAACCTCGTGATCATCAACGTGGCGATCTTTATCATCGACATGTTCACCAGCGTGACCAGTGGGAGCCAGTTCGGGCAAAGCACGAAGTGGCTCAGCGATCAGATGGCCGTGCACGTCGACACTTGGCAGTACCCATGGCTGTGGTGGAAGTTCCTCACCTCAGGTTTCGCCCACAGCCCCAGCGATATTTGGCACATCGCCCTGAACATGTTCATGCTGTGGATGTTCGGTCGTGATGTTGAGCAACGGTACGGGCCGAAAGAGTTTCTCTGGTTCTATCTCGTTACCATCGTCGTCGGCGCGGTGGTGTGGTGCCTGGTTGAAAACCTCGCCGGCAGCCCCGGTAATGCCGGCATGTACGGCGCCTCGGGGGCAGTGTGCGGTGTGTTGGCACTGTTCGCCCTGAACTTCCCCCGCCGCACGATTCTGGTGATGTTCGTCATTCCCGTTCCGGCTTGGGGCGTGGTGCTGTTCATGGTGTTGATCAACATCATGGGAAGCGTCGGAACCGATGGCAGCAACGTGGCCTACATGGCTCACCTCGGCGGGTTCGGCTTTGGGTTCCTCTACTTCTGGTCGGGGATGCGGATCGGACGATTCGTGCCCGAGGGGATTTCATTCTCTCGGCTACTCAAGCGGCAACCCCGGCTACGAGTACACCGCCCATCGGACGGAGACGACACCGATCGCGCGAGTGGCGAAGTGGATCGCATTCTGGCCAAGATTCACAGTGAGGGCGAAAGCAGCCTCACCAAGAAAGAGCGCCGTACGCTCGAAGACGCCGCTCGACGATATCAGCAGCGTCGCCAGTAGGGCGGGGCGATTCGGTTCAAACCCGCCTTCTCCTCCTTCAGCCCTGTGGCAGGGGCACGCTAGCACCGCGAGCGAGGATCTACTCCCCCAAAAATACTCCAGCCAGCCCTATTGACATGGCGATAGTTTATATGTAAACTATATGCGTTGGGTGATCGGGCTCAGCCGAGCCAGTATGCCGCAGGGTCGCCCGGCATTTGTTGCAAGTAGATAGTTGATATGTAAATTAAGTGCGGCAGCTCAGGAAGGATCAGGCCATGATTCAAGTACGCAAGGCTCACGATCGCGGACACTTCAATTTCGGGTGGCTCGACACCTACCACACCTTTTCGTTCGGCGACTACCACGATCCCCGGCATCACAACTTCCGCGACCTGCGGGTGATGAACGAAGATCGGGTTCACCCCGGGCAGGGGTTCGGAATGCACCCGCATCGCGACATGGAGATCGTCACCTACGTGCTTTCCGGAGCCCTCGAGCATAAAGACAGCATGGGGAACGGTTCGGTTCTAAGACCGGGCGAATTCCAGCGCATGTCGGCCGGCACCGGCATCCGGCACAGCGAGTTCAACCCTTCGGACAGCGAGCCGGTGCACCTGTACCAAATCTGGCTGTTCCCCGAACGCAAGGGCATCGAACCCAGCTACGAGCAGAAGGCCTTTCCAGAAGCCGACCGCGCAGGTCGCTTGCAATTGGTTGCCTCTCACGGTGGGCGAGACGGTTCACTGGCGATCAACCAAGACGCCGAGATCTATCTCACCACGCTCGACAACGACGACACGGTGAGTCACGCGATCGAACCCGGGCGAGGTGCCTGGGTGCAAGTGCTGCGCGGCGACGCGGAAGTGAACAACACCCGCCTCACGGCCGGCGATGGTGTGGCGATCGATGACGAAAGCCAAGTTTCGATCACCGGAACCGGTGCCACGGAAATCATGCTGTTCGATCTGGCCTGAGCGCCACTTTCAATTCACTTCAGCCTGAGGAGAACTTCGATGCAAAACCCAGCACAAGGAATCGCCACCCTCGCCGGACGAGTGATGCTTGCCACCATCTTTCTGATGAGTGCGGTGGGGAACAAGATTCCCAACTTCACCGGCGTCAGCGAATACATGGCCGCCGAAGGCGTTCCCGCACCAAAGTTCATGCTCTTCGGTGCGATTGTGTTCCTCATCGTCGGCAGCCTTTCGGTTATCTTGGGCTTCAAAGCCCGCGTCGGAGCCGGGCTGCTGTTCGTATTCCTGGTGCTGGCCACCTACTTCTTTCACGACTTTTGGACCCTGACCGACCCCCAAGAGCAGCAGATGCAAACCATTCAGTTTATGAAGAATCTCTCGATAATGGGCGCCATGCTCTTCATCATGGCCAACGGATCGGGTCCACTTAGCTTGGATGCAAAGCTGGCCGGGGAATCAGACGAATCCAGCGCGGTGAACACCGCGGTAGCCGCTTGAAAGGAATGATCATGCCCAGCCCCAAAATACTCGCCTTCGCCGGCAGCACTCGCCGCGAATCGTACAACAAACAACTAGTGACCATCGCCGCCGAGGCCGCACGCGCAGCGGGTGCCGAAGTCACGCAGATCGATCTCAGCGATTTCCCGCTGCCGATCTTCGACCAGGATTTCGAGGCCGAACAAGGCCCGCCAGAGAATGCCAAGAAACTCAAACAGATGTTCATCGAGCATGACGGGCTGTTGATCGCCTCTCCGGAGTACAACAGTTCGGTCACGCCCGTGCTGAAGAACACCATCGATTGGGTCTCGCGCCCCGCCCCCGACGAACCACCGCTGGTCGCCTTCACCGGCAAGGTCGCCACACTGATGAGTGCCTCGCCCGGCGGGCTGGGCGGACTCCGCGGGTTGGTTCATCTTCGCTCCATCCTCGGCAACATCGGGGTAATCGTTCTGCCCGATCAAATGGCCGTCGCCCGGGCGTTCGAAGCCTTCGACGAACAAGGTCAGTTGAAAGACGACAAGACGCAGGCCACGATCCAGAATCTCGGCTCGGGGCTGGCAGACTTTCTCAGCAAACTCCGGGCAGAGTAGCTCCCGCCGGACGTCCTGCCCTCGAACACTGCTATCGGTTCGCCAGCGTTTAATCCCCTTGCCGTTACGGCCGCCCCTCGTATGCTTTGCTTGAACTAAGGGGCGGCTTTCGTCGGTATCGACCATAAACGCTTGATGGATCGGGCACACCCGCATGCTGGGCACGTTTGTCTATGAACTGCTGATCATCCTCACCGCCGGGCTCATCGCCGGGCTGGTGTGCCGGGGGCTGCACGTCTCGGTGCTGGTGGGCTATCTGGTCGTGGGGGCGCTGCTGGGGAAGGGGGTGCTCGGCTGGGTCGGTGACGAACAACACAATTTGGAATACATCGCAGAAGTGGGTGTGTTCTTTCTGTTGTTTTCCATCGGGCTCGAATTCTCATTGGCCGAACTGTACCGGCTGGGGCGAAACCTGGTCATCGGCGGCACGGTGCAGATGGTGCTCGTCGCGGTGCCCGTCGCGATATTCTTATCCGCACTCGGCATGCCTTGGCGACCCGCTGTGTTGATCGCAGCGGCCACCTCGTTCAGTTCCACCGTGCTGATCTTCAAAGCCTTGTCCGAGTGGGGGCATTCGAGCCTGCCACATGGACGTCGCGCCATCGGCATTCTGTTGTTTCAAGATGCGGCCCTCGTGCCCCTGTTGCTGTTGGTACCGCTACTAACCGGCTCCGGAGAAACGACCAGCCCCATGACATACGTCGTGTTGGCCGCGACTTCGGTTTTATTCGTGGCCGCCGTCATTCTGTTGAATCACGTGTTGGCCAAGTGGATCATCCCGACCTTTGCCGGGTTTCGCAGTATCGAACTGGTGATCTTATTCACTTTGGTCTCGCTGGGAGGGGTCACCCTGGTCGCACATCAGGTCGGGCTACCGCCGGCGATTGGAGCATTCGCCGCAGGGCTAATCTTCAGCGGCAACCGCTGGACGCGACAGATTGACGCCCTGGTCTTGCCCTTCCGCGAGAGCTTCTCGGCCGTGTTTTTTGTGAGCCTCGGACTGTTGTTCGATCCGCAGTTAGTGCGCGAAGCCCCATTTCTAACGCTGGCCTCATTCGTCGGCCTGATCATCGTCAAGATGTTGGCCGCCTCGATCGCCCTGTGGTTAACCGGAGTGCGCGGTCGGGCCGCCCTTGGCATGGGACTCGGCTTGGCCCACATTGGTGAGTTCGCCTTCGTGCTTTTGGTGATTGGCTGGGAGCAGGGCGTTATCTCAGATTCTGACTACGGTCACACGGTGGCGCTGGCGATTGGCTCGCTGATTCTCACCCCAATGCTCTTGAAGTTCGGCCTGCGATGGCTGGGGCCCGAGGGCGTTAGTGAAGAGCCCGCCTCGCATGCAGGTGACACGCTTGGCTTGGGTCAAAGGGCTCTGGTGATCGGGGCCGGCCCGATTGGCCGCCAGGTGGCCTCGCAATTGGAAACCGTGGGTAAAGAGGTTTGCTTGATCGACCTCAGCCCGATCAACTTGCAGGGTTTTGCCCAGTTAGGTTTTCGCACCATCGCCGGCGACGCGACCGATCGTTCGATTCTCAAGCTGGCCCACGCCGAGGAAGTTGCCTTGGTGGTGGTTTGCGTGCCCGACGACGAAGCGGCGATCCGCGTGGTGGGGGCATTCCGCCAGCTCAACACCGAGTCATTCGTGCTCGTTCGCTGTAGATACCAGGGCAATGTAAAACGGTTGGAGACCTCGGGTGCTAACGGTGTGGTCAGCGAAGAGGCCGAAGCCAGTGACGCATTGCTGAGTAGATTGCTGAAGATCAACTGAGAGGCGAGCTGTGGCAACACGCGAGCGATGGGATCGAGCGTGGGAAACTCTGAGAACTGAGATGCCGGCGGATCGCGTATTCGAAGACCTGCTCAACCACTACACCGAGCCGCAGAGGGCTTATCACACACTGAACCACATCCAGGAATGTTTCAGCCACCTCGATGCGGCCCCAGGTATTCAGCGTCCCGCCGAGTTCGAACTAGCACTCTGGTTCCACGACGTCATCTATGACACCCATGCGGCCGACAATGAAGAGCAGAGTGCCGCATGGGGGCGAGCCATTATGGAGTCGCAGGGCGTCGCTCCCGAGGCAATCGCTCGCGTGGTAGCGCTGGTCTTGGTGACGAAGCACAACGTCGAACCGGCGAACCAGGACGAGGGATTGTTCATCGACATCGACTTGGCGATCCTTGGAGCGGACGAAGCCCGCTTCGATGAGTACGAAGCTCAAGTTCGCCAGGAGTACGCCTGGGTGCCGGAAGAGGTGTTCCGCTCGACCCGCGCTCAGATCCTTCGCCAGTTCCACCAGCGACCGCGACTCTATCACAGCAACCACTTTCACGACCGTCTCGAGACCCACGCTAAGAACAACTTGGCTCGTTCACTGGTCAGGCTGGAAGCTTGCTGAGTTTCACTTCGCTATGTCCGGACGAACTAGAGGGTGCTCTATCAAGCAGCAAGATAATTTGCTTTGGTCTGGGTGATAGTAATCGTGGAGTGGTCAATGTGCTGACGTCAGCGAAGTTGGACATCTACCTTCGATGCTTCATGCTTCACTGGCATCAGCATGGATTCTTTCGCGAGAGAGTTTTACTCAGGGCGTCTTGTCGACTTCGTCGACCCAGCCGGCGCGGCTGGGCCACCCGAGGAATGGGTAGAGTGTGTCGAGTCAGTGGGTCGTGCAAATTCTCGAGTGATTGCGTACGATGCCCCTTGGAAACATTGAGTTGCTCGTACGCCGTGAGAGCCCGCGATGAAGAAGCACACCGATTACCCGACTTGGTTTCTCTGGTTGATCGAACATGGCTTCAGCCTCTTCGTCGTCGGAGGGCTGATGTTGATGGTCGCCATCGTATTGGCCTCGGTGTACATCGATCACCGTCTCGACCAGATTGAAGAGCAGATTCAATACGTCCCGCCCAGCAGCTATCAGGCACCGAATCTAGACGACTTCGCGGCTGGCGATGTTCCGCTCGATGAGTTGGCCGCGCCGCGAATGGTCTACGCTCCCGTCTACTCGCACATCTACTATCAAGGCGGGGCCCCGTTCTTGCTCGAGACGACGCTCAGCATTCGCAACGTCGATCTCCAGCAGCCAATCTATGTGAACTCGGTTGAGTACCTCGATACCGAGGGGAAACCGGTCAAGTCGCATCTCGACCGCACGATCAAACTCGACCCGATGGAAACCATCGAGTTCCTGGTCGAAAGCCGCGACAGTACCGGTGGCTCGGGGGCCAACTTCCTCATCGAATGGGCCGCGCGTGAAGAAACCGACCAACCGCTGGTCGAGACGGTGATGGTGGGCACCTCCGGCTCGCAGGCCATTTGTTTCAGCCGTACCGGGGTGGAGATTACTCTCCGTGAAGAGCAGGGTCCGGCCGAATAATCCCCCCTCATCAGGCCCACTTTCTACTCCCCGCAAAACTTGACTGTCCCCGTCCCGGGCACCATGCTGGAGGATTACGGGCTGAGAGTGCGGGCCATGATGAACCGACGCGCCTCAGTGGGGGAAACCGGCAGTGCGTGAAGGCCACTGCATCAAGCTGTACATGAGTCGCCGCGATGTTCTTTAAGGTCGAATGCCCTAATTGCAGTAAGGTTCTCAAGGTTGGCGAACAACACTTGAACCGTAAGGCGAACTGCCCCTACTGCAAGAATGCGTTCGTCGTGCCGGGCCCTAAAGAAGAAAGCCCTTCGCAACCAGAACAACAACCCGAGCAACCGGCATTCGAGGGCATCGACACGGGCAGCACCGACGTCATTGCCCAACGTCGCACCAAAGGCAAACCCCAACCGGCCAAGGGGGCTGCCGCCTCGGTGTTGCAAGCCAGCGCCGGTAGCGATGTCAGCCTGTTGGTCAGCGGCGGGATCGCCGTCGCCCTGTCGGTCGTCTTCTGTGGATTGATGTTCCCCTTCAAAGGGACGTATCTCGGCGACTTGTTCCTCGACCGTGGCTGGGTTCCCTTCGCCCTCGTGTTTCTCTCGGCCTGGTCGGCTGCGATTCTGGCACTCAAATACCGCAAGATCTCGCGACAGAAGCAGGCCCTGATGCTCGACCTGCTTCCCACGGAAATCTCAAACGACATCACGCCCGAGTCGGTGGACCGTTTCTTGTCTCACATCTCCACCCAACCGGTGCGGCCGCAAGACAGCTACTTGGTGAACCGGGTGGTGCGGGGTCTCGAGCACTTCCGCGTTCGCAACAGCGCCTCGGAAGTGGCTTCGATCCTTTCCTCGCAAGGTGAAATCGATGCCACCACAGTGGCCTCGAGCTACACCATGACGAAGGTCTTCATTTGGGCCATTCCAATCCTCGGGTTTATCGGCACGGTGATCGGCATTAGCGCCGCCGTGGGTGGCTTCTCCGGTTCGCTCGATGACACCAACGATGTGGCCAAACTAAAAGAATCGCTCAATGGGGTGACCGGCGGTTTGGCCACCGCGTTCGACACCACGCTCGTCGCCCTGGTGATGAGCTTGCTGGTGAAGTTCCCGACCTCTTCGCTGCAAAAGCAAGAGGAAGGTTTCCTCAACGGCATCGACGAATACTGCAACGAGAACCTGCTCAAGCGCTTGGACGATGGTCGCGGTGGTGTCGAAGGCGCCATGACTAGCGACGCAGCCCTGGAAGCTTGGACTCGGCGGATGGAGGCCATGGGCACCAAGATCTCGCAGCAGGTGGTTGAAGGGTGGGAACAGATCAACGCGGGCATTCGCGAGAACGAAGGCCAACGGTTGGCCCGCGTGAAGGAATCCGATCAAGTCATGACCCAGGCCGGCGAGTCGATGCGGGCCAGTGCCGAATCGCTGAACAAAGGCATCACCCAACTCAATGCCGGGCTGCAGGGGCTGAATAAAGTGCTTGCCGCCTTGGGCCAGCAAAAAGTTTCCATCGACATGCCCGAGCGTCGCCGCAGTTGGGCCTTCTGGCGCTCCAACGGTAACTAACGGTTCTGCAGCCTCGCGTTTCGAGTGTTTCAGGGAGATTGAACATCATGGTGCGACGGGTCGAAGAGGAAGACGCCGTTTCGCTGTTTCCCTTTCTCAGCGTTTTGGCCTGCGTGATCGGAACCCTCACGCTGATGATCATGGCCCTCGCCCTGGGGCAGATGGACACCGAAGAGGTCTCCAATGCCCAAGAGCATGAAGAGAACGTCCGCGAGCTGGCCGCTGCCCAGGAAGAAATCGAAGAGCTGATCGCCAAGGTCGGCAACCTCGATCAGTCGCTCCGCGAGTTGACCGAAGTTCGCAAACAGAAAGACGATCTCTCGATTCGCCTGATGCAGCTTACCCAAGAAATGCCCGACGAGGTCGAGCCGGTCGACTTGGTTGCTCGAATCGCCGACTTGAAAACGCTGGAACAGCAACTCGAAGAGCTCGAAAAACAGTTGGCTCCCATGGAGGAGGAACTCAAGAAGCGAAAGGCCCCTCCCGAAGAAGCCGTGGTGATGATCCGCCCTGGCGGAACCGGAGTGGATATCAAGCCCACCTTCGTCGAGTGCCGTGCCGACTCCATCGTCATCTACGAGAACAAGACACCAAAGCGAATTCCCAAGTCGGAGATTGGCACCAACACGGTCTATCTCGAATTGCTGGCCAAGATTGCGGCCGACAAGAGTAAGAAGCGATCGGTCATCTTTCTGATTCGCGACGATGCCATCGGCACTTACAACGCGGCTCGCAACGTGGCCCGCGAGCACTATGCCCGCAATGGGAAACTGCCGGTTATCGGTCACGGACAGTTGGACCTGAGCATGTTTGAGGCCTAATGCCATGCGACCCCGCGCACAAGAAGACGACGGCAGCCTCGATTCGCTGTTGGACACCATGACCAATGTTGTTGGCATTTTGGTCATTGTCCTCGTGGTCACCCAACTCGGCGTGAAGCAGGCCGTGAAGCGGATCGGCGAGATGGTCGATCCCAAGATCGTGGCCGCCACCCAGGAAGAACTGAAGCAGGCCAACGAGCGTCGCGAGGAATTGTTGTCGCTGGTCAGCGATGTTTCGGCCCCGACCGTTGAAGACCCTGCGGCCGAGCTGCGCCGGCTCGAGCAACAGATCGCCGAGGCCAAGAAGAAGCTCGAAGCCACCGAACAGGAAGCGCTCGCTCGCCAAGATCAACTCGAACAGCAGACCGAGACGATCGAAGAGCTGAATGCGCGCGAGAAAGAAATCCGCGAAAAGCTGGAAGCAGCGCTCGCCCGCAAAGCCGAGATCGAGGCCCTGCTCGAAGAAACTCCCGCTCGCGACCCGGAAGGGGACGATCTCGAAGCGAAGGTGGTCAATCTCCCGAATCCCCGCCCCGCCCCCAAGGGTGCCGGCCCCGCGATGGTGCATTGTCGCGATGAAAAGCTGTACCTGCTGAACCTGGAGGAGATTCGCAAACAGGCTCGAGCTCAGGCCGAGGAGATCGTGATCAGCCGCCGTATGAATTCCGATCCCGCCAAGGGCATCGATCCCGAAGCGTTCGTGAAGGCTTTCAACGCCAACAAGATCGTCACCGATTACTTCCGAGTAGGCATCACCGCCCGGGGCCGTCAGCCCTGGCTCATGTTCGAACGGCGCGAAGATCGAGGGCATCCGGTAACAGTTCTGCGACGTCGCAACAGTCGGTATCAAAAAGCCCTGCAAACGCTCGACCCGGAGAAGTTCTACATCCAGTTCTTGGTGTGGCCCGACAGTTTCGAGATCTATCTTGAAGCGCGTAACATCGCTGCCGAGAACGGGCTGCTGGCCGGGTGGAGTCCAGAGACCCGCACTGACGAGTATCAAGCTCCCTTGGGTGGCCCACTCGCGTTGGGACCACCGCCAGAACCCAAGCCGGCACCTCCGACTCCACCGAACCCCAATCCTCAGCCAGCCAGGCCGAAGCCAGTCGATACGATCGACTAGCCGCTCAACCGACTCGACACTCCCGTTGGGCACCCGGTAACCTGTTACCTTTTCAGGCAAGCACGCGAGCAGAATTTGTCGCGAGTGTTGCCGATCGCTGGGTTTAAACTGGCCGCCCTTCGGTGTTCCTTCATGAGTCCGCTGGAATCCATTTCGATCTTGCTTGTCTTGGCCGCGCTCTGCACGTGGATCAACGAGCGATTCCTGGGGTTGCAGCCCTCGATCGGGGTCATGCTATGCGCGTTCGTTGGTTCACTCACGCTGGTGGTTTTGGACCGCCTGGGTGTCGACGTTCAACTTGCCGAATCGGTGGCCTTCGTTGGCAATGTGCAGTTTAGCGATGCGCTACTGCACGGTATTCTGTGCTTCTTGTTGTTCGCGGGTGCTCTCGACGTGCGCATCCAAGACTTGGAACAGAACGCCGGAATCGTGGTGCTGCTGGCCATTGTGGCCACGTTTACCGCCACACTGGGAACCGGCATTTGCATCTGGGCTGCAATGAACGCTTGCGGGGTGTCGATCGACTTATTGCCGGCACTGCTGTTCGGGGCCATCATCTCGCCGACCGACCCGATCGCCGCGTTGGCGATCCTCAAAAGTAGTGGGCTTTCAAAGTCGCTGGAAACGATCATCTCGGGTGAGTCGCTGTTCAACGATGGAATCGGGGTGGTCTTCTTCACCGTCATTCTCTCGATGATCGCTGGAGACCAAGAAGCGTCGGTCTCGGTGGCCATCACCGTTTTCGTTCGCGAAGTTTTGGGCGGCGTGGTGCTCGGAGTCGTTTTAGCCGTGATCAGCTACATCCTGCTCAGCGGGGTGAATCGCTACGCCTCGAATGTTTTGGTCACGCTGGCCATGGTTACCAGTGGCTACGCCTTCGCCGAGTGGTCGGAAGTGTCCGGCCCCATCGCCATGGTCGTGTTGGGGCTCTCGGTAGGGAACTACATGCTTCCAAGAACGATCGATGAAACCGGGCGCCGCGAACTGGAAGACTTCTGGCAGATGTTCGACGAGTCGCTCGACAGTATCCTCTTCCTGTTGATCGGTCTGCACCTGCTGGTCGTTCCACTTACGGCGACCACGTGGCTGGTCATTCCGGCATCGATACTCATTGTGCTGGTGGTTCGCTACGCCAGCGTTGCCATCCCGGTCACACTGTGGACCATGCACGAACGGTTCGAATCCGAACGTTCGGCCATTTTGAAGCTGCTGACCTGGGGCGGGCTTCGCGGGGGGCTCTCTCTGGCGTTGGCCCTTTCCCTCGACATCGGAAGCGACAAGGATCTCATCCTGCTGATGACCTACAGCGTGGTGGTGTTTTCGATTCTCGTGCAAGGCAGCACCGTAGGGCGGCTTTATCGCTCCATCTTCCCGGCTACGCAGACCGCGGCATAACGCCCGACTTTCTTCAGCGAACTCCGCAGCTTTGACACGCGTTCGACCGCCTGCGACGATGCTTGATGAAGTAAGCAGTGCTTCAAAGCCACGGTTTTTAGAGTAAGGGTGTGCAGGATGAATCATCGAGTCGGACAACTACGCCGCCTGGTGTTTGTCTTGGTAGGGCTGCTGGGTTGGGTGATCGTTCCGCCCAATACGGCGGACGCCAAAGCACGGAACGTCCTGTTCATCGCCGTCGATGACATGCGGGTGGAGTTGGGGTGCTACGGCGATACGATTGCCAAAAGCCCCAACATCGACCGGCTTGCGAGCCAGGGAACATTGTTCCAGCGGGCCTATTGTCAGCAGGCGGTATGCAACCCCTCCCGGGCATCGCTGCTCACCGGGTTGCGTCCCGACACCATTCGCATTTGGGATCTACCGACTCACTTCCGCGAGCACGAACCCGAGCTGGTCACCCTTCCCCAACTGTTCAAACAGAACGGTTACCATGCCCAATGCGTGGGGAAGATCTTCCACAATTGGCGGCAAGACGATTACCAGGGCGACCCCACCTCTTGGAGCGTGCCCTCGCAGATGCACTACAACAGCCACGGGAACGACACCCCGCAGGTCGAGGGCAAGGCTCCGACAGATTACTCCGGCGTGCCGCGAACCGAGATGTGCGACGTGCCGGACGAAGCGTACTTCGATGGCCGTATTGCCCAATTGGCGATCGACGCTTTGCAGCAGGTGCAGGACCAACCGTTCTTCCTGGCCGTCGGTTTTTGGAAACCACACGCTCCGTTCAACCCGCCGAAACGTTACTGGGATCTTTACGATCGCTCCGACGTACAGCCGCCCGAGCCGGCGGAGGCACCCGCCGATGTTCCACCGCTGGCGATGCACGATAGCCGCGAAATCCGCCGGGGCTTCAAAGACCGACCCGACGGTCGGCCAACTGTGGAAGACACACTCGCCCTGCGGCACGGATACTACGCGGCGATCAGCTATGTTGATGCCCAGATTGGGAAAGTGCTCGACGAGCTGGAGCGGTTAGGGCTGCGCGACGACACGATTGTCGTCTTCTGGTCCGATCATGGCTTTCACTTGGGCGAACATACGCTGTGGGCCAAGACGTCAAACTTCGAACTCGACGCTCGCGTGCCAGTGATCATCGCCACGCCGGAACATACCGGCGGGCAACGGGCCGAGGGGTTAGTCGAACTGCTCGATCTTTACCCGACGTTAGCCGATCTGTGCGACCTGCAGGCGCCTGAGAACCTGGAAGGGAAGAGCCTGCGTCCGCTGTTGGACGAACCCGGCGGGACAGTGAAGGACGCCGTATTCACGCAGCACACCCGGCCGGCTTATCCTTCGACGAAGGAGCCGTTGGTGGCGATGGGCTATTCGATGCGCACCGACCAGTTTCGCTACACCGAGTGGTGCAGTGTGGAGGACGGGCACGTGATGGCCCGGGAGTTGTACGATCACGAAGAGGACCCGCTGGAGACGGCGAACCGCGCCGACGATTCGCGATACGCCGACACGATGAAAAGCCTGGCCGCTCAAATGGCGGCCACCATCACCCGGCCCGAGTCGATCGCCCTGGATCACTAAGGTTCACGTACGGACAGACGAAGATGATTCCAATTGAGGAAGCCCTACGGCTGATTGAGCAGCACGCGAAGCCCTTGGCGGCGATCGATGTGGCGGCCGTCGATGCATTGGGGATGACGTTGGCTGAAGATGTGGCCAGCGATATCGATTCTCCGCCATACGACAAGGCCCTGGTCGATGGTTACGCGGTGGTGGCCGACGACGTGAAGTCCGGCACCGCGCGGTTGAAAATTCTGGAGGAAGTGACCGCCGGGCGAATGCCAACCCAGCCGCTCGCCTCGGGGCTGGCGACACGAATTATGACCGGTGCGCCATTGCCTGACGGGTGCGATGCGGCGGTGATGGTTGAGACGACCGAAGTTGAGTCCGACGCCAAAGGCGGGTTGGGACATGTCGTCATTCAAGGCAAGCCGATCAAACCCGGCGTGAATGTGATGTCCCGAGCCCAGGCCATGCAGCGGGGGCAGAAAGTGTTGCAGGCCGGTTCGCTCATTCGGCCGGTGGAAGTCGGGCTGCTGGCTGAAGTTGGCCGCGTGCGCGTGAAAGCCATCGCGCGTCCACGGGTGGCGGTGCTCTCGACCGGCGATGAAGTGGTGCCCGCGGAGACCACCCCCCAAGCCGCGCAGATTCGCAACAGCAACGGCCCTTTGCTGGCTTCGTTTGTGGTCAGTTGTGGCGCGGTGCCGATTGAACTGGGGATCGCCCCGGATGAAATCGGTTCGTTACGCGCAGCCATTCAGCGTGGATTGGAAGCCGACATGCTGGTGCTCTCCGGCGGCGTTTCGGCCGGAGTGCTCGACCTGGTGCCGCAGGTGCTGAGCGAGTTGGGCGTTCAGCAGGTGTTTCACAAGGTGCAGCTCAAGCCCGGCAAGCCGGTGTGGTTTGGCACAAAGACAGGCGAAAACGCCGACACGTTGGTGTTCGGTTTGCCCGGCAACCCGGTCGGTGCGTTGGTGGCCGGCATGTTGCTGGTCCGCCCCGCACTGCGGCACATGCTGGGACAACCCTTTGCCGCCACGCCCACCTTCGGGGCCGTGCTCTCCACCGCCTTCAAACACAAAGGCGGACGCCCCACCTACCATCCCTCAGTCGTCAAAAGCGATGGAACTGAAGTCACCGTCGAGCCCCTCACCTGGCACGGCTCCGCCGATCTCTGCACTTTGTCGAGAGCCAACGCACTGGTGCACTTCCCCGCCGAACAGTTGGAGTTCGCAGCCGGCGAGCTGGTGGAAGCGGTGGAGTTGTAAAAAAACTCAGCTCTTGGAGAAAAATCCTCTGTAGGGAACGCCCTCCGTGGCGTTCCGAGAATTGCCGTGGTGCGCTGAACGCCACAGAGGGCGTTCCCTACAGAGGAATTGATGTCAGCATCGTAGCTGCTTTGGGCAAGGTCACCCTTACCCACAACCTAAATCTGCTCCCCAATCAGCACCGGCATGCGGTCGTGCTTGGTCATGTTTTGGTAATAGGTGCTGGCGTCGCGGGTGAGCATGTAAACGTGCGGGCGTTTATTGGGGTCGTAGACGACGATGCCTTGAATGCCTTCGGTGATGGAGAACCAGATGCCTTTCTCCAGGCCGAACTGGGCCGGGATGATCACCTCCTCGGGCGAGAGCCACCGCCATTTGCCGGCTTTCAAACTGTCTTCCCGGCACCAACCGGTTTTGGGCAGCTTCGCCACACGGCCGCCACGGTTGCCCCATTCGTAAATGCATAATTGCCCGTCGTGAATAACAGGAAGCTGGGGGTCGTTGTGCCGGTCGGCGAAGTCGAACACCACCTCTTCGGCGGTGCCGTCGCTTCGCTGGCGGACACGGTTCTGCAGGTTGTATTCTTCCATCAGCTCGAAATTGATCCGGCTTTTCAGAATCGCAATGGCTCGGCACATAGAACCGTTCCTTCAAAAGCAAGACTTGCCATAGATGTCGCAAATGTCGTAAGCGTTCGCCGGGTCGCCGTACACATCGGCCAGCGGCAGGGTGGCCCCGCTCCGCAAGGCGAAGCGTCCGACCGATTCGTTGATGTTGTGCTTCAGCCGGTCGAGTATCTCTTCGCGTGGGTCGCTCAGCGGAAACAAGCTTCGCTGGGCATGTCGCCGTTCGCGAAGCCGTCCGGCGATGACGTGCATGTAGTGTACCGGTTCGTTGCCCGTCCAAATCCGCCGCAGCAATCGCAGCGCCGCCAGGCACAGGTCTTCGAATCTCCACGCCGTGGCCATCAAGCTTTCGCGCAGCACGCCGCGCCCCGAGGGTTTGAAGGACAAGTCGAGGATAAGTTGATCGCAGCCCAGTTGGTAGTAGTTCAAGGCTTCGACCAGTCGCTCGGTGTTGCGAACCACAAAGGCCTGCAGCCGGTCGACATCCACGGTGGCCCGTCCCAGGCTTCCGCCCCGCGCGATGAACTTATGGGTGGGGCGTGTGGGTGAAATCGGAATCACCGCGTCGCCGTTCAGTTCCCACCAGAGGTCTTCGCCCCGCTTGGTCAAAAGCCGGCGGATCAATCGCCGGTCGGCCCGCGCGAACTGGTCGCAGGTCGTAATGCCGAACCCGGCCAGCTTTTTTGCGCTGCGACGGGCAATGCCGGTAACTTCGGTCACAGGCAGGTCGCGCAGCAGTGTCAGTCGGGCCTCGTCGGTGGCCACCACGTGATAGCCAAAAGGTTTGTTCATGTCCGAGGCCAGCTTGGCCAAGGTGCGGGTGGGGGCAATGCCGATGCTGACCGGCACGCCGACGCCCTGAAGTACCCCTAGTTGCAGATCGCGGGCCAACTCCAGGCGGGGCTGAGCGACGCTAAAAAACATCTCGTCGATGGAGTAATATTCAACTAGCGGGCTATTTGTCTTCACCACCGACAGCATGCGGCGAGAAAGGGTCTCGTACCACGTGAAGTCGCGTTTCACATAGACCCCGTCGGGGCAAATCGGTAGGGCGTCCCAAATGGGCATCCCGGTGGTTACTCCGGCGGCCTTCATCTCGTAACTCTTGGCAATAATGCAGGCCCCGTGGTTGCCCAGCACCCCGACCGGCAGCCCTTGCAGGTGTGGCAGTCGCACCCGCTCGGCCGAGACGTAGAAACAGTCGGCATCCACGTGTCCAATGAATTGAGTCATGCACTAGAAATAGTGAACAAATGAACACATGTCAAGCTAGCACTTTTCCCGATTCGGTGAAATGTTGGCCCCGGCCCTTGGGGCCCTCCAGAAACTCGGCTGGGAAAGCAACCGAATTGGCCATACGCTGTGCGCCGTTCGTCTGAAGTTCCGGCAATTCCAGCCCCTGCGGTCCGCTATGTCACGATCTGAACTGAAAGCTCAGCGAGCCACCCGATCGAAAGCCGCGGGCGAACACAAACGCACCGAGGCCGAACTGGCCGACGCCTTGCCCTCGGGCCGAGGTGCAAGTGCCGAGCAGCCCGTGCGGTGGTGGCAAGGCACCTTGGCCATCGCCCTGGTGGGCAGCGTGCTGTTGTGGCTGGCATTTCCACCGGTGAATTGGTGGCCCCTGGCGTGGGTTGCCCCGGTGCCGTGGCTCATGCTGGTGAGGATGAAAGAGTTGCCGGGCCGACGCCCCTATCGGGCACTGTGGTTCGCCGGGTTTGCGTTTTGGATGGGGGCCCTGCATTGGCTGCGGCTGCCCTATTGGGCCACCAGCTTTGGTTGGGTCGCGCTGTCGATCTACCTGGGGCTTTATCTGCCACTGTTCGTGGTGTTGGCGCGTCGCGCCGTGCACGGATGGGGGCTCTCGCTTGTGTGGGTCGCCCCCGTCATCTGGACTTCACTGGAGTTGGTGCGAGGGCACTTTCTGGGTGGGTTCCTCATGGCCGCGGTGGGGCATACCCAATCTCAGTGGCTCGAGATGATCCAGATTTCCGACCTGGGCGGCAGTTATGCCGTAACGTTCTTGGTGATGTTCGTCGCCGCCTGCCTCACGCGGATGTGGCCGCTGGGTGAAAATCGCAAAACAGAAAGTCAGAAAACAACACTGTGGCCTGCGTTTGCAGCCGTCGCCGCACTGGTCGCCGTGTGGGGTTACGGCAGATATCGCATGGCGGCCGCTGAACCCGTGCCCGGGCCGACCGTGTTGTTGGTGCAGGGCTCGATCGATACCGAAATGAAGGCCGATCCCGCATTACGGGCGGAAGTGTATCGCCAGTATTTCACGCTCTCACAACGGGGCACGATGAACCGGGACGATATCGACCTGGTGATTTGGCCTGAGACGATGTTTCGCGAAACGCTGTTCTCGCACGACGAAGACGCTAAGCCTCCGGCCGATGCCGACTGGACGATTGAGGAGTTGGCCGACGCCGAACGCCACATCCGCCAGTTGATCAGCGATACGGCCATCGCCGTCGGGGCACCCATGATCTTGGGACTCGACTGCGTTCACTTTCGTGCCGAGGGCGACGCTCGTCATAACTCGGCCATGTTGGTCGAAGCCGACGGCGAGTTGAGCGACCGTTACGACAAGATGCACCCGGTGCTATTCGGCGAGTACATTCCCCTGGGCGATAAGTATCCCTGGCTGTATTCGCTGTCGCCGCTTTCCAATAGCGTGCTGCCTGGCGAACGGCCCGTGGCCATCGAAGTAGCCGGCGCGCGGTTCGCCCCCAGCATTTGCTACGAAAACATTCTGCCCCATCTCATCGCCGGGCAGGTTCGTACGCTTCGCGATGCGGGCGAGGAACCCGACGTGCTGGTGAACCTCACCAACGACGGTTGGTTTTGGGGTTCTAGCGAACTAGATATGCACCTGACGTGTGCACTATTCCGCGCGGTGGAATGTCGCAAGCCGATGCTGGTGGCCGCCAACACCGGCTTCTCGGCCTGGATCGACGGCGACGGACGGATCGTGCAGCAAGGTCCCCGACGCGACACCGGCACCATCGTGGCCGACGTGGAACTCGATCCTCGCCAGAGCTTGTACCTGACGGTTGGCGATTGGCCGTGGGCCGTTTGCCTGCTGTTCTCGGTGGCCGTCGCGCTCGATTTGACGGCCGGAGAGCGACTTCGCCGGCGAAAAAATGCGATTTCTGAGGGTTCGGATACCGCGAACTGAAGGCCCCTAAGGTATTTATTGCCCCCATTTTACGGTCTTTTAAATTGACATCGCGAGACCTGGGGAGATATACTAAATGGGCTAAGTATTAGCTCTATCTTGAGTCTATACTTAGAGTTCGGTCGTGTTATGCCGATTCTCCGCCCGGCAACTTCGGCCGTCTGGTCATTTCGGAACAGAGTCACCGTCTGCGAGCCTTGCGGGAGCTCGAAGGAGAGGTCCTGATGAACCTCCTGGGTCGTATTTTCGTCGTGCTCATTCTGGTGATGAGCGTTCTCTTCCTTGGGTTCGCCACCGTTGTGTATGCGACCCATCGGAACTGGTACGAAATCGTCAATCTGCAGCCAAGCGAAGCCGGTGCTGGCAAGCCGGTGGGCTTAACGTATCAGCTGCAAGACGCTCGCAGCGAGAACACCCGGCTGCAAGAAGAGCTGGCCCGGCTGGAAAAAGAAGTCGCCACCGAAGAAGCCGCGCGACGTGAAGCCATCGCCAAGCTCGAAACCGAAAAAGAGCTGCTGAAGAACGAACGCGACGAACTGCAACGCGACGAAGCCGACCTGGTGGCCCAAAAGAATCAAGCGGTGGCCACGATGGAAGCCTCGCAGCAAACGCTGGCCGCTTTGCGGACCGAAGTCGACAACCTTCGCCGTGAAACCCGCGAAGCCCAAAGCGAACGCGATGAGTCGTTCAACCGCGTGGTCGAGCTGACCGACAGCCTGAATCAGGCCGAAACCCAAAGGGTCAAGCTCAAAGACCGTCGCGACCAACTCGAAGAGCAGAACGAAAAACTGAAAGACGTGCTAGCACGCAATGAGATCGACCCCGACGCCGACATGACGCCGCCGCGGGTTGACGGAATTGTGCTGGCACGCGATTCCAATGGCTTGATCGAGATCTCGATCGGGCAAGACGACGGACTTCGCGTCGGGCACCAACTCGAGGTGTTCCGCGGTCCTCGCTACCTCGGGCGAGTCGAAGTCGTCCAAACCGCTCCCGACAAATCAGTCGCTAAGATCATCCCCGAATTCCGCAAGGGGAACATTGAGAGGTCGGATCGTGTCGCCACCCGCATCCAATGACGCCCCCATGGGCTCCGGCGCAAAACCGAAGTCGAACATTTACACGGTTTTGATGGCCATCGCACTCGTATTCATCATTTTAGCCACCGTGCTGCTGTGGCTTGAAATGGGCATGTACGAGTATAAGAAGGATGCGCGCCGGGGGCCGTCTTCAATTAGCGGGCCTGCGATTGAACTCGCCTCTGCGATGCCGACTGTGATAGCAACTGCAGAACGCCACAGCTAAGCGACAAGTTTCCCTGCCTGTGGTCCTTCGGGACGTCTCCGCAGTTCGCTAGCGTCGCTAGTGCTTTCTTTCTTCAACACCGCCACGAGATCGGGCACGGATGCTCAATCGCTTGTTAGGACGATGGACCGCCGATTTGGCGATCGACCTGGGTACGGCCAACACCTTAATCGGCGTGGCCGGCGAGGGGCTCGTGCTCAACGAACCTTCGGTCGTAGCCGTTGAACGCGAAGGTGGGCGAATTCTCTCCGGCGGCTGCGCCGTGGGTCACCTGGCCAAACAAATGTTGGGCCGCACGCCCGAGTCGATCTCCGTGGTCCGCCCCTTGTCCGACGGCGTGATCACCGACTTCCAACTTTGCGAAGCCATGCTCCGCTACTTCCTGCAGAAGTCGCAACGGCAAGGTTGGGCCATCAAGCCGCGCGTGGTGATCAGCGTTCCCGGTGCGATCACCCCCGTCGAGAAACGGGCCGTATTTAACAGCGCCCATCGCGCCGGTGCTCGCGAAGTGTTTCTGCTTTCCGAATCTAAAGCCGCGGCGATTGGAGTCGGGCTGCCTGTGGCCGAGCCGGTGGCCAGCATGGTCTGCGATATCGGCGGTGGTACCACCGAAGTGGCCGTTATGAGCCTTGGCGATACGGTGGCCGCATCCAGCGTTCGTGTGGCCGGCGACAAGATGGATCAGGCTGTAGTCGATTATCTCCGCCGCAACTACAGTCTGCGGATCGGGCTTCCTGCCGCCGAGCGATTACGAATCGACATTGGTAGCGCCTACCCCATGGCCGATGAGCTGGTCGACGAAGTCTCCGGGGTCGACGTCGTCAGCGGGCTTCCCCGCAAGGCGACCGTGACCAGCGAAGAGATTCGTGAAGCCCTGGGCGACCCGCTGGAAGACATCGTCGAGGCGATCCGTTCCACGCTGGATCGCTGTCCGCCCGACCTTGCCGCCGACCTGGTCGACAACGGAATGGTTCTGGCCGGCGGAGGTTCGCTAACCCGAGGGCTGGACGACTTCCTTAGCCAACGCACCGGCATTCCCGCCCGCGTGGCGACCGATGCCTTGTCGGCCGTGGCTAAAGGTTCGTTGATCTGTCTCGAACACTTCTCGCAGTGGCGCGGTTCGCTCGAATCGAACGACGATGACGTTTAACCATCGCCTGAAAACCGTGCTTCCACAGTGCAACTCAGGCCCCGGCCGAATGGTGGGCGTTCTGGTGCTAGCCGTCGTGTTGGCTTGCCTTCCCAGCGAAATCGTCTCGCAACTCCGCGGTGCCTGGCAAACCGCGTTACGCCCTTCGCTACAACTCACCGTCGCCCTGCAGGAAAACACGACCGACTTTCGCAATCGCTGGCGAGGCACTGATGCGCTAGGCGAGCAACTCGACAATGCCCAGCAACAGCAGGCCGCCTTGGAAGCGGAGAACCTTCGCTTGGTGAATCAAATGCACGACCTGCAACAACGCCTCGCGTTGGCCGAAGACGGGGCCTCGGAGCATGCAGCTCTGCAACCACTCGTCGTGCCACGCCTGGTCGAAGCACGCGTCATCGGTCAACAAGGTCGAGCCCTGCTGAAGCAACTCTCGATCGTCGATGCAGGTCGGGCACAGCAGATTCTGCCCGAGTCGTTTGTCCTCGACGGATCGGTCGACGTGCTGGATCTGGGGGAAGATGCTCGCCTGCAGAATGGACAACTCGTGCTCGATGGCTATCGCGTGTGGGGCAAAGTCGTCGAGGTCGGTCCCCGGGTTAGTCGTACGATGCCGGTGGATGCGGAGGACTATCGCGATATCGTCCGCATTGTCGATCGCGAGGATCCCGACCGCGAACACGGTCGCGGGATGCTCGAAGGTGCAGGCGACGGAACCTGCCGCATCCGGCTGGTCGATATCACTCAACCCGTGGCCGTGGGCGATCGAGTCTACAGCGCCGCCCTGGATGACACGCTTGGCCCCAAGCTTCTCTACGGCGAAGTCGAAAGCGTGCAGCGCGAACCCGGCGCCCCTCATTGGGACATTCGCGTGCGACCAACCCAGGCCGGTGAAACCCCATCCCGCGTGACCGTGCTCACCTCAGAGCTCAACCCCGTGCGTTTAGCAAACCGCCCCAAGTAGAACACGGCCCGCAGTAAGTGGGAATCGGCAAACCCAACAGATTAGTTGCCCGCGAAGAAGCCTTGCAAACCAGCGAGTCACTAACCATGCAATGGACGCTGCTACTCCTCGCCATCTACACGGCCGCCATCCTACAGGCCGGGTTCGACTCGCTATTGCGCGTGGGCAACGTCGTGCCCGACTGGTTCGCTTTGGTCGCGTTACTCACCGTGCTCACCATCCGCAAACCCCGTCCGCTGGCGATCGGGATGCTCGTCGGACTGGCCGCCGACTTCAGCGCCGCCGGACCCCTGGGCATTTCCACCGCGCTGCTCAGCATCACCACGCTCAGCGTCACCCAGCTTCGCCGCAAACTCCACATCGAACACCCAGCCCTGCAAGTGCCCCTCATCGCCGCCGCGACCACGGTTTACACGCTGGGTGTGATGCTCCTCGCAAGCTTTCAGTCAGTTCTCGCCAACGGAGTCGTCTCGATCTTCCTCGAAGCCACCGGGGTCGGAATCTACACCGCCGCGTTTGCGCTACCTGTGCTGATGATCATCGCCTGGTCCCGCGAACCGCGTCCACTTCACTCGCTCCCCCTGGCTCGGCCGTAGCGGTCTCGGTGTTTCAGTATCCGCCCGATGCGGGAAATGCGAAAATTGGATGAAGTCCCTTCCTGTTTCGTGCTCAACCCCACACGCTACCGTATCGCGCTGTATAACAACGTCACACAGGCGTTTCATCCCCACGTTTACGTGAGAGCGAGATGAACGATCTTGCCTTGGCCGATGCTTCGCGGGGGCCGGCGCGGCCGGAGAAGCTGACCGTCGATTTCTACGAAGAAGCCGACGCGATCGTCATTCACAAGAAACGGGGCGGCGGGCCAGCGGCGTTCTTGCTGTTGTGGCTCATCGGGTGGACCGTCGGGTGTGTGTTTCTGGCGGTCTCGCTGATTAACGACTTCTCCATTGGGCAGCTTGCCTTCGCTGTCCCCTTTTGGGCCTCGTGGTTGTTTGTGGCCGGGCTGTTGGTGTGGATGCTCTTCGGCAAAGAGACGCTAATCGTTCGCGCAGACAACGCCCTGTTCCTACGCACGGCGTGGATCACGCTCTCAACGCGCAGCGTTCCGCGGGAAGAAGTCCAGGGCTTTCGTGAGTGTCGCAGTAAACACACCGAAAACGACGAGCACCTGTGGGGCATCGAAATGACCACGCTCGGCAAGCCCGTGCGGTTTGCCTTTCGCTTGCCAGATCGCGAACGGGCATGGCTGATCCACCGCCTCAATCAGTTCGTGGGCGCTCCCGAACCCAAAGTCGAAGCGGAAGCCGCCGAGGAAGAAGTGGACTCCGCGTTGGCGTTTGCCCGCAAGAGGGCGTTCGGCGGAACCAAGCCGGAAGCTGGCCCTGGCAGCGAAGTGCTCATGGCCGAAAACACGTTGGCCAAACCGCCGACCGATTCTTACTGGGAATTTACCGACGACATTTCCACCGTTGCATTTTCACAAGAAGGCCGGCTGGAATTTGGGGCGCTGCTGTTCTTGCTCTTCATCAACGCCTTCTGGAATGGCATCGTCTCGGTGTTCGTGCTGGCGATGTTTGGCTTGATGCCGATGGACCAGGGGCCGCAGGGTTGGGAGTGGTGGGGGATGTTTGTCTTCCTGATTCCCTTCGAAGCTATCGGCCTGCTGTTCATAGTGGGGCTGGTCATGACGGCACTCGAGCCGTTCTGCCGCCGCGAGTGGCGTTTCGAAGCAGGGCAAATCATCCGGCAGGTTAGTTACCCGCTGTTCAGCCGCACACGAAGCTGGGAGGTGCTGGGGATCGATCGCCTCGAACTCCGCCGCCCCGGCGAAAAGCACAATCAGCTGAAAACCATCACCAACACTGCGGCCAGCAGCGGCGATGCCTCATACGAACTCGCCTTCATCGGTCCAGACAACATAGACCTGTGCAGTGTCCCCAATCTCACCGAAGGCGAAGCCCGCTGGATGGCACGGGTGGTGCTAGAGCGGAAACCGCGGTGGTTTGGCGATTAGGAATCCAAACCGAAACACTCCGATCGACATCAATCGTTCTGCGCGTGCTCGAAAGACTCAATCATCTTCAGAGCGGCATCGGCCAGCCCGTTCTCGGGGAATTCTTCTTTCGCCCTAAGGTAACACTCTTTGGACTTCACGCCCTCGCCCAACTGGCCATACGCAAAAGCAATATTGAGCAGGGCCATTTCGCGATAACTCATCGCCGACGGGGACAACACCGTGATCGCACGATAGCGGTCGAGCCAGGAATGCCGCGTGAAGAACGAGTAGCCTGCCTCGAAGTCAGGAATCGCTTCTTCGAATTCTCGCTGTTGTAAGTGTCGCATCCCTCGACGATGGTCTCCGAGAAATAATTTTCGCGACCCGAACGAGTAGACCAGGTAGGCACCCGCGCCCAAGGCCACACCATTTGAATCGCGTGTGATTAGCCACCCGGTGCCAATCGCGGAAACAAACACAACAACCTTCAGAATCACGGCCGGCCAGGAGACCGGTCGGGCAGTTGGCAACTTCGGCATGGAGGACGAGGCAGGCGGCATTTACAGACAGAGGCTAAAGAGAATTCTGATTTGGCAGCACATGTTTGGGCCAGTACACCATCCAGCTCAGCCGCATGGGCTCCATCAATTCACCAACCGAATCGTAAACGGATACCGGTACAGCTCTCCGTTGTTCGTCCGAATGGCGGCTTGGATGATGCAGATGATGTGGAACAGGCTCAGGACGAGAAGCAGCGGTGCGGCCAGGCCAAAAGTGACGAAGGCGAGCACGATCAGCACTACATAATAGATGGAGACCGAGATGTTGAAGTTGACGGCCTCCTTGCCATGGGCGTCGACCTCGGGAATTTCATCGCGCTTGACGAGCCACAGCACCAAGGGAACCAGGATGCTGCCAATTCCATTGGCAAGATATCCCGCCAGTCCGCCCAAGTGGCATAGCACGGCCCAAGAATTTGGTTTCATAGTGTTGTTCTCTTCAGTGTCAGAATCGCCTCGAGTAGCACTGCGGGCTCGACGAGCGGCCCAGCCCAACCGGTAGTTCGCCCCGTCAGTCAATATATTGTGGATCAGCCTCAATGACCTCCACATCGAACCCGGGATAGAACGTCCCCGGCTTGGGGCGGTTCAAATAGGCCCCGAGGAAGATCACCGCCGACAGAGACCAGCCAACGATCGCGGCCATGGGGAGCAGCATACTCATCGAGCGCGTGGCGAACGAATCTTCCATCTTGGCTTGCCTGCTTCTCGCGGCGGCAGACCACGTAATGGCGATCACCAAGCCAGCGAGTGATAACGCCACTCGCAAAAGCATTTCGCCCGACGTCGTTAGGGCAATGGCGAACAGCCCTTGCGAAATAAGGAACATGCCCGTGAGCTGAACCTGATGATGAAACTCATCTTGTTGAGTTGCGGTACTTTCATGTTCTGAGGGAGCGGACATTGTGAATTGTTTCTGAGGGTGAGTGAAAGGTCACTGCTTTCGATAAGAATTGGTGATGTGCATACGCAGCACACGAGGCTAAATATTCTCTCGCCGCTAGATGTAGAAACCCAGAAAATATTTGCGTCGCCTTCGAGTGTCGGTCATAGTTACGGCCTGAATCGCATTCTAAGATGCGGTTTCGAGTTCAAAGAAAAATCATTTGTAACATAGGGGCAGCCATGACGGAAAAAATTGTCACAAGCGGGAAAGCTACCGCCAGCCTGGTTTTGGGACTTCTCGCTCTCTTTTGCTGCGTCAGTTTCATCACCGGCCCGCTGGCCATCGTCTTCGGGCTACTTGGGTTATCCGACATAAGCCGCAGCCAAGGACAGAAGGCGGGCAATGGAAGAGCGATTGCCGGCATTGCAACCGGCGGGGTCGGCACAGTGTTTTCAACCGGTATCATGATTGCCATGCTGCTGCCGGCGGTTCAAGTCGCCCGAGATGCTGCCCGTCGTATGGAAGGTGCCAATCAACTCAAGCAAATCGGGATCGCACTTCACAATTACCACGCAGGACTGGGTTCGTTACCCCCGGCGGTCATCTACGACGACGAAGGAAGTCCGATGCATAGCTGGCGAGCTCTGCTGTCTCCTTACATGGAAATGGGGATGATGGGACCCTCGCAGTATGACTTTAGTGAACCCTGGGATAGTCCAGCCAATAGCGGCATGGCTGAGGCGATGCCGCCGTTATTCAAGCTCGCGGCCGATGCCGAAAGCGGACCTTCTAGCACCAGCTACTTCGTGGTTCAGGGGCCAGGCTTTCTCTTCGATGGCGACAAGTCGCAGTCTTTCTCCAACGTTAGCGATGGTCTGTCAAACACCATCGCCTTGGTCGAAGCACCCGGCCTTAATGTCGGATGGACCGAGCCTCACGACCTGGCGTTTGACGAGTTTCTGAGCCTTTTGAAAGAATCAGATAACTTGACATACCTCCGCGGAGTCAACGTTCTGCTCGCCGACGGAAGTGTCGTTTTCATCGATCGAGACATCGACCCCGAGCAGCTCAGGGCCATGTTCACCATCGCCGGCGGCGAAACAGTCGAAATCGAGCAAACCTATTAACCAGCGAGCTGAGGATGGGACAAAAAATCGTCATAGCCAATCAGTAAGACTGCGCGCAACCTCCCTATCGCAGTTAGTGGAACACCGCACTTTCTCAGATCGATTGGCCTAAGCCGCTGGAACTATCGTTGCCGCCGGCCACAGAGCGCAAGGCCGAGCAAGCCCAAGCCCGCCAGAACGAACGTTGAAGGCTCGGGCACCGCAATCGGCGATTGGCGAATCGTGAATTGCGTGATCCCGTCGGGCACGTCGATATGAAACAGGAAGTTGCCGGCGAAAGAGAAGTCGGGCATGATACCACCGCTGGCCAGAATTTCGTCTTCACTTACCGACACGGTTGGGAAGAAATCGCCGAAAGGATCGAAGAAGAAATCGGAGTTGTAATCGGGGGCATCGAAATCGAGGCCATCACCCGCGGGCGATTGGACGAATCCGGCCCCGGTGCCGAACCCGAGTTCGATATGGTAGTAGGCCCAGTCGAGGCCGGTGTTGTTCTGCACACCTTCCATCACCAGATACTCAGTCACTCCACCGGTATCGAGAACATCGAACACCAAGTCCACGGGACCGATCGCCGTGTAGTCTTTTTGCGTAACAAAGATACTGTTGGGCGAAGTGCCGGCTACGTCGTCGTTATTGGGATCGACAGGAGGTGCGAACGAAGTACCCGCCACCGAGGCCACGCCCGAGAACCAACTGAAATCGTAAATCTGACCCGCATTCAGAACGGAAGTCGTCAAGATGGTCACGGAGGCGACGAGGGTTGAGGTGAATCGTTGAGCGAAAGACATTAGCGTTCTCCTTAAGACGAGTGAGAATCATTCCGCGCGAAATACAGACCCGGCCCAAAAGTCGCGCGGAACGCAGATGAGATGTGCAGCCGGAACTCGGCCCATGAGTATGGGGGGTAAGAGATGGGGAATCAAATTTCGCCCTCTTAAGTCGCGAGGGCTTCAAAACCCACTGCAACGGAAGGTCTCGGGGATCAGAAATTGGCGGAGGATTATGGTTATGCTAGTCTCAA